ATGCGTTATTGGAATCGCATCCGCACTACGGATGCGTTATTAGAATCGCATCCGCACTACGGATGCGAAAACTTTATCTTTACCTTATTACTTTAGAGAAACCTTTGGATTACCAAATGCATTACCTCAAAACTATAAATGATTATAGTTTTTGCGATTTGTTAGAAAATAAACTTTTCCTCTCCCATATGACCACTGGTTATGGCACCCCCCACCCACAACGCCCCCTTTTCTCTCACACCTCAACTACAGACACAAATATGCCTCGGCTGCATACACACACTTTAAATATATCTACCTCAACTACCCACACATCGACTACTCACACATCAACTACTCACACATCGACTACTCACACATCGACTATTCACACATCGACTATTCACACATCGACTACTCACACATCGACTACCCACACACACATCTCTCTTATAATAAATTCATAACCTATATAAACATATAATAAATAATAAATCATATTTTATTTTAGTTATTTAAAGATATTAAAATAAATAAGATATGCGAGTAGGGAGAGACCAAGTTAATTTGTTTGAAGTGAAAGGGACAAGAAGAATGAGAGTACAGAGTATAAGAAATATATGTTTCTTTTTTTTAAAAATATAGGTTTGAGGATTATGTTGTGCATCTATAAAGAGAGATTACTATGGCAGGACTTTGTGTTAGACAATGACTGTTTGGTCTAGAACTGGATATTTAAAGATATACTAAAAGTAAGAATTTTTAAAAATTATGTGTGATAGGATGGGGTCATTTTCATTGAAGAAGGTGTTGAAGGTATAAGTATATAGATATCATGTGCATGCGAAAGTAAAAAGACAGTTCTGAGAATAGTAGTATATGTCACTTCAGATATAAAAGAACAGAGTATATGGGTTCCGAGTGCTGAAGTTTGATTATATGGTTATTATTTTTATTTTTATTTTTCAGTAGTGATAAAATAAGAAAGATAGTATGATTGGTATTGTCGACTTTGAACGCAGTGCGAAGTTGTTGTTGGTACAGGGTTGAAAAAAGAAAAGAATAGAGTGGCGATGACTGTCGCCTTTGAACGCAGTGCGAAGTTGTTGTTAGTACATGGTTGAAAAAAGAAAAGAATAGAGTGGCGATGACTGTCGCCTTTGAACGCAGTGCGAAGTTGTTGTTGGTACATGGTTGAAAAGAGAAAAGAATAGAGTGGCGATGACTGTCGCCTTTGAAAGCAGTGCGAAGCTTATAGGGACACGAAGGTTTGACCAAGGGCTTATTTTTTGTTAGAGCCGCATATACAGTGAACAGTCGTCAAAAAGATAAAATAAAGAGTATTTCATTTTTTATTTTATTTTTCAAAAGAGTGCGCTTCCTTTTCGTATTGCGTCGCTTTCGGTCCACTTTGAGTTGCAATACAATATGAATGACGATCCCCAACAGGAATGAAGATCCTCGACTGGGATGGCGGAATGTCGAAAGAAGATTCAAGCCATCGTTAAAAAGATTTTTTTTTGTTTTGGTTACAGCACAGTGAAGGGGTTTTGGATACACAGTCCTCTCTCAACGATTGTAAGTGAGTACCATACGGTCTTTAAACCTTCTGGCGTGCCAACCCACGCCTTGCTCTCAACCCTTCCTTTTGTGAGGAACTCGATAATCTTCTTTCATCTCTCTCTCCCCAGCTTCCCCACATAGGCTCTATACAAGACCAGTGGGACTGGATCAAATCCAAAATCGCCCAATTCGCCCTCGCTTTTTCTCGTCGTCCTCGCCGCACCCTTGCTGACCAAGAACGCAAACTACACGCCAAACGCAACCATCTCCTCCGCCAACATCCTGACCCTTCGACCATTCCGCAACTTCCTCACCTCGAACGTCAAATACAGTCTCTCCAAACCGAACAAGTCGAGATACTAGCTCTTCGTGCCGGTAAACACTGGCGAGAACAAGGTGAATGTTCTGCTGGTTATTTGAAACGAACTGTCACTACCCGTCAATCCCGTACCACCATCACCTCTCTTCGCCACCCTACCACCGACCACGTCTGCACTGACGCAACGGACATGACTGATGCTGCTGCTGCCTTTTATGAGGTTTTGTACACAGCTGATCCCATCCAACCGCCCGCAGTTTCAGATTTGCTAGACAACCTTCCCCCTGACCTTCGCCTCTCTGACTCCATCCATGATCAACTCACTGCCCCTTTCACAATAACCGACATCCGCACTGGCACCACTCGCTCCCCTAAGTCCAGTAGCCCCGGCCCAGACGGCATACCCTATGAAATCCTCCGACTCCTCATCGACCATCCCATGTACACCAACCTCACTTCCGCCGTTTACAATAATGCCCTCCATCTTGGGGTATTCCCTACTTCCTGGCAATCGACATGTGTTATCCTTCTTCCCAAGAAAGGAGACCTGTCCTCTCTCAAGAACTGGAGGCCCATAGCTCTCATTAATGCCGACGCCAAAGTATTCACCCGCCTTGTCAACGACCGCATGATTCCTGCAGCCAGCTCTCTTGTTTCCGCATACCAAACTGGATTTGTCCGTGGACGGTTTATTGCAGACAATGGAATCCTGACCAAAGCCATCATGGAAAATGCTCAACTCACCAATGCCTCTGACATAGGACTGTTACTTGATCAGGAGAAGGCCTATGATAGAGTTCATCCAGATTACCTGCGACAAATTCTCACTCACTTTCACTTCCCCCAATCTCTCATCTCATCCATATGCTCCCTTTTTTTTTCCACTAACATTACCGTCAATGTCAATGGCCATATTTCTCGCTCTCTCTCTCAATCTCGTGGTTTGCGTCAAGGGGACCCTCTCTCTCCAGTCCTTTTCAACCTTGCCTTCGAACCACTCCTTCGCCGTCTCCTTCACGATCCTGAATTCCCTGGCTACACACCGTCCATCTCACCACGCACCGTTCCTTCCCCCACAGACCCTAACCCACGAATTCCGTCACCACTCCTCCCACCACAGGCCATCAAGTTCCTTGCCTACGCCGACGACCTCCTTGTGTTCCTCCCCAATCCTCCTAGTCTTTCCCGCCTCCAAGTCCACTTAAACACTTATGCCAACGCATCCAATGCCCATATCAACATGCACAAAACACAAGCCCTGTCCCTGTCCGGTTGCCCTCTGTCGTCCTGGCAAGACATCCTACAACAGTTTCAAATTGTGGACTGTCATGATAAACACTCTCCACTTCCACTCATTTACCTTGGCTTCCCACTTTACACATCCATCATACAACGCGACTCCTTCTGTTCCTCTCTTCTCACCAAAATCCAATCCGCCTGTCATATTCATCTCTCACGCTCTCTCTCAATCCGTGGCCGTGCCACCGTTCTAAACACTCTCATCCTCTCCAAACTATGGCATGTTCTTCGATTGATATCTGTCCCTGTTGCCTTCATGTCCAAGATACGATTGGCCATGGGACAATTTCTTCAACATCGTATGTTCCCTCCAATCAAGCTTGCCACATTATGCCTCCCATCCATATCTGGTGGACTTGGGGTTCTCGATCCGATTATACAGCAATCTGCTCTACAACTTCGTTGGCTTCTCCCTCTTGTCCGTTCCCCGTTTGGTCGATCCGGTCTGGTCCTTCCTTGGTTGTCCTTCCTTCTTCGGTCCTTTTCTGGGATCCTGGATCCTCGTCTACCTTTACTTTTCCCTGATCTTCATCCTCTACCTTTCCGCCATATTGACAGTGTTTTCAGAAACATATTTGCTGCCATTGATCTCCTGCCACACTCCTTTGACTCCGTTTCTATTAACCACCCCACATGCCTCTCCTTGCCTCTCCCCTCTATCTGCCTACCCTCCTCTCTCATACCACGGACTTGGCGGCATCTTCTCGTCACTGACGCTTTTGTCGTAGATGATTCATTGCAAGTACTTCGTCGTCGAACAAGACCCGAGCGTCCCCAATCCCCTCGCATCATCACCAAGTTCTTCCGTCAAGTCGACAACCATTCCGTTCTTTTACAACCTTTCTTCTTCCGCTCTCTTCTCCCACATTCCTTGCTTGATGGTCTCCTTCCTCCACCTTCCTCTCCCATTGTGTCGCATGTGGACCCCAGCCCCTTCCTCACCAGTATGTTTCCCATAATACCTCGCAAACCATTCTCACCCAAAACGTTCCGCACCCTTTGCACCCCGTCCCCAGACAACCCTGTCCCTCCTCTCCACACCCACCAATGGCGCACTTTCTGGTCCGCTCCCATCCACCATTCTGTCCGTTCTTTATGGTTCCGCGCTCTTCACAACAAGCTGTCGTGTCGCTCCGTTCTACACCAAACTGTCCCTACCATCTTTCCTGACGGGTCCTGCCCCATATGCGGTGACATCAAGGAATCTACATCTCACTTTCTGTTCACTTGTCCCCCAAAGTTCTCCGCCTGGACTATTTTTTGGTCAACCCATTTTGGCAACGTGCCCTCCACGCAAGACATTCATTCTGCTCTTTTTTCCTTCCGTCTCCCGCCATCCCTCACTCCAGACATTCCCGCCGTTTCTCTTGTCAGCTGTATCCTCCTCGCAATCTGGCGCCATCACTGGTCCTTTGTGTTTGACGATGCTCCTTTCCTGAGTACATCAGTCCTTGTCACTGCTGCTTCTCTTGTCACCCGTTTTCATGCGGAACTATCCCTGCCTCTTTCAGACTAGCTACTCACTCATTTTACATATAATTTAAAAACCCAAAAACACATAGAAAATATAAAACCCAAAAACAGGATTGTGACTTCCTCTTCCTCTTAGAATTGTTAAGCTCAATAAAATTTCTGAGGTCTAGCCTCCTTACAAAAAAAAAAAAAAAATCTTTAAACCTTCGTATGGGTAACAGTATCCCTGTCAATGGACCCTGCTATGATTCTTTCACTTGTGGGTACACAAAGGGTGTCTGCACCACCGATCAGTAATGCCAGTTTACAAAATAAGACTTTTGTTTGTAGGAAGTCGTTGGCTCTAATTTACTAATGAGCCTCTACACAGTCTACAAGAAGACATAAAAAGCAAACCACCTTATACTCTATATTTTATAATGGTACAGCCAAGATATCGGTGGACAAGCTGGTTTGTGCGTCTATATGTGAAGAAAGACTGGGATGTATACACTGCACATATTCACCTTGGAGACAGGTATTTAACCCCCAAAAAAAAGAAAAAATGCCCTTATTAATTTAAATTTTCCCATTTTTTTTTCTTTTTTACTTCTTTACACCAATTTACTATCATAATTTTAATTAATAAATCTGAAACAAAGACTTCAAGTATGCTATTTAATGGAACACATAAAAAGTATCCTATGTATTTTTCTTTTCTCTTAAAGGGCAATATAAAATATCATGACATATATTATACAGCTGTCCATTTCAAGAGTGTCTGCCAAAGTCATTGCCTTTTTTTGGAAAAAAGATTGTGGCTTTATTTGTACTCCACTCTTTGCTTCCAGCGTATGCTTGTAATGTCAGAATATAGGACGGCTTTCTTCATATAAACGTTTATACAAGCTGATATTCTGTTATGTAGAGCATATATAGATATATAGCTATTCTATAATGTCTCTTATGCTAAATAATATTCTCTTTTCTTTAAAAAAATATCTCTAACTTTTGAACACTCCAAATTGATGCCTTTTGGAGTGTCTGGTTTATGTATTCAACTAAAAAAAAATTGTACTTTTAGAAACAACTCGTATTTTTGCTATTGGGCATTTAAAGAGCTTATTGAAGTGGTGCAAGTTTCCCGAATTTCAGGGTTCTATGCTTTTTGAGAGTGAAAAAATCGGATATTTTGATCAAAATTTGAGTAATTGTAATATAATAAACCTCGAAGAGGTGGATCACAATGTGTCTCACCAGGTTACTTAAAGCCAAAAAAAAACATTGCTTATTTGATTCGATTTTTAATTTTCTATAATTGAAAAGCTATGATTCCCATTGGTGTGCATTTGCATATGCTTGTAGAAATCTTAAAAAATATCATTTCCAGTACACTCATATTTAATCGACCATAGAAAAGGTTCATTTATACAAAGGCTCCGTGCTTCAAACTAAAATAGTCTCAAGCGAACCAAAGCTAGACTATGAACCTCAAAGTAATAAGTGGAATCATACTATACAGTACTGTAGCGCATTATATTGTATTACAAAACAAAAGTTATAAATCAAAGCCTTTAATCCAACAGAGTATTATTTCTAGGTTATTCGTGCATCCAGTTGAGTTTGGTATACAAGCGCAAAATATCAAAAGCACTAGATCCTATAAATCGATAATTAGTAATCGATAGCGTCTTGCTCCCAACCAAACAAAACCTATACGTTCAGTAGCAGTAGATTGTCTCTTTGCTTTCATATTGTGCCGTCAGTCAGTCTGAGCAATAACAGAAAAAAATAGTAAATAAGCAGAGCCTTTAAAAGGTGATTTATATATATGTAATAGCCATTTTACTAGCTTGATCTATCTGTGACCAGGCTAGCACAATTGCAAGCACCACTACTTTTTCATGGTGTAAAATGTAACTTATATAAATAATTATAATTATCGATAGAATGGTGTATATTTGAACACATATAAATGTAAAGTGTTTCAGGCAGTTGGGTTATTCTGTATTAATTTCTCGGTTGGATTATGATTGGTTTATAAAGTAGTACAAACCAAGGTCGATTGACAAACACTAGGCTAGACCCTGTTCTTCTTTTTACTTTTATTTTACTCTAAGAACGATGCTTTAACTTGAGGTACCAACGACTTTCAATAGTCAGGCTGTCAATCCCTTCATACTGAAGCACTGAAAGTACTTTTATTTCAAGAAAGTATTCCTACACTTTGTGTTTATTAACTCAAGACACTGGTGAAAAAGCTAGAAGAAAAATGGAAGTCTTTCACACGAAAGAAAAGAAAAGATATAAGCAGCAATTTTTTTCGGGGGTGCTTCTTAAACTAATAAAGTCACAGCATGTGAAACAAACAAACAAGAAAACAAACAAATAAATATACACAAGACTTTAATTAAAGCTTTATAATCAACACAACTTTACACTTCTTTATTGTAGTTAAACGTCTAGCCGATTAATACTTTGTATATCAGTAGTACAGCTAAAATGAACACAGAGGCATATATAGTGTCTCGACAAGTGGCTGTTCAAAAGCATAAGCCTTGTTAACAGAATCACAACAGAAAGTAGAATAAAAAAGGGGATGGGGGTCCATAGCAACTGAATAATTTGACATGCATATAGTCCACCAATCGGAAGACATCATTTAAATGTTTTCATGCTAAAGTAGAGTCTGGACCACTATTGCTACTATGCTCCTCTAAGCCCCATGACACATGTGATGCTGCACGGACAGCACGGACCTTATGTGACATAAAAAGAACTAAAACAAAAAAACAAAAAGTAAAACAAGTGCCTGCACAGCACGTCCTTCAGAATGTAAGTGATACTTCTTTAACACCCAAAACCCATATTTTAAGCATAGATATTAAATAAAGAAGTAAAATAGTAATAATATATACATGTTGTCAAGGCTAAAAGATAAAAGAAAACCGAAAAAGGAATAAGAAAAAAACCGAATTTTATAATATATTATCAAACTATCATAATAAAAATAATAAAAAAGAACAGCAACTCATGATTGAGACGTCATGAGTTTTATAAAAAAAAACACCTATCCAAACAGAACGCGTCAAAACAACTCTCTTCCACATACCATTAATACTTTATACACTTCTTTACTGCTCTCTCACAAACTGCTTTAATCAACATAGACGTTAAAGACGAATCATAACCAATACAAATCCATTTTGCTAGTCAAATCTCAGGCTTTTATCATATGTAAAACAGTCAGTAGCAAGATATAAGACAACATGTCAAAACCATTACACAGCAAAAATGAAATACTGAGGTCCAACACTGGTTTGACCATCAATCCATCCAAAGCCTATTCACGCTCAGAAACAAGAGATAAACTGACAGGACTTACTATAATTCAAGGAGTATATGATATTCATCAAAGACACACATTGTGAAGATTATATTTGTCTAGTCTTTCGACAAACAAGGTCAACGATAAAAAATAAGATCTCCATCCAGGCCTACAAGTATATAAAGGCTCGTTGATTAATCATTCACTGTCTATGATATTTCTGTAGGGACTTTTCAGGCAAAGTCAAGCAATCAAGAACAGGTTTCCATCCAGGGCCACAGGTACACCAAGACTCGAGGAGCATATGCTCATTGTCTTTTGTATGCTTCTAGTGCCTTCCGTCCAGGTCAAGCATCAGGGATCCGATCAGAGTCCACGGTTATCAGGTATATCAAAACTCTATGAGCAGTTACTCACTTGTTTTTGTATATTTGTAGTATCCAATCCATCCAGAAAAAGCATCAATGTTCTGATCTCCCAGAAATGGTCATAGGTATAACAAAACCATATGCGCATTTACTCACTAGCTTTTATCTATTACTAGTGTCAGCCATCCAGGTCAACTGTCAAGGACCCGATTTCCCAGCAATGGGTATAGGTATAACAAATCGTTGTGGGAATATACTCACTAGTTATAATATATTTATAGTGTTCAGCCATCGATGTCAGGCGTCAAGGTTGCGATCTTCCAGCCAAGGTTATAGGTATAACAAAACATTATAGAAATATACTCACTGGTCTTAATATGTCTTTAGTGTTCACTCATCCAGGTCAATCAGCAGGATTCTGATCTCCCGTCCAAGGTTATAGGTATAACAAAACGTTATGGGAATATACTCACTAGTTTAAATATATTTCTAGTGTTTAGCCATCCATGTCAAGCGTCCAGGTTCCGATCTCCCAACCATATTTACAGGTATAACAAAACGTTATGCGCATTTACTCGCATGCTTTTATCTATTACTAGTGTTCAGCCATTTAGGTCAAGTGTCAAGGTTCCGATTGCCCGCCCATGGTTAAAGGTATAAAAAACATTATGGGCATATATTGACTAGTTTTTATATTTATTTGTGAACTCCAGCCATCCGTGTCAAGCGTCAAGGACCCGATCGCCCGTCCATGGTTATAGGTATAAAAACATTATGAGCGTATACTCATTAGTTTTTATATTTATTTAAGACTCCAGCAATCCGTGTCAAGCGTCAAGAACCCGATCCCCCGTCCATGGTTATAGGTATAAAAACATTATGGGCAAATACTTACTAGCTTTTATCTATTTCTAGTCTCCAGTCATCAATGTGAAGCGGCAAGGACCCAATCGCCCGTCAATGGTTATAGATAAAAAAAACCATTAGGGACATATACACACTAGCTTTTATCTATCTCTAGTCTCCAGTTATCCAGGACAAGCATCACGGTTTCGATCTCCCAGCTATGGTTATAGGTATAACAATACATTATGCGCATTTACTCACTAGCTTTATTATAGTTCAAGTCTCCAGCCATCCAGGACAAGCATCAAGGTTCCGATCTACCAGCTATGGTTATAGGTATAACAGAACGTTATGCGCATTTACTCACTAGCTTCTATCTAGTACTAGTGTTCAGCCATCCAGGTCAAGTGGCAAGGACCCGATCGCCCGGCCATGGGTATAGGTATAACAAAACGTTGTGGGAATATACTCACTAGTTATAATATATTTATAGTGTTCAGCCATCGATATCAGGCGTCAAGGTTCCGATCTTCCAGCCATGGTTCTAGGTATAACAAAACATTATGGAAATATACTCACTGGTTTTAATATGTTTTTAGTGTTCAATCATCCAGGTCAATCAACAGGATTCTGATCTCCCGTCAATGGTTATAGGTATAACAAAACGTTATGGCAATATACTCACTATTTTAAATATATTTCTAGTGTTCCGCCAATCATGTCAAGCGTCCAGGTTCCCATCTCCCTGCCATGGTTATAGATATAAAAAACATTAGGGACATATACTCACTAGCGTTAATATATGTCTAGTGTTCAGTCATCCAGGTCAAGCATCTAGGTTCTGATCGCCAATCCATGGTTAAAGGTATAAAACAACATTATGGGCGTATACTCACTGTTTTTATCTAGTTCTAGTCTCCAGCCATCCAGGTCAAGCATCAAGGTTCTACTCGCCCGTCAATGGTGACAGGTATAACAAAATGCTATGGGCATATATTCACTAGTTTTAATATATCTCTAGTGTTGGGCCATCCAGGTCGAGCATCAAGGACCCGATCACCCGTCCATGGTTATAGGTATAACAAATCGTTATTGTCATTTACTCACTAGTTTTGATATTTATTTCTAGCCTCCAGTCATTCAGATCAAGCGTCAAGGACCTGATCACCCCTCCATGGTCATAAGTATAAAACAACATTATGGGCATATACTCACTAGCTGTAATATACTTCTTGTGTTCAGTCGTCCAGGTCAAGCATCAAGGTTCTGGTCTCCCCGCCATGGTTATAGGTATAAAAAAACATTATGGGCATATACTCACTAGATTTAATATATCTCCAGTCTCCAGCTATCCGGATCAAGCATCAAGATTCCGATCTCCCCGCCATGGGTATAGGTATAAAAAAACATTATGGGCAAATACTCATTATTTTAATCTAGTTCTAGTCTCCGGCCATCCAGGTCGAGCTTCAAGGTGCTGATCTCCCGTTATATGGTTATAGGTATAACAAAAATCGATGAGCAATCACACTCGGCTTTATTTATTTCTAGTGTTGAATCCACCAAGATCATGCTTCACGGATCCGGATTCAGTCCGTGGCTATAGGTATACAAAAACTCGATGAGCAATTACTCATTGGATTTTATATATTTCTAGTGTCTACTCATCCACGGCAATTATCAGGATCCGATTTTCATGAATTGTTATAGCTAACCAAGTTTCCTTTAAACCTTTACTTAAAACAAACTATACTCTTTATTTATACTTTCTTTTGATGGCAAAGAACGATGATCAAATATACATCCATTATGGAAGGTATACAAGTCGTTCTTGGCCATTACTAACCTAGAAGTATATATGACTATTGTTTTTACTCTCCAGGCCAAACAGCAAGGATCAAAACTCAAATTTGGGCTACAGGTAAACAAGTCTTCTTGAGCTTTTACTTACTGTCATTTATATATTTCTAGTGTTTTTTTCCTTAAAGTTCAAATATCAAAGATCTGATTTCAAATCAAGGTTACGGGTACACACTTTTCTCTCTGTCTTTACATGCTTTCTTTCGTATTGGCCTAGTGTGTTTACGATCCGGCTACACAATGAAAATTTTGTTTTCCTTCCAGTGCGACAGGTATATACATCTAGTTCGGCCTTTAGTTACTGTTGGCTTTATTTCTCTACTGTCTTCACAGTTCAAGCCAGCCATCATGGATCCTATATCCGTCCAGTGTTACAGGTATACACTTCTCTTTGGGATTTTACTTACTGTCGGTTTTAATTTTCTACTGTCCTTAAAGTCAAGGCCAACGACCAATCATCTGGTATCCGCCGAGAATTCCAGATATAAAAATGTTATTGGGCCGTTACTTATAATTGTTTTTGTTTCTCTAGTGTCCTTGCAGTCAAGGGTAACGAGCAAGAACCCGGTCTCCATATTGGGATATAGTGTTACACATCTCTTTGATTTTTGACTTGCTGCAAACTGTATTTTTTCTCGTGACTTTACAGTCAAATTCAACACTCAAGGATCCGGTTTCCATCAAGTTTTACAGGTATACAAATCTGACAAGTGCTTTTATTTAATGTGTCTTTTTTTTTGTCAAGTGCCTTTACTGTCTATACCAATGATTCCGAATCCGAGCCCTATCCAGAGTGACAGGTATACAAATATGTTTGCGTCTTTACTAACTTTTAGTTTTATATGTCTAGTGCCTATACGGTTTAGGCCGAAGAACTAGGACTTGATATTCATCCAGACTTGCAGATATATATTTTTCGTTGGGCCGTTGATTATTGGCTTTTTTTATCCGTCTATTGTTTTTACTGTCAAGGGCAACCATCAAGGATCCGATCTCCATCCAGTATGACAGGTATACACTTTTCTTTGGGTTTCTACTTATCGCTTGTTTTTTTTTTGTCTAGTGTTTTCACCGCCCAGGTCGAAGAACAAGGATTTCTTCTTCATCCACGGTTACAGGTATACAATTCTCTTTTAGCCTTTGCATAACGCTTGTTTGATTTTTCTAATTTCATTAATGTCTATGCTAAATAATAAGCATCTACTCTCCATCTAAGGCCATAGGTTTAAAAAATATTTTTAAGTATTATTTTACTATTTATTAATTAATTAATTATTATTTTTTTAATTTTACACAGCCAAGGCCAATCGATCCAGGTTTACTGTCCTCTAGGGTAACAAGTATATGTACATACCTGATCGTTTACTTACTGCTTGTTGTTTCGAGTAATTTTTATTTATTCAAACTGAATTACCAAAGTTTTACTATCTACCTAGTGACTGAGGTATACAGGTCTCATTTAGTACTCACGTATCACTTATTATTCTGTCTAGCTTTTTTATAGTTTAAGCCAGCAATCGGGTTTTTAATCTCCATTAAGGATTAAAGGTATACATGACTATGTGAACCTTTACTTACTAGCTATTATATTTTCTAGTCTTTTTACAGGAAAGGCCCACAATTAATATGAGTTGTCTATCCGGGGGGGACAGGTATACAAATCTGCCAAAAAATCTACTTACTATATATTTGCATAATGTTTTTACAGCCGAAGCCAACGATCAAAGCTTTGATATTCTTTTGGGCTCACAGGTATAAAAGTCTCTTTGACTTTTTAGGTACTATCAGTTGTTTTGTTCTAACCCTTTCTTCTCCGTAGCAAGCGTTCAATGCTCAGCTCTACATCAAAGGTCGCAGGTATACAAGAATCTTTAAGCAATTTACTAAAAATTAGATTTTCCTAGCGTTTACATAGTCAAGGCGAAATGATCATGTTCTTTCTATCCATTCAAGGTTCTAGGTACACACGCACATTTTAGCATTTATTCTTCACTGGTTGAATCTTTTTAATCTTTGACAGTCCATGCCGAGAATCAAGGTTGCACTTCAAAAAATAGGGTTAAGGTATACATGCCTTTTTAAGCATTTATTTACTACTAGTTGCTTTATTCAGACTTTATACAGTCGAGACCAAAGATCAAGAGCCCGATTTCCGCATAGATTTACAGGGATACAAGTGGCTTTCTTTACCCATTAACATATTGCTAGCTGTTTGAAGCAATCTTTTTACAGTTCAATTCAACAGTCAAGGTTCAAATCCCCGTCAAAAATCACTGATATACTGCCACTTTTTAGTATTTACTTACTGCCAATTGTGTTTCTTTAGTCTACTCGCAGAAAAGGCCAACAATCAAGATGCCACTCTCCTTCTTGGATGTTATGTATACCAGTATCTTTGGGTATTTACCTATTACCAGCTTTAGTTCGGTAGTCTTTTCACAATTGAGGCCAACACCCAAGATTCCATAGTTCATGCAGGGTTACTGGTATATATACCTCTTTGAGCATTTGCTTGGTGTCTGCTATATTTGTCTAGTCTTTTCATAGTCAAGGCTACTAATTGAGATTCCGCTGCTCATCTAGGGTAAAAGGTATATATGCTTTTTTTTTAATAGTTAATCATTGCTTGTTGAAATTGTCTAATAATTTTACAGTCAACGCTGATGATCAAGTTTCTGCTATTCGTCGAGGTAACAGGCGTACACCCTCCTTTGAATATCTTTCTGTCATCCATCATATTTATCTAGTCATACCATAGTCCACACCAAGGTTCAAGAGTTTAGTCTCCACCCAGGTTCACAGACATTCAAGTATAATTGCCCTTTTAGGACTGCCGGCTGCTATTGCCTATTGCTTTTAATATATAGGTCAAGGGATAAATTTCCTACTCTCAACCATGAGCCACAGGTATCACCGTTTATTTTGAACATTTATTTATTATCGATTACATTTGATTAGTATTTTAAATCCGAGTCCAACGATCAAGCTTCAGCTTTCCGGGAAGGGTTGAAGATATCCATGTATCTTTGATTTTTTTTAATATCGACTGAATTTCTCTGGCGTTTGCACATTCAAGTCCATTGATCAAGTCTTTGGTCATTATCAAGTTTCCACTCAACATTATTGGGTAAAGGTATATAAGATTCTTAGATTACTTTTTTACAGCCAATGACATTTATCAAGCGTTTTTAGAGTCCTGGTCAACGATCAAGATCCTGCTATTAATTCAACGTCTTAGATATATAAGTGTATTTAAATATTACTTTACTACTGATTCTATCTATTTGATCTTTTTTTTTCTTTTTCTTTTTTACATTCTATGCTAGCCCTCACGGCTCTAGTCTCCATCAAGGCTTATAGACATACAAGTTTTTTTTTATTGGAATATGTTCTTACTATCAGTTTTAATTTTTCTAGTAATTTCACAGTTCATACCAACGATTAGGCGTCCGATTTCCATCCAGGGCTACAGGCATACATCTTTATTACACCATTTACTTACAGCCTGTTTTATATGTCCAGAATCTTCACAGCTCATGTCAACAGTCACGGTTTTGACCTACATCTCCAACCATAGGTATATATATATTTCCGAGAATTTACTTACTATTAGGTGTATTTTTCTAGTGTTTTCATAGTAAAGACCAACGATTAATATTCCGACATTTTCCTACAGTCATAGACATACAAGTCTCTTTGAGCCTTTAGTTACTTTAAGCTGTATATTCCCATACTTTTTACGGCAAAGACCAGCGATCAAGGTTTCACTCTCCATAAAAATCCTCAGGTATACAAAGCTCTTTAAATATTTTCTTACTATCAATTAGATTATTCTAGTGTTTACACAGTCAAAGCCAAACTATAAAGCCTCTGTTGCCCGTCCAAGTTCTCCAGTATATATATATTGAGCATCTACTTACTGGTTGTTGTTTTTAGTTATCTTGACATAGTCAAAACCAACGATTAAGGTTTCACCATACATCCAGGGTATGAGATACACATGTCTCGTTTAGTATTTAGCTATCAACTATTATTTTGTCTAGCTTTTTTTTTTATATTTTAAGCCAACGATCAAGTTTTGAGTATTTATTCATGATTACAGGTATATATTTCTTTTTGAACATATACTTATTGTTGGCTTTCTTTTTTTAGTCTATTTACCACCAGGGCGAACGATCAATATTCCGCTGCCCATTTTGGGCTATATGTATACATGACTCTTTAAGCAGTTAATACTTGTCGCTTTTATTTGTCTAGTCTTTTAATCGCCAAGTCCAAAATTTATGGCTCTGCTCTACATCATGGGCCGTAGGTATACAAGTCTCTTTGTGAATCTATTCACTGATGGTTATAAATACTTATAATTTCACAGTTGGTGTCAAAGATTATTGTTTAACTCTTATTCATATGTTACAGGTATACATTGTTTAGTTGCCCATTTTTCTTTGAATTATGCTTGTATTTGCTTATTTTTTTTTCTCTTCGTAGTTTAGGTCAATTATCATGGTTCTATTCTTTATTAAGGATTAAAGACATAGGAGGAGTTTTTAAAATTTTCTCACTGAAAATTGTATTTACTAATTTTTTTTACAGCCGATACCAGGTATCAGTATTCTACTCTCTATTGTGGGCCACAGCTATATTTGTCTTTTTTTTATTTGTCTTTTTTTACTATTTCGACAGCAAAACCCAACGCTAAAAAACTCAATCTCTATCAAGGGTTACAGGTATACCAGTTTCTTTGGATATATTACTACAAATTATTTTTGCATATTATTTTAAACAGACAAGCCCAACGATCAAGATTTCGGGCTCGAGTATCATATACCTGCATATGTATTTGTTTCAGTAACTACTTTATGCTGTTTCTATAGGACCTTACAGTCATATTTAATGCTAAACATTAAAACTTTAGTTTTAGGTATGGATTCTAGGTATACAACAATTTTTGACCACTCAGTACTACTTGCTTTATATAAGAAGTATATGTGTAGTTGAAGCCAAATAATTTAAGCTGGTTAAAAATATAAAAGGCTTTTGAGAAATTCACCGACACCTATATCTTTTTTATGTATTTGATATCAAGGATCAAGTAACAAATTTGTGCTCCCCATCATTGTTTAAAGATATACAAGTATTTTTTAAATTATTTCTTTTATTAATGTTTTCATTTCAGTAGTGTATTTCCAATTGATTTAAAGGATCAAGTTTTTGCCTCCATTATAGACTAAACGTATACAGTGCTATTTGAAAATTTAAATAACGTAATTTGCTTTCGTCTAGTACTCACAGTCAAGACAAGTATCAGAGCTCCACGTTTCCTCATAGGATAGAGGTGAACAAGGCTCTCTGAACATTTAATTACTGCCTCTTTTAACTACAGCTTGGCCTTACCGTACTTACATTCGCTACTTATCCTGTGGCTGCAAGGAATCGCATAACACTAGCATAACGTTATTACTGCTCATCATCTATCCCAATTAACAACATTAGCAACTCGGCATACTTTAGCTTATTTGTTAGTTTCGGGTATGTTTAATTCAGCCACTAGATTATCCACTGTATTATATATCGCAGACCTCTGGATATATCCTCTCAGTATCCTCCTCATGCTAATATGAGCCACGAAACTGATCCCACTCAATCTCTAATATTCAATCATTATAGCTACCACCATCACTTTTGAAGCGCTAGTATCTAAATCAATAGCGTATTAACAGTTGAAGGTCAGCTATGCATACGTATATGGCTACTCACGGGGCTATCTTCGTCGTCCTCGTCGCCACCCAGGAAATATTCCCTGAACTAGACACCTTATTCGCCATATATTTAACCTAATAGATCATACATACGCTCAATCAGCGTAGCCAATGCCACACACTAGATATCCATATCGAGCGGCCACTTCCAACTTATTCTTGATATTGAATTTGTCCTTAATCATATAGCAGTTCCATCTACATATTACAATATTCGAAGCTAAATCAGCTTTGGCTATTCTCTAGCTTTTTCGCCTTTAAATACATTACCTCCAATACATATTACAAAAAAAATATTATGAATGGTTTCATTCTCTGTGCAACTTTTGATATCTTTGTGTTGGTGTTGGTATGCCCAAAAAAAGAATTGAATATAGTGGTTGGCGGTGTCAATCTTGATAGAGTTTTGAAGTTGATGTTGGTACGTGTAAAAAAAAAAGAAAAGAAATATGTTATGGTTGCTGGTGTCAGTTTTGATAGTGTTGTGAAGTTGGTGTCAATTCCAGTAGATTTGTAAAGTCAATGTAGGCATGGAGGTTTGACTGAGGATTCCCGAAAGGGATGAGGTATGTAAAAAGAAGATTCAAGGCATCGTTAAAAGGGGTTTTTTTTTGTGTCTGTTGCGGCTCAGTAAAGGTTATTTTTGATAAACAGTCCTCTCTGAACAGTATTGAGTGAACATTATGGCAAATTGATTATGTGAGTTACAAATCCGGTTGCATTTGAATTCTTAGGGTAACCATAAATAAATCCAAGGTGCAATCAGCTGTCCATACACAAATGACATAAAATGAAAAAAAATGCTAGTATACAAGTATAGTCGAAAGAACAGGTTCATATAAGAAATATACCTGATATCAAATAGCTACAGTTAGTTCAATCTATTTCCACAGCTTTTGTTTTTTGTTTGTTTTTTTTTTACTTTAATAAAAGCCTCCTAGTATAAGTTATATTATAAGACAAGAACTTGCTCATTTGGCTTTTGGAACAAACTATTATTATTATTATTTTAAAAGGAGGGGAAAATAAAAGGGAGGAGAACTCGGAGAAGTGAAAAGAGATAACAAAATAACAGAAACCAATCAGTTTTTCGGGCGCGACTACAGATGTATTATTGCAATGAAGGTTAACGGTCGCAGTGCATATGACTAGTATATAAGAGGAGTCAACGAACATACGTCGCAACCTAGCAAAATGAAACATTCAGTCCAATTCAGAGCAGTTATCTCCTTATCATCAAATTGATGACTTGACAACCGAAAATTATATATTTTACTTTTGAGTTTTGGTGCCTTTATTTATAATTTTCCATGTGCGCTGTTTATTTCTTGTCTTATTACACTCAGTATGAAACTTACAATTTATAGGTTGTTTGTTGGTATCATAATTTGTTTTATATTTTATGTTAATTTCAAAGAGCCTGCTGTGCAGCATATTTTTAATACAAGTCTCTGTATAATATACGTATAACATGAACAGCTTCAATCTTGCCAAATCTCAACTCGGTGTATCCTTTGTAAAGTTCGCATTTCCTGTCCATATCTGGGTCTTCATTATCATATGAGCTGTAATCTTCTAATGTTTGACTGGTTTTGTTGGACTGAAAGTTTTGATAGTATTCAAGTGCAATATTGGCACCTTTATCTGAAAGCTTTGTAGTCTGTATGTAGCTCTCTCCATACTTCCCAAAGTACTCATATGCATAGATCCAATCAATAGCGTGGCTTGTTACTGTAGGGTATTCTGAATTTATCTTCTTTTTTTCTCTTTCATTCTTTTCATCCGATATTTGAAGACCATTTGATTGGGACAGAAGTGTAAGGCAGATATTATTATTTATATCAGATTCTTCGTGTGATGTGCTGTATTGAACCTGGCCAATGCGCAGAGTCTTTAAGAAAATATGCGACATATCGAGTAGCAGGCACCCGGTTTTTTTGCAAATATATCCATTGATTACCACAGTATCCAAAGTTATATGCTTCAGTTTTCTACACCTGAACGAGAGGATATTAAAAATTTCAGCCGTTACAGCGCAATTCTTTAACGTCAAAATCTGCAATTCATGTTGCTTCTGCTTCTGCTCCTGTTGTTCCCGCTGATTTGACTCGCCGTTTGTCGTATATGGATTACTAAGAAATGTTCCGCCATCAATTTTTAGCTGTTTGAGGGACACGAAATTGTCCAATATATCATTTAGATTAAGAGACATGTTGCTACCACTGATGCAAAGGTCTGTCAAAAGCGGATTGTAAGAAGATAGTTCTAGAATCGTATTTTCGTTCGTATAATTATATATAAATCCTTTGACTGATAAACTCTCGAGTGTTCCAGAAAAGGATTGCAAAATTCTGTTAACATTCATCGGGTATGAAGGGTCCACTTGGCCATATTTTGTTGTATCTAACTTCAAATGCTTGAGGGGAGTTTTTAATGCACAAAACAATTCCCATAAAATAAAGTCAGAATGCTCGAAATATCTGTCAGTCTTTAGATCGAATGTTTCCAGGTGTTGGAATGCGTTTGGATTGGAGTGAAAAAGAGTTATAAGTGCTTGTCTCTCGTCTGAATTTATAGGTGTACTACATGTATCTGTGATGTTTAGCTTTAGGGAACGCAAGTTTGGATACTTTAAGCTAAAGTAGTACAGCCACAAAGGATTCCAGTTATTTCGACTTGCACTTCCGTACTCGTCTACGTATTTGTACTCTTTCGAATTTATTTCTACGGATGTCACGGAGAAAGCCAGTGTTATGTCTGGGATATTATCCAATATAGCCGAAAAGTCAGGGCTGAGATATATATCAACCTTGATAGCCGATAGGTCTTGTAAGTGTTGGTGCATGCTTTCAAAGTCATCTACACTAAATTTCATGCGATAACCGTTACATCCAGCAGATATTTCTAATTTCTGGAGTATGACACACGCATTTATAAGTTCAAAGAGTGGTTTTGCTGACTTCTTTTGCCTGGTTCCTTTGTAATGTATTTTTAAATTTTCCAGAGACTTCCATATTTTGTCTGATCTTGTTATATCTGTGTCAATGTCATCATAGCTTATATTTTCTAGATGCAGGCTCTTCATGTTTGGTAGGTATCTGAATAGGCCAGAGAAATTTATATCTGATATCTCTGTCGCATTGTAATGACAACCTATTCGTAGACTGTGAACACAGGAGCCGTGTGGTGTTTGTACATTTTGGGAAGCTTTAACGATGTTGATAAGTGTTTGCACGTCATCAGGGGAGTAAAATCGTATTTTTTTCCACAGAGAGCTTTGAAATGGGTATCTCCATGTTTTGCAGGTAAGGGCACAATACAGCCGGTCCTTTGTCGATAGATCATCAGCAATTTGTGTAAGTATTTCGAATGGCAGTTCTAGCGACCTCATAAAGATAACCATATAAAAAGTAAAACAGGTGAAAGAAACAAAATAAAATAAAAATATATTGTCATATATATATAAGCACCAATAAAGGTAAAATCGACAGCTAGAAAAAGAAATACTGCGGAAAACTGATATTGTGAGACATATATTTGGATATATTTGAATCGTTGAGGTAACCATCAAGATGTACAAAGCGCAATCAGCTGTCCACATAAAAAAGTAAGACAAAAATATAATATTGCTAATGTGCAAGTGCTGTCGAGAGGACATATTCATTTACAGTTGTACCTGATATAAGATAGCTATAGTCCATTCGAGCTGCTGCCATAAACTTTAATTTTTACTTTAATAAAAACATTGGACTATAAATCATACGAAAGACCAACAGCTTGCTCATTTGGCTCTCGTTGCACACAATTTTTTAAAGTAGGACAAGAAAACAAAAGGGGGCGAACTCAGGGAAGTAGAAATGAATAACAGAATAACAGAAACCAATCAGCTTTCCGAGTGCGAATACAGATACCTTTTTTTACAATAGAAGGCTAATACTCATATAGTAGTTGAATAGTCCACAATAATAGTTAAAAACTGTACATCATGTATCATCATATTAAAACATTAACTTTAAGGTAGAGCAATCATATCATTATTATCATATTCATACTTTGACAGCTAGAATTTTGATACTTTGCTATTGACACTTTATTCTTTGGTTTATGACCTTAGTTTATCCACTCTTTATATCTTATATTATCACAATCATAATGAGACATACAGTATATTGCTTTAGTAAGTATGCCCTTTGCTTTATTATACTTGTTATTTACTCTCTTTTGCAAACAGTTTATTATACGGCGTATTTTCCAAAACTGTAATATTCTGATACACATGAAGAAGGAACATCTTTAAACTTACCAAATCTTAATTCGCTGTGTCCTTGGTAAAATTCATATTCTCAACCGACCTTTGGTTTTTCTCTATATGTCTCGGTCAACTTTGTTGGACCAAAAGTTTTTATAATATTCAAATGCGATGCTGGTTTCTTTCTTTGAAAGTTTTGTGCTTATTTTGCACGTCTCATTATAATCCCCATAGCAACCATATTTATTGAGCCAAAAAATATTTTGGTTCTCTACAATAGAGTGCTTTGAATATCTCTCATTTTTTTCGATATTATTATTTTTGTCTGATGGCGGAGCGCCGTTTAATTGAGATAGGAGCGTTGGATGACTATAATAACTTACATTCGTTTCTTTGTCCAATATTTTGTAACTAATCTGGCCGGTGTGTAAAATCCTTAAGAAAGTATGTGACATATGGAGTAGTAGACATCTGGGTTTTTCGCAAATAGATCCCGTGATCAACGCAGTATACAAAGTTGTATATTTTAAACTTCTACGCCTGAAGGAGAGGCGAGTAAATACTTCAGTAGCCTCAGAGAATGTCTGTAACGGCAGAATATGCAGTCCATTATCATGGTGATGATGCTTTGAGTTAATGAACAATTTTCTACCAGCATATATTAATTCTTTTAAGAGGTACAAATCTGTTCAATAGATCATCTAGATTAAGAGATACGTCCTTGCCACTGATTCAAAGGTGTGTCAAAAGCGGGTAGTAAGAGGATAGTTTGAGAGTTCGATCTTGGCTCTTAGCGTTATATATAAATTCTGTAACCGAAAGTCTTTCGAACGTTTCAGAAAAGTATTATAGAATTATGTCAATATTCATTGAGTATGGATCGTCTACTTCGTCCCATAGTGTTGCATATAGGGTCAAATGTTTAAAAGGCACTCTCAATGCATAGAGTAATTCCTATAAAATAAAGTCAGAAGACTCGGAATATATGTTGGTTGTAAAGCTGAATGTTTCCAGGTGTTGAAATGTGTTTGTATTGGATTAAAAAAGAGACATCATTGTCTGCTTCTGGCCGATATATACTCGATCACCGTGTATGTCTGTGGAATTCAGCTTTAGAGAGCGCAGGTTTGAATATTTTTAACCAAAATTGTAAAGCCACAAAGGATTTCATTCATTCTCATCTTTAGTTATTTCATCGTTTTTCTATTCATATATATTCGAATTTATATCTAGGGATGTCATGAAAAAAGCCCGTGCTGTATCTAGTATTCTGCCCAGTGTAACTCAAAGTTTATTACTGAGATATATTTTTCCCTTGATAGACGATAGGTTTTGAAATTTTTGATGCACGGTATCAAAGTCATCGACACTAAACTTCATGCGATAAAACTGTTCTTGATAAAGTATTTATAATTTCTGAAGCGTTTTACACGCAGTGCTGATCCTAAAGGGTCAAGGCTTCCAAGAGGGTCACGATATTTCTTAGCAGGAGACGACATTTTGATTTTATCAGACCACAAATTGTGACCTTGTTCCCGGCATTGAATAATTATACCAGATTCCTAAGGATAAGTAATATTCGTATCAAGATTATCTTTTGTGTTTTGCAAAAAATATGGGTTGATATTACTTACCAGTTGGGGCTTTCAAACTCTGGTAATATATCTATAGTAGGTGAAAGAAAGAGAAAAACATGATACGCATAAGAAGGCCAACAAATAGTAGAAAATCTAACAAGATTGCGTCGCTATTTAAGGACAACAACTCCTTATAATCTTCTGTATAAATGGCTATTGGCCAAGTCTAGATTTAAGACATAAACGCTTGTTAATCAGCTATACAGAATTTTTTATTGTATGAGACAAGCTTTTATTATTAAATTGACCAAAAACAGGCTGCACTTCCTAAAAGGAGAGGTAGGCTCCTTAGAAGAGATTGATAAAGGCACAGAGTGTGGAGATAAAATAGTAAGCCAATACGTACAATAGATATATTGTATTTTTTAGAGCACGGTACTTCCCCCCATGAAGGATTAGAGATATATACCGGGCCCCATACAGGTATCCATGATTATCTAGTCCGGTTATGATAGAAACGTTGTCTCTGTAGGATTTCAGAGTTAAAAACGTTTCGATTTTTGATCCCAGAAAATTTGTAAGAGAAACCATATCTTCACCATACATTTGCTCAGCAAGAATGACAAACAAACCCTTCAAACCTCAAATACAAGATTCTATACATGCTTATTATTGAAATATATAAAGAAGAAGGAAAGATCAATACTGGATATGACCTCCCTTGGCCTCAATCACATCCTGGTGTCGATGTTGCATGCTTTCTGTAAAAGTTGATGCAAATTTGACACCTATTTTTTGCCACACTTGTTGCATTACAACCTTTCAAATTATAAATGCTGTTAACGCTTGTCTACTAATAAGTAATACATCTTTTGATAGGACCACCGAAAGTGTTTAATGGGGGGTTAATATCCGGTATTTGAGCTCTCCAGTAGACAAAACCTCTGACCTTATGGGTTGTCTTTCCACCCCTTCAAATAAGAGCCAGTATTATCACAACTATAATTGTCTTATTGGAACGTAAGATTCCTATTTTGTTTCTGTAAAAGCTTTTAAAATTAAGAGAGGAAGTTATGAGCCTAAAAAAAAGTCTTTACCTATCCGTTCTGATTTATGTTGCTATATAGTAGCCCCAAAGGTCCCAGAAAAAACACTGGCCTAGGAACAGCTCCAAATCAACATATTATCCTTCCTTTATTTGGGTTTCTCAATGCTATATATATTCCTCATACCTTTTATCAACTCTTCTGATATAGCTGAATCATTCAACATTACCTTTGACTGCAAGTCTTGATCCCCTGGTCAAATTGACATACGAACCCCATCAAATAGCTTTCTATCGTGGATTTCTCTTAAATCTGAACTATGGGTCTTGGTATCGGATTATTGCTTTTCGATAGGTAAATATCTCTGTATTCTTTAAAGATGACCTTTAATCTAGAATATGAGGCATATGGATTCTTCTAAACCACTTGTACAAAGCGTCTTTCTGTCCTCTCTCCAATCTTTCTGGGTCTCCCGGACCCATTCTTTCGGGGTGATCAAACCGTTTTTGACCGTGAGTGTATCTGTATAATAACTAGCAAAGAAAGAGGCCCCAGAATTGTTCTTTTGCGCGAGATCATGTAAATATAGATTACATATATATTAAGAAAAAAAACAATTGTAAAAGATGAAAAGATATAACGTAAATTCAAAAAGCATTATATTATATTGCTTAAATTTTTAATCGTTTTTTTTTTTAATTATTGTTATCATTTTTATATGCTTGCACCAATTGTTTATTTGAAAATTTTAACATTCAAAAGCATAAATTAGAATGAAAATAGCTGATAAAGCATACTGCACTATGTAAGTCTCATTTGGAAAATATGCTGTTCAATAAAGTCTTCATAAATTATTCAAGAGATTCAGGTAAAACTCACAAGTTACATACAGTAAAAGTATATATTTTATTTCGAATTTATTTTTATTATTTTCTTGATTCTAATAAATCGATGGATAAATAGAAACCATGGTAACCAAAATAAACTCATTTTGAAACATATACATATAAAAAGCCATCAAGTAAGGCCACTTTTACAAAAAGGTAAGATTTATTTATTTTATTTTATTCTTTAAAAAAAAATATGTCTTGGATCAGTTTTCATTCTTAGTATTATTCTTTTTTTAGTTTATACTTTACATCACTAATGCTAAAAGACACAAAGAGGTGTACAGAATACAGCGAGTAAAGCAGAGAAATATCAAACAAAGACAATATACACAATATAGCTATGTTGATCAATTGGTGCCTTGTACAGCACATACCTTCTTTCCTTGTCTTTGTATTCTTGTATACTCATAATTAAACTCTTTTTTCTTTCACTCTCCAAATCCCCCAAAGAAAATTGATTGATTGATTGCTCTGTTGTCAATGACATCACTCTCAGCTTGTAGCCTTGCGTAACGTTCAGCTTCTGGATTAGAATGACAATGTTGTATGTTCCTGTGTAAATGCCCTGGCTTTATTTTTATTTTATTTACATTTGTAGTATAATGTAATTTAATGTAATGTAATGTATGGTCAAGAAGATTAAGATGATGACACAATAGAATTTTGGAGGGAAACACCTATTAAATCTTGTACTTGATCCAATTACCAGAAAGATACTATTACTAATAAATTCAAGCTTATATTCTATTCTATAGTCTATTGTTTATCATTGATATTCAGAGCTTTGTTTAATTAATGAACCCATTTATTTTATCTTAATCTTTCAATTGACAAAAAGGCCATTAATAAATACTAGATTTTACTTGTTTGAGTATAATTCAATAGTTATTATGTAAGTAAATTATTCATTATATGCATATGTGTATGTATATGTATGTATGCGAGTGTGATGTGCTCTATTCTATCTAAATTGAAACATGTCCACTCAAACCAGTTGATTATATCTCTATACCCAACAACCCCATTTATGGATATTTTGGTTCTTTCACTTCAAAAAACATAAAAAAGAATGCCAAGCGTCATGATCGTGCTGGGTTCTAACCATATTCACCAGACCGACAGACAAAGGACAAAGCAAGAGAGAGAGAGAGAGGGAGAAAAGTAGAATGAAAATAAATGAAATAATTATACTTTTTTTTCTCTCTCTCTTTCTTTTCTTTCTTTCTTTATTCTTCTATCTATATCTCTCTCCCTTTATTGTTTCAATTAACTATGGCAAGCAAATTCCCTTATGGCTGGTTCTTTATTCAGTCCCGCTGTAAGCACAAGATGGTTCTTGACGTGTCATGGGATTCCCTCAAGGTAATGAACCAATCAATAAAAGTTATATTGTAATTTTGTTTTCTAATCCAAATGGTTGATTGTAGACAAGCGCCAAGGTGATTGTGTACCCAATGAAAGAAACAGACAATGCCAATCAGTTGTGGATGTATGACCATGGCTACATTATCAATAAAAACAGTGGTCTCGGTAAGCTTCTTTGCAGACTAGAATATACATTACGTATTATGTACCAAGAAATTGGTTCTTTTTCTTTATTCTTTAAGAAATAAAAATATTATATATATATACAATCTCTAAACTCGTAGTAGCTGGTAGTTAGTAGTCAGCAGTAATATATAAATATGTAATTGACAATATTAATCGATTAATTTATTTATTTACTTTTGAAATTTCTCGTTTTTGTTTTGTAGTCTTGGATATTCAAGGTGGTGAGTAAAGCAAAAAAAAAAGATAGAAAGATATCCCAAATGAACCTTTGACAATGGCCTTCTTTATATTTATCTGTACCTGTATGTCTATCATATTGCTACTGTGATTGGGATTGCTATTGTAATTGGTTTCATTGTTGGCATTCTCAATAATGTTATTATTATATGTTTATTTATTTTATTGGGATACCATCCAGACATTTAATAGACATTTTTTCCTTTTTAAAAAAAGGTGTATTGGAGAGTGACAAGCAAGTGATCCAGTTCAAGCGAAAGATGCTCGAAGATGCCCAAAACCAACGATGGTATTATCGTGAAGATGGTTTCATTTACCCACAAGCAGATCCTAATCTGGTGCTTGATATTCGGGTAAGTTTAAATTTACTAATCATAACTACAGTGAAATGTTGATAGTCTTCCTTACTTTAATATTATTATTTCTTGGGACTTTTTGACATTTATATCCATAATTTTAAATGTTAACTTTTTTTTGTAAAAAAAAAAAAAAACAAAAAACAGGGTAATTGGACAAAGCCAGGAACAGTGGTGTTATTGTATGAGCGTAAATACGAAGACAATGAGAATCAATTGTGGGATCTTGTGCCATACCAAGAACCAAAGAGATTAGTGAATGACAGAACAGGTTCAGAATCACCTCAAGACCCAGACGAGGATTACTCATTTAGTACAGCAAGCTATGCATTATAATACCTGTCTAATTAATTTTGTTCCCTCATCTTATTAATATTATTTTTAATATTAATTAAAACGCACACCCACCCACACCTACCCACACACACCCACACACACCCACACACACCCACACACACCCACAGAAAGAGAAAGAGACGCAGATACACGCTACTTAAAACATGCATACATACATACATAAATATAAATATATATTAAATTATTGAAAGACAATCCTGCCATTGATTCTCTTTTTGGTTTTGTTCGGATACTGTGAGTCAACAACAAAAGGAATAATAGGAAGATGTGTTTACAAGAGGTAGAAAGAGAGATTTAGAAAGGAAATTGTAGATGACCTTGCCTATTTGGTGAGGTTTATTTAATGTATAATAGCAATATATACATTCTGTGGATATTGGAATATAAATGGGTGCTTGGGTTAATTGATGGCCATTAGACACCAAACCTCTCACCTTCCTTTTCTCGTACTTTATTTCTATGAAATTATTGTTCCAAATTCAATTCATTTGTTACTTGATTGAATCCAGTTTTGACATTATTATTTTCTTTGCTTTGACCTCCCGCGGGAACTTGATATTGATACTGATCACCAGAATCCCATGGTAAAATCATTAAGGAGAAAAAATAAATTATCCCTTTCTCCCGAGGCAGTAAATATCTTGGGTTAAGAGGTTAATTTTATTCTTACAGAATTGTATTTTTCATCAAGTTATATCCACACAGCCATATACATATATATATGTATAACAAAGATGTACTCTATTTTTTTTATTGTAATAGATCTGCAAAATAATCCTCGAATTCTTCCTCTTTTGACCTTTCTTCTCTTGATTCTGCAGTCTGCTTCCACACATTGGATGCTTCGGACTCTATATGGTTTATATACCATTCGTTTATTCATATATTAGTATTACGCTCATCTTAACAAGTAAAGATGAGAAAGTAAAAGTAATAACAGACTCCTTCCTGTCTACCAATTCATAAATGTACCGACACACCAATAACTTACCTTTATTTTTACCCATTCTCTCGCCTTCGTCTTCTTCACTTTCGCTTTCACTTTCACTTTGGCTTTCATCTTCTGCAGCAGATTTACTACCAGAAGATTTTTTGGATCGTTTACGGGAAGACTTGTTTGAATCTCGTTCTTGTTCTCGCTTTTGATCCCGCTTCCGTTTCAATTTGTCCTTCTTTTCTTTCTTGGCCAACCTCTTTTGTGTAGTGTAGTTTAATTTATCAGAACATGATGGGCAAAGTCTGATTTTCACCAATTCATTCTTGACCTCGCCATCCTCTGCATATCTGAAATTGACTTCCCAACTCTCCAGACTGTGAGTAGAATCGCAGCGTGTAGAAGCACACACAAACTGGCCTAAAACACAAGTAAGTAAACGTATAAACATATAAATAAATCGATACCCTACCTTTACCAGATACTACTTCACCCTCTGTACGCCAGCGTAAAGCAATTTTTGATTCTTTGTAGTACTTTAATTCACCAATGGCATATTCTTTGAAGAGTTTATCATAATATTTCTTGGCTGCACGTTGTTCCCATGGTGCATCTTCGGCCTCGTCTTCATCTTGATTGCGAATAAACTTGTGATTCTCTCGAATGATCTCAATCTCGGTCTTGTATTTTACTTCATTTTTAGGTATTTGATGGTTGTAAAAAAGTGTGTAGTCTCTAATCAACTTTTTGTGTCGAGTGTACTTGTAAACAGTAAAAGAAGAAGAAAGAGTATTTATATATATAAAAGAAAAAGAGAGAAAATAGTAAGATTTTTTGATAATTAAAAGCAAAAAATAAAAATGTAAATAGATATATATCTATATATGATATAGTGAAAAGAAGAAGAAAAGAAAGGGTAAAAAGAACACTTTATTGTCTTACTGCATCTACACCACGTAGGTCATTACGAAACATTGATTTTGAAGATGCCATTATTATTATTATTATTATTATTATTATTATGATTATTTAAAGAAAGAAAGAAAGAAGGGATACAGAAAGTAAAATAAGAATTATAAAGGAGATAATCTATACAGGTGCAATGTATAGTGGTTGTAGTGTTTGTGTAGTGTGTATGGATTGTAAGTATTGAGGAATGTATGCAAGCAACACAACTTTAGTTTTACTGCTCAAGTCACACACGTCACATCAAATGGGAAGAGAGAAAGACAGAAGTTGAGAAAGAAAAAGAAAAAAAGATAAAAAAATGAAGATCATGAATTGAATTTCTTTTAAAGAAAAGAAGAAGAAAAAAAGCATGGCATCTTCTTTGCGCGATCAAGTTAATGCACTCTTGACAGATTACTCTGGTCTTATTAAGAATTACTTTCATGCCATATCATTAGTAGCAGAAAATACCCCGGTGGATGAGCAACATTCTCCCGAGACACTTTTAAAAAAGATTGTTGGAGTAGATAGAGCACTCCAACAAGCTATTGAATCCAGTAAGATTTCCATTTCCTTCTTTCTTTCTTTATATATATAATAATAAAAAGAAGAAGAAAAACAAAGCACATATATACTCTATATACAAAATGAACAAACAAAGCGTATTGATAGGTTTCTACTCCTAGTCGATGAGCATCAAGCACGACAGAGACGAATTATACAAGTTCAGGATGATATTCAACGCCATCAAATGACAATGTTGGAAATCGTTCAACGATTGCATGATGCACGCGAAAATATAGATCTTGATTTGACACAGGCCAAACGTGAATTAAAGGCTATTGAATATTCCAAGGATTGTAAGATAAATGCAAAAAGAAGAAGAAATATATATATATATATATATATGTCAATCTGTATATTTACTTCTTTATTTTCTTATAGCAAATGTTCAGTTCACAGAGATTTTGTCTTATGCTTCTAAACTATCAAAGTACACTTCTGCACCTCCAAACTTTGAATTGATCAGTCGTGATATGAAGATTGAATTCGAGAAACCTTATCCTGATGAAGAGCGTATGCGCCGTGGTCAACTCTACTGGCAGCATGCACCACAACCTGTACCAGAAGATCAATGTGAGAATCATGAAACTAGAAGAAAGATAATACTATTACTATTATTACATGTTTTTTTTTGGCTTTTGAAGTGAGCTAATTATATACTTTTTTATTTTGTTTTCTAGTCGAAAGCTCGGATAGTGATAGTGCAATGGAAGAAGAAATCAATAAGGAGGCTGGTAGCACTGGTCAACCAGAGGAATCTCAAGGAGATCCATTCTGGATCTTGGATCTCAATCCAGATATGCCTTCATGAAATATACTCTCTCACTCTCTCACTCTCTCACTCTCTCACTCTCTCACATTCACACTCACACTCACACATTTACTCAATAACTCATATATATACATGTACAAATCCATTAAACATGTTTGATTAATTGACCAAAAATAGTATTAATCATCATCATCATCTATGGCTGTCATTGTTATAATTACTATGATTATATTATTATTAGTTGCTTGCTTGAAACATATGAATCCATGTTGGCTCTCTTTTTTTTTTGGTTTCAATCAAGCACAAATAAAAATACAGGTTAAAGCACGTGTTGTAAAGTGACGTCAAGGCAGCTGCTTGAAAAGCAAAGAGGTTTGACCATCAATCTCTCTTTATTTCTTCTTCTTCTCCTTCTTCTTCTTCTTCTTTTGCTTTCTTTCTTTCTTCTACATATATACATTTAAATTATCAATAATATAGTTTATTACAAAGATGGCAAAGAAAACAAAGAATGCTATGACTCTTCACAAAGTGATTATGGTTGGATCCGGTGGTGTAGGAAAATCAGCCTTGACACTCCAATACATGTACGGTGACTTTGTAGAAGAATACGACCCAACCAAGGCAGATTGTACGTATACGTCAATACCAATACCAATACCAATACCAATACCAATATTCATCTATACATATACATATATATATTTATGTTTATATATATGTTTGAAGGAGAGAGAACGTGAAAATGAAAGAATGAAAGAAAATTGTATTGAAACAGAATTAATGACAGAAATTGAAACCTAAATTCTTTTCTCTTTCTATACTTTATTTTCTATACTCTATTTTTGACATTAGCCTACCGCAAGAAGATCATGTTGGATGGTCATGAATGCGACATTGACATTCTAGACACAGCCGGACAAGAAGAATATGCAGCTGTGAGTTTCTCTTCTTTTTTTTTTCTTTGTTCATATTTCTCTCCGCTCTGTTTCACCAAGATGAGCATCTACACTACAGACTACGCTGCACATTATACTACATATATGTATATTACATACACAAGCATAGGACGGGATAGAGGAGAAAGAATAGAAAGAGATACTCCTTTTTTATTTCATTTTATATCTCTATTTTACAAAGACGCGAATAAGTTTCTGATTTTTGCTATATTATTCTGAATATTATTTGTTCATTTTTATATGTATATATAATATAGATTCGCGACAATTACTATCGATCTGGTGAAGGATTTCTTTGTGTATTTTCAGTCTGTGAATACGAATCGTTTGAACATGCCCAAGAGTTTAGAGACCAGATTCTCCGTGTATTAGATGATGACACCGTAAGTGCGATTCGTTTGTAAATAGACATTAATATTAATATTAATATTGTTATTGTTATTAATATTTTGTAGATTCCATTTATCCTGGTAGGAAACAAGGTTGATTTGGAACATCTACGCAAAGTAACGACCGAAGAAGCCCAACAGCTTGCCCAGGAGTGGAATTGCAATTACATGGAAACATCAGCCAAGACACGATACAACGTAGAAAATGTCTATACAATGTTGATGCGACAAATAAGAGATCGCAAAGAACAAATGTCAATGACAGACTCAAGATCAAAGAAAGGAAAATGTATCATTCTATAGACAACTTGCAAAATAATAATTATAAAAAATAATAATAACAAGCACAACAATAATCACATTAACCGCAACAACAATAATATCATCTTCATTATCATTACCTTTTTTTACATGTATAGTCTTGTGTGTATGTGAGTGGGGCTGTGTCCTTGTTTATACATTTATATATAAAATGTATATATGATCAAAGGATTTCATTATACATATACATATATTTGTTGGTTTCATCTTATTGGTCTTTGGTGTAAAGATCTGCGAGTACAGGTGTCTGTTTAATTTGCTGTATATAATAGTCTGTGGTGTGGAATGCATTAGATGTATATGCGTATAGTATGGTTGTATCGATAGGCTGAAAACAGTCTAATGAATTCAAAGCCATAATTTTATATCTATAATACAAATTATATATAAATATATTTTTGAACTTCTTTATGAGGAGTTTATTAAATTTCTGTCATTAACACCAGAATAAGAACGCATAGAGAGGAAATGAAAGTAAGTGAAAAGAAATTAAAGAAGAAGAAGAAAAGAAGGAACATATATATATATTAAGTACTTTTGATCCCCCCCTTGCATACAAGCCCTAGGCTATTGTTATGATTATTATTATTATTATCATTATTTTAGTCTATATGAAATTTTAGCTGAAATAAATCCAAGTATTGGAAGCACCACAACCGTTCTTCTTCCATTACTTTCACTCTTTTCCATAGTACATTACATTATATATGTATATAGGCCGATAACATAGACATATAAGCTATATATTCTCATATACATTTTCATATACATTTTCATTTTTGCGTCATTTTGTGCCCTCGCACATTCATAGCCGTATCCGCGCTTTTCACTCAATGACAGGCAAGTAGATAAGAATTAACAAACAAAATGGCCTTTGGTACGGAACCAAATCAAATCAAATAATAAATCTCATTCATTCCTACACCTATTTCTTTCGCCTCATTTCCTTTTCTCTCTGTGTATTTTTTTTCTTTCCTAATTATTTATTCATTTATTTTTTATATATAAAATATAATATATATATATATATATATATATTATATATATAAAATAAATACATGTATACATATATACATACATATATCATTCTATATCAATTATCGTAGGCCTCAATTATCCAGATCAAATGGATTTATCTCAGACTACATTTGGCGAAAATGACCTTCCAGTCAACTTCTTAGAGACCTCAGACTTGTATACTCATGGCCACCCATTCTCTGACCTACTCCGTCCTCCAAAAAATTCACCGGACGCACCCGCCACAATCTATCAATACTGGGACACTGCCGGCTGTCCGATTCGGATGACCGATATCGAAGACATCTTTCTGGACTTTGCAAAGTACTTTGGATTCCAACGCGACAACAGACGCAACATGTATGACCACCTCTTGACAATGCTGGATTCACGGTCGGCTCGCATGACCCCAAGACAAGCCTTATTATCACTCCACGCAGACTACATTGGTGGAGAGCATGCCAATTACCGCAAGTGGTATTTTGCCTCCCAACTTGACCTTGACGACCGTCACAGTGTACCCACAACCCCAACCGGACAATTGATCGAAGAAGCCAAGCGAGAGTGGCGCCAGAGGATGGAGTCTCTGACGGACCACACACGAGTCTGCCACCTGGCCCTCTATCTTTTGATCTGGGGAGAGGCAGCCACCCTGCGGTACATGCCCGAACTGATCTGTTTTCTGTTCAAGGCGGCAGATGACTACCGTGTGGTCATCAATACTTCTCTAGTAAACCGGCTCAGACAAGTGGCCCCTGAAAGTTTTCTAGACACCATCATCACCCCGATCTACCAGTTTGCACGCGGCCAGTCGTACACACTTGTCCGTGGTGAGTGTATCCGTCGCGAAAGGGACCACAACCACATCATTGGCTACGACGACATAAACCAGCTCTTCTGGGATCGCAGGTCGATGGCCAGGTTGCGACTCAGAGACGGCCAGTTCCTCAAGGACATCGTACGCTACGAGCAGTTCCACGTACTGTCTCAAATCGAGTGGTCAAGTACATTCGAAAAGACGTTTTACGAAACCCGGTCGTCGCTCCACCTGCTCACAAACTTCTCGCGAATCTGGATCATCCACGCCGCCTCTTTTTGGTACTACATGGCCGCAAATGTCGATTTCGTCTACCTCTCAATGTCAGGAAACCGACACGATCTTGCGGTCAAGCTATCTGTGATCGGATTAGGAGGTCTGGTCGCCAGTCTGCTACTCATCATGGCCACCCTGGCAGAATTTGCATACTTACCTGCCACCGTCCAGACCACCAAGATCCTTGTGTCGCGTATCCTGGTCCTCATGGTTCTTTCGGCATGTCACGTCGGCGCATCTGTATACGTTATCCAGTTTAACAAGGTCGGTGGAATGGTTGGTTTGATTGTCGCCAGCTGCCAGTTGGGTCTAGGAGCCATTCTTTCGATCGTGCTTGCCATTGTCCCCTCGGCAAATCTATTTCGCCGTCAGCGTTCGAGCCACCCAATTGCATCCAAAACATTTACCGCCCATTTCCCAGGAATTCCAGGAGACGATCGGTGCCTTTCAATCCTGCTGTGGATTTGCATCTTCAGCAGCAAGTTCCTCGAAACTTATTTCTTTTTGGCCCTGTCTTTCAGGGATGCCCTGGGGGCCACAATCTCAGTGCGACTCGGCAGCTGTGCAAAGGACACACTCTTGGGTAACTCGGTCTGCAGAATAATGCCTATTCTCACCAGCACACTTTTATTTTCTGTTGAATTTCTCTTGTTCTTTCTCGACACCTATCTCTGGTATGTTGTCTGGAGTACACTCTTTTCGGTCTCACAGTCAATGCACCAGGGGCTCTCTGTAATGACCTCCTGGCGTACATTGTTTGGCCGCCTACCGCAGCAAATCATCCAAAAAGTCGTGGCAACCAAAGAGCTGGACACACTCCATCTACGTAAAATTGCATGCTCTCAGATGTGGAATGCAATCGTGATATCAATGTACCGAGAGCACCTACTGTCCATCAGTAACCTTCAGGCACTTTTGTATCAGGTTCAAACGACTCCAAATGCCAATGATGGAACCAATAACAGCATTAATAATACAAATGGAAAGGAAGCCAGGGAGCTCAAAGTGCCAGAATTCTTTGACCCAAAGGGTGCCACCGACAAGGAACAGTGCTTCCCTGGACAATCCGAGGCCGAGCGTCGGCTGTCATTCTTTGCCCAGAGTCTGTCAACTGACATCCCAAAACCTTGTTCGGTCCATGAGATGCCGGTCTTTACGGTCTTTACACCCCACTATGCCGAAAAGATGCTCTTGTCACTGCGCGAAATTATTCGTGAAGAAGACACAACCTCAAGGGTGACACTGCTAGAGTACCTCAAGAAGCTTCACCCAGCCGAGTGGGAAAACTTTGTAAAGGACACCAAGCTAATTGTCGAAGAAAGCGAAAACGAAACGTCGGATCGAGACGACCTGCCATTTTATTGTATTGGCTTCAAATCATCTGCACCAGAGTACACACTGCGTACCCGGCTTTGGGCATCCCAACGAGCACAGACTTTGTACCGCACTGTATGTGGATTTATGAATTATGCAAGAGCACTCAAGCTTCTCTATCGTATTGAGCACCCAGAAATACACGCCACTCGAAAACAGCAACAAGAGCAACAAAAAAGTAAAGATGACAATAATGATAATAACAAAAGTAGTAGTAATAAAAAGGAAGCAGATTCGAAATTAAATAAGAACGATTCTCAGTCCGAAGCATTACTGGATCAATTAGCCCACCAAAAGTTCCGTTTTCTGGTGGCCATGCAGAGATACGCCAAGTTTAATTCAGAAGAGGCTGAGAACTGCGAGTATTTGCTAAACACCTATCCACACCTCCAGATTGCTTATATTGATGAAGAAAAGCCCAAAGAGAAAGATCAGGAGCCGATTTATTACTCGGTCTTGATCGACGGCAATTGTGAGCGGTTGCCAGGTAACAAAAGACTACCGAGATACCGGGTCAGGCTACCCGGAAACCCTATCCTGGGTGATGGCAAGTCAGACAACCAGAACCACGCCCTGATCTTTTATCGAGGAGAATACTTACAGCTCGTGGACGCCAATCAAGACAATTATTTGGAAGAATGTATAAAGATCCGGAGTATCTTTAGAGAGTTTGAGCAAGAGGACGCTCCGGATGAAACAGAGGTGTATAGTTTACATTGCAGCAATCCGTCCAAGGCAAAACCTCCAGTGGCCATTGTTGGTGCACGAGAGTACATCTTTTCAGAGAATGTGGGGGTGTTGGGAGATATTGCGGCCGGAAAAGAGCAGACCTTTGGTACCCTGACGCAGCGGATCATGGCCAAGACAGGCGGAAGACTGCATTACGGACACCCGGATTTTCTAAATGCGGTGTTTATGACAACCCGTGGTGGAGTCAGCAAGGCTCAGCGGGGGCTTCATCTTAACGAGGATATTTATGCGGGCATGAATGCACTTTCAAGAGGTGGCAAGATCAAACATACGGAGTACCTGCAGTGTGGAAAGGGCCGTGATCTTGGGTTTTGCTCGATATTGAATTTCACGACAAAGATCGGCACTGGTATGGGCGAACAGCTCCTGTCGCGGGAGTACTATTACCTAGGTACACAATTGCCGGTCGATCGGTTCCTGATGTTTTATTACGGCCATCCAGGGTTTCATATGAACAACATTATGATCATATTTACAATCCAGGTGTTCTTGATCTGTATGATGTGTATTGGCGCCATGGCTGCTTCTCTTCCAACCGTGTGTCAGCTAGGCAAAGAGTGTTTCAATCTCCGACCGGTTACAGAGTGGATTCAGCGGTGTGTCTTGTCGGTGCTGATGGTCTTCTTTGTGTCCTTTTTACCGCTCTTTTTACAGGAATTGACTGAAAAGGGCACCTGGCGCAGTCTATGCCGTCTTTTCAAGCAATTTGTCTCGCTGTCTCCCTTGTTTGAAGTGTTTGTTACCCAAATATATGCCAATGCCGTGCTTTCCAATCTGAGCTTTGGTGGTGCACGCTACATAGCCACCGGCCGTGGATTTGCCACGGCACGATTGCCCTTCTCGGTTCTGTATTCTAGGTTTGCGAATCCGAGCATTTATTTTGGATCTCGGACGCTATCGACTCTTGTGTTTGTGACATTGACGATGTGGCTGCCGCACCTAGTCTACTTTTGGGTCACGGTTGGTTCTCTCATCATCTCGCCATTCGTATTCAACCCACACCAGTTTGTATTTGTGGACTTTATTACGGACTACAAGGCATTTCTGGGTTGGTTGTGTCGGAGTCAGGGGGATGAAAAGCAGCACAATCACGCTTGGATCACATTCTGCCGCGAGAGTCGGATGAGAGTTACGGGACAGAAGAATATTTCGGAAACAGCATCATCAACATCTTTATCATCATTGTCATCATTGTCTTTATCGTCACCGAATCCAAATCCAACACAAACACAAACACCAGTGCCAACACCAGTGCCAACACCAGTGCCAACACCAGTGCCAACACCAGTGCCAGTACCAGCAATAACAGCATCGACATCAATAACAACAAATGGCGCAATTGTTCCACGTGCAAGATTCTTGAGTATCTTTATGACTGAGATGGCTATGCCGCTTGTGCAGGCACTGGTTTGTCTGGTTTGCTACCTGTTTCTCAAGACACATGAGGTAATAAATGTTGGGAAGACGAACCACGAGATGGTTTGGACAGAGACAATGAAGCCTTGGGGTCTGTTGGGACCTTTGGTGGCAGCCACGGTGGTGCCGATTGTTTGGAATGTCGGTATTCTTCTGTTGTGTCAGTGCCTGTCGGTCTCACTTTCGGTGGTCGGATCGGTTCAGCATGGGGTTGGGATTGCGGCTCTGAGTCATGGCCTGGGACTTTTGGGATTTCTGATGGCGTTTGAATATGTCTGGTTCTATGAGCAATTCTCGCTTGCTCTGACTGTCATGAATATGTTGGTGGTGTTTTCGGTTCAAAGATTTTTGTTCAAGAGTATGTTGGCTCTTTTTTTGACTCGAGAACCTCAGCAATATGGAATTGACAAGACTTGGTGGACTGGTCGATGGTGGGGTAGTCAGGTAAGAAAGAATTGAAATAAAATTATGAACGGACCATTTGTGTAAAGTGTGGTGCAAAAAAAAAAACAAAAAAAAAATTATAATATGACAAGCATGTTTTAAATATTCTATTTTATTTATATAGCTTGGACGACATGCTGGCCGTGAATTCATTTGTAAGATCGTCGAGATGTCTGTGTTCACAACAGACTTTGTTCTGGGCCATTTGATCTTATTCGGACTGTTCCCTTTTACCCTGATTCCTTGGGTGGACCGCATTCATTCGATTATGTTGTTTTGGTTGAAGCCTTCGCATCAGATAAGATCTTCAGTTCTGTCTACCAAGCAGCGCCGTAAGCGGCGTGGAGTTGTGTTGCTGTACGGACCATTGTTTGTGCTGGTACTAGGAATATTTGTAGCCCTTATTGTCCTCCCACCGATATGTTTTCCCACCCTATTTCTAATCCAGAGGCCTTGAGAGATTAGTCTCTTCTTCATTTCTACCTATCTACTATATATATATATATATATTCTTCTTTAAATGCATAATATAAATCTTGTGTATATTATTTTCAAAGTTCATAATAAAAATAAAAATGAAGATAAATAACCATTCTTTGTTATCTTTGCCATTGTTGCCCTGAGGTGTTTTCGCTCAATTTACTATTACTGCTGTTATTACTGCTATTATGGTTTGATAAGGCTACGTAGTAATTGTACTCATATTGCTACTTTAAGTGTCTTGCAAAGTGTACAGCATTTGGGTAACAAAAAGGAGAATATAAAAGGTACATAATACAAATTTGGGTGCGGAAATATATTTCTTTCAGGAACAAAAAAGATAAATAGAGAGGGTGACTACCTATTCATTTTTGAAGATTACCATTTTTATCGAATATTTGAGTTTTAACTTCAAGAATTGAATCACAGAAACCCCTATTCAAATTTGAATTATGAAAAACGTACAAATATGGAGTGCTGTTTTATAATACAAATAGTGCTTAACTATACAGTACCATTTTTGGCCTATTCAAAATTGGGTTGAAAAATTACATCTTTTCCTTCAAAATCGAGCTCATTTATGAATAACAATCGAGTAAATTTGAAGCAATCCAAAATAGGATGTGCGGAATATTAAGAATTAAAACCCCATTTGGATGATTTTCATAAACATATTCAAAAATGAACAAGTAGTCACCCTCTCTAATAAGATAAATACCTGTCCCCCCCATTTTAGGCAAAATATAATCCGTGCGGTAAAAAAAAAAAAAGAAAAAATAAGAAAAAATATCCCAAGCGGTTATATTATTCTTTTTATAGAATATATGACATTTTTAGTCAGATTATGGTAACATTTATAAATTATAATAATATTGTTGTTGTTGTTGTTGTATCTTTGGTACCAAAAAAACAACAACAACAAGAAGCAAGCCATAACTTCTTTCTGTTGTTTTATAGCACAAGTTCATTAATAAGCCAAAGCCTACAACTCTTTGCAGACTATATATAGATATATAGATATATAGATTACATGAGATAGGAAATGTAACCGCTGAGGATGCTCTTATCATTAATATTATCATTACTCAGACTGCATTTTCTTTATATGGTTGTTTGATTTCTTTGATTGATAAAGAAATGATGTTTATTTGATGCAAAATTGCGTTATATATATTATTATTATTATTATTATTATTAAAAAAGATGTAATGACAAATGAAAGCAAATTATATAAAAATAAAAGAAAATAAAATAAAAGATGTTGATTGTGTCTATATCTACACTATAGAAATATTTGCAATGTGTGTGGCTAGTTTAGTTTCTTGGTTAGGGCGGGTATGCTAGATATGATTGTTTCTTGTTTCTTCTTTTTCTTGGATGATTGTGAGAGGACAGGGCAGGACATGGCGGGAAAGGGCAGAACAGGACGGAAAATGATAAGGTAGACCAGACCAAGACAGTGAGATTTGGAATTGGATTTTGTTTTAAGAGTTAAAGAGAACTTGACATTTGGTGGTGGTTTTATTTTGAGGGGTTGTAGAACAAGACATCATCTTTGCAGGCCTGGACATAACCATAGACAGAGACACCAACAATTGAGCAGTAGGCCAACTTCTTGCTAGCATCAAGAGGGCGAGTTGCGATACGGACAAGACGAGTGTACATTATGAAGAGGGAAGTAAGATATAGGTGATTTGGGTTTTGGTGTGTTTGTGGATGTGCAAAGTAAAGAAGAAGAATAATAGTAATAATTAGAAAATAGAGATCGACAATAAAAAATTTGGCTTTTATATGAATAAAAAAAAAAATAAAAATAAATAAAACGTGGTTGTAGCGGTGACTTAAAAAGACAAGAAAAATGACAACTGGATTCTGATAGGCAATGACTCAAGCCCGAAAAAATCATTTATTTTATTTATATACACAAGAAGGCTTTTTTTTTTCTTTTTCTTTTTTCTTCTTCTTTAACATTTTGGCTTAATATGAATTCCAAATATATATATAAAGTATTTATTAGTCAGGACCAATAGGATGCTTTATGGTGGGCACACGAAAAATGAGTTGTGGCGGTGGAACTGGAAAGTTAAAAGGGGGGGGGGGGGGGGTTTTTGTGAAGCACTTGAACCAACGTGATAATAACATGTCTATCCGATTTCCTTTCATTTGTTTCCATGGTTTATAAATTTAACTATTTATTTTATTTATATTATAATGTATATAAAAAGAGTTGGTTCCTCGGTTCAAACAATAATAATAACAATAATAGGAAAAGCATAAAATATATGGTCCCTCTATTAAAATTGATTTTATTTTATTGGGAATTATTAAAGGCCTTGCACAATTTGGTATTTAGGCAACCCGATAAGAACCAAGGTATATTTTGAGAAGAAATGATAATATATATATATATATATAGGGAGGGAGGAGGAAAGAATGTAAAGTATTAAACACAGCATGACAGATAGTAGTAGTAGTTAGTGAAAAAAAGTAAAATATCATAGAAGCCGGGAAAAAAATGCGCTCTTTAGCAGAAAACAGCTTCTAAAAAAGAATATATAACAAATAATAATAAAGCATGAAGGAATCGAGAATTAGGAATGGATTTCAGCAGGGATAAGAAAATGCAAAAAGAGGATTCTCTTTAGGACCTTGAACAATCCATTATGTGGCTTCAAGATATATAGAAATACCAGACCGAAATCGGTCATACTAGGCAACAGCTTCGGGAGGACACATATTGTTCGGGTTGATGGGGGACGGGGTGGGAGACGGAGGAGAGGGGTTCAGTGGATATTTCGGAACATAAGGAACGGGAAGGAGATCATCAGGAACATGTTCGTTCTTTGGGTGGTTTTTGTTAATGATAGAGATGGACTTGTTCTGAACAAAAAAAAATGTTTCAAATTCAGAATAATACTCAAGCTTCATCTGTCCACAATTAATTTATATTTTATTTTATTTTTTTTAAAAAAAAAAAAAAAGTCTACGAGTATTTGAAACATTCTGCTTATTTTTGGTAAAAAGTGGCAGATTTTCTTTTTAACAGCGTTGAATAGCTGCCACGTTTAGAATACTCTACTCCTGTTTTGGTAATATAAAACTGATTTTCTTTTTCTTGTTCTTTGAAAATAAAGACCTTGTTTTTAATCAAGAGAACCATCTTAATGCTGAATAAATAGTCAAGCGAACACTATTAGCATTAATTCATTTTCAATTGGAATTTATATCTGCCTTTGGTGCTAAAAACAGCCATTGTTTCTATAAAATATCATGTTTTGTTGGACCAATGTAAAGGTTGCTAGAGGTACCTCCAACAAAAAAACAAGGGCATAGATTATCGATATTTAAAATATTTGATTGGCTGAAATGGAAAATCATACAGAATCCCATAAATCGTATTTTACTGAAAGCCATATTATTTATATAAAAAATAAAAGAAGTATTTTTGTTTAATCCTATTGGATTATAAATATATTTAGTTACCGAAAAACACAAATACATTCGGCGCTATAATACCAGTCCTTTGGAATATATCCTTCCTACCGTATTTGGATAGAAATCTATTTATCTCAAATTTTATAAATAGAAGTTTCTTTTGAGTTTTTTGAGCTGTAGCATATCGCAACGTATGAAATGGTCTACATTGTTTGGCCAATTTAGCAATAAGTTGTGATTTTATACAACTCAACATATTTCACAGAATTTATAGGGAAGAAATAACAATACAAAATAAAAACAGAGAGAGAGAGAAAGGTATGTATTTCATGCTTTTTTCTTTATATATATCTTTAAAAATCTATTGAGAAATTGCTTTATCTTGTCTCTTTCACTTCTTTCCTCGTTGTCTTCATCTGGTTTCTTATATGTAGAGATTTTATTTGTCATGCAAAAATACCAGGCAATTTGTTTCATTCTTTTTTTTTTTTAGCGGAGAAACTTAACCGGCTCTGGCCAATAGAAAGATCAAATCTTCTTTCTCGCTCTCTTACCCACTCACTCACTTTTTCTTTTCTTTTCTTTTTTTTTTTTTTACAAAAAGTAAATCATTTGTCCAAAATAGGGTTATTATTTCCCTCTTTGTAATTGATCATTTTATATTTTATTTTATTTTATTTTACATTTATTATTCTCACTTTCTTATTTTATTTTATTTTATTTTAAAACATGCTATTTAGTAAACCTACAGAATCAAGTGCTGTACGCTCATTCCAACTAGCAATCAGTTCAGGAAGTCATGAGCGACAAGTAGCATTCGGACCTGGGTCCATTTTGAATGGTGAAGAACAAAATAAAATAAAATAAAGAACATGTTCCTTACTATATTATCTTTTTTATTGTTACTGTTATCCTTTTTGCCTTGTTTTGTATTTTATTGTATTGTATTGTATTGTGTGGTTGGTTGGTTATTAGGATCTGTACTGTTGACTTTGGATAGACCTATCCAAGCATATAATATTCGAGTGACATTTAAGTGTGAAGCAAGGGACGACTCAAAGACCAAATCAACCCTATTTTCCGTATATGAATATGTTTGGGGCAAAGCACGCACAGGCAAGTGTATATGATTATTTATTTATTTATATATGTATGTATGTATGTGGATCACAAAATTAATCAAATATGTATGTATGTATGTAATTTTATTTTATTTTTAAATAAAATCTATATTAGATGGTCAGCGTGCAGAATTACCTATAGGAAGTTCAATGTATCTTTTTGCAATCAAATTGCCACACATAAACTATCCTCCGTCAATGCACGACACACGCATTGGCCATTATATTGATTATATACTGCAAGGGTCTCTGGAGTGCAACCAAGAAGCACCTTTTGGCACAGACACCTTACCTGTGTCTGTGCTTTACCTCCCTTTAATAAGCTCCGGGCAGTTGGACGAGAACCAGATGCCGTCCCAGCCAGCCAAGAGATCCCAGACCTTTGACAAAGCAGGTTCCCATGTGGAGATGACAGCGGAATTGATAAAATCTGCCTATTGTCCAGGTAAATGATTTATTAACGATCATAATCGATAATAAGATTAGTATTTATGATTCAAAAGTAACAGCAAAAAAAAATGATGCTAACATTTAAATATATATATATATATATAAATGAATAATTTTTATAGGTGACATGTGTACAATTAAACTCACTACATCTAATCAGTCAGAACACAAGATAACCACAATCCAGCTCACTCTCGTCTCAATTGCCACTACATCGATCCTGCCGACGTTTGCGTCAGATGCTCCCATACTCAACTCCCTCCGCCAGAAGCACCACACCCTGCACTCCGAAACGTTCTTTGTCTCGATCCCAAAGCACAGCCAGGACCGACAATCGATCATTCAGTTCATGATTCCTTCAAACTGTGTTCCTTCGACCGAGAACCATGTTGGAAAATATCTCGAGATAGCCTACGAAATAACCCTAACATTACCATTGGCTACACCAGGTAGCACATGGTCTTTCCCGTTTGTCGTCGGCAGCTCTTCTCCATCCCCAACCATACAGCTTCCCTTGTTGATAGCCACCGTTCCAGACTCTTATCTCACTCGGTCTACAGTACCAAGCCTGGCCATGCCTACCGCAACCGACGATGACAACGAGTTGCCACATTTCATCAGGGCTGCAGAGTCGCCACTTCCAAGTCCACATTCAGATCGGTCCTCATTTTGGGATTCAGGGAGTCCGGTGGATAGAACAGAAGTGGGGGTATTAGGGTCAGGATATGGGTCAGCTGGAGGAGAAGGAGAAGAAGGAGTAAGAGGAGTAGGAGTAGGAGTAGGAGCAGGAGCAGGAGGAAGTGCAAGTAGAAGTGGTGGAGGCTCGCTAAGATCCGACGAGGAGGTTATTCTGGAGTCATCTAGTGCGCAGCAGGACGCAAGTGGGCATTTGATGGTCCCCTTTATGACAGAGAGTGAACTCAAGGGATCTCGCAGACGGTCTTCAGGATCAGTTGCTTCTGTTATCAATGAGTCTGTGGATTATACCGAGCTACTAGATCAGGACGGGGGACTTGTGGTTCAATAGGCGCCAAAAAAAAAGATAATTAAATGCGAGTTATATTATTATAGGTTTATTCAAAATATAAAAAAAAAACAAAAAAACAAAAAAAGAGAAAATTCTCTACTACACACACACACAGACACAGACACTGACACTGACACAGACACAGGTGCTGTGTAGTAATATTCCAGTATATATATATATAAAAATCATTCAGATTGTTGATAATCTTGTTCTGGACTTTCTACAGACTGTAACCATTTTCCGAGCAAGACTGATACATCCCGGAGAACAAAGCCAGCTGTGATAAGGCCAAGGAGTGTGCATATTCTGCGCAGTCTTTCTAGGGCCTTTTCAATCACCCTTGTCTGTGTTTGACTTGAATAATGATTATACCATTGTTCTACACATGATTCAAACATTTGTAAATAAACAAATACATATAATAGTAAAACAAAAAAAACAGGGAGATCAGGTTTGATTTGGTTTGATTTGGTTTGGTTAGTCTTTTCTTTTTAGTCAATGTACAAGTAGTGCTCGGACTTACCTAGGATGTGCATCTTGTCAAATAGGCGAGTAAGGGATGCAATATAGACTTGGTATTGGGTTTCTCTAATAGGACCAGTAATTTATTGTCATTCTTCTAATTATAATTTTCTGTATCTGGGTAACTTACGATGATGTTAGACTAAAAGTATCATTGACTTTTGCCATTGATCTACTGAGCCGATGACTACTCCAGGACACAATCGATTGGCGCTTACGAGTCTTTGAAGTCTCGCCACACTCCTTTTTGGCCTTTTCTCTGAGCTTCTTGGGAAGTTTTGCCTGAAGGATCTTAAGCCATTCCTCGAGTGCGCCCAACAGACGTACGCTTTGAGTGGGATTCGAATGATCCGAGACTGCCTCGAGCCGAGTAAGGTTCCAGAACAGGGTTTCACAGGTGGCGATCTTTGTGTCAAGAGAAGAGAGCCGGACATTGGGCTGTGTCCAGATTGCCTTTGGTAGAAATAGCTTTTCGCTAATAAATTCTCCGTGAAGGATACTCTTTTCGAGTGCAAACATCAATTTGAGGTCTTTGCAGGTTTCTGAGATGGAAATCGATGTTGACATTGAGGTTGACATTGACATGGACCTTGATGTGGAAGTGGAAGTTGTGGAAGTAGTTGTTGTGGTCGCTGTGGTTGTGGTGGGTTGCGGACTGATTGGAGGCTGACTTATAGATCCCTGACGAGCCCATCTTGTCTGAACAAGGTCTACTAGTGGCAATATTGGTTGTTCTGACTGAGCCAAAGGTTCTGCTGTTGTATTCTGTTGATTTGGCTGGTCATCTTCCGGAAGTGTTACCCAACTCAATCGGTTTTCATCAGATGTTGGACCAATTGCTGTTTGTAATAACTCGAGGCGAGCGAGATATAAGTCATACTATATATAAATAATATTTATTTTTGTGTGCGTATTTGTATGTATGTATGTATTTAATAATGGCGCATATATATATATATATATATATTTGTAGCACATTTAAAGACTTGCAAAAAAAAATTATGCTAAATCAAACACAAAATGCGCAAATTATACAAATTACGTAAATTACACAAAATATTACAAATATCTCTTACTCACAATTATCTGAAGTCGTGCACGGTCACGGTCACCACTGACTGTTGGCAATACACAGACAAGGAGGGCAAGTGCCTCAATGTAAGCATCCCTTGCACCATTGACTTCACCAGCAGCATCACATTGAACAGCAAAACATGCTTTTTCGAGTGCATTCTTGAGAATTTCCTTTGCAATCGAGGTTGTCAATGACACATTGGGATCTGTGTCTGGTAAAATCGCAGGCAGGGACATTATTCTTTCTTTCTGTTTCTCTTTTTATTATTATTATTATTTTCACAAGAAGAAGTTCATTCAATGTTGTAATCTACAACTTTCTTTTTTCTTTCTTTCTTTCTTCTTCTTCTTCTATTTACTAAAGGGGTGGGAGTCCTGACTTTATTTATTTATTTTATCTCCTCCTCCTCCTCCTCTTTTGCCTCTTCCCCTCCCCCCTCCCCCTTTTAAGTTGTTTCTATTGTTGTTGTAGTTATTGCTGTTGCTGTTGCTGTTGCTGTTGCTGTTGCTGTTGTTTTATTTTCTTTCATAGTTGTAATAATTCTCTTATTATAAACATGCACGATTTCTTTTTATTTTTATTGTATATCAAATTATTATTTTCATGTCTTTGTAGTGCATGTGTATATATTATGTTTATGATGTGAATGTAGTGTAGTGTAGTGTAGTGTAGTGTATACAAAATATGTTCAAAGAAATATATAAATAAAAATATAGAGAGTGTGAGTGTGTGAGAGAAAAGCTCCCTTGTTTCTAATGCAGGAAATTTTAAGGGGAAGCACAGTAGATCCAACCCCTCTTCCTCTTCACTCTTGTGCCGTATAGATGTATATATGTGTATATATATATTCATTACTCAAGACAAGATATCTTTTTTTGGATTGACTTTTGGTGGTCTTCAGGGTTCTGGTGATACAATGCATTATATGTAGGGCCATGGACAACACTTGGCAATGTAATATATTATATGCGCAATAGTATATATATATTTGTGCTTGTGAATATTACATATAAAAGTAAATGTCCTAGTGTATTCAATGGTTTATAGAGTGATATGATATATATATATATATATATATATTCGATTATAAAAGAAAAAGAAGGGGGTGGCTATAGGCTATTCAAATTCATTAGATCTAATAGACATAGACTGTTTAGTCAATAAATGTATGTATATCTTGCCTACTTGCCTACATATCCATATAACTTGCTTGTATGTGCATGTGCGTGTGCGTGTGCGTGTGTTTGTAGTGTGTTTGTAGTGTGCGTATTGGAAATAAGACTGACATGACAGACACAGGATGACTACAGCTGTTTCGCTGTTCGTCATGATGAAAGGAATGAAATCCTTGACCAAAAAATTAAAATAAAAAGCATATTAGTAGCAACCTAAACTAACTCATCAATCTCATGATAAAACCTTGGGACTAAACTAGATTTTATTTTTTGCTTTACTTTGCTGTGCGTTAGTTAATATATATATACATTTTTAAATAACCATAAATAACATATGGTTATGGTACTGATTGTATATTAACCTTTATTAATATTCATTACTATTCATAAAAGTCAATTGTCATTTATTACAACAACACATTTTAGATATCTTTCTTTATCTGTATTTTGATTTTTGATTTTAGGGATTGTTTACGGATTAGACTTAGGGATCTATAAAAGTAAAATGTAAAATGTAAAATGTAAAATGTATATATGTATATATGTATATATGTATATATGTATATATGTATACACACAAGCACACATCTTGCATGGTTCTGCAGTCTATACACACACATACATAATATCCGTTTTATACAGAAATACAAAGCATGAATTTTTTTGTTTAAGAAAGAATATCGATTTTCTTAGCATCTTCTTTAAAGCAACCCTAATGGAATACATAATCTTGTACTAGCTCTATACTTTTGTCCATATTGAATCAATATAAAAGCTCACTCTATATTTCTGCTTCTTAAGCCTTTTCTCTATTTTACACACACAAATTCATACACTTTTATATATCTTTTTATCTAATGACTAACAAGTCTTGTTATGGAAATCTAAATAGAAATAAATAAATAAAGCAAAGCAAAGCAAAGAGAAAAAAAAGAGGGGTTAGGAGGCAAAATAAGATACTGACTGAGCCTTTTTTCTTATTTCTTATTCTTATTCTTACTCGTCATTCCCTTTATTCAGTTTAAGCTTTTTTTTTTGTTCTTGACTTGTTGTATTTTTTGCTTCCTTTTCTTTTCTTTTCTCTTTTTTGCTTCTTCCTCTTCTTCCTCTTCTTTTCTTATCTATATATCTTTCTGCATAGACAGGAAGCAAGGCCAAGGTATTTCTCTCTCTCTTGTTCAAGCAAAAGAAGAACCGAAACATATCCGTAATAAACTCTTGGCCTTATTTTATTTTATTTACAAAGAAAGAAAAGACTATCCCACAACATCTACAGCCACAAAACAAACCCCCCCTCTCAAATTCATAACCTATTGCGCGCGCAAAGGAACAGACACAACACATACATTTACACGCTCAAAAACAACAACTGTTCACAGCACCAAAGCACTAGCCTTGTCCAGTACATCTAAATAAGAATACACACATATCAGCACTCATATTCACAAGCACTATACTACATCACATTGCAAACAAAACACACACTATACCCATTGCTGTTATTATTATCATCATTATTATTATTCCTTAATAATACTATTATCAATCTTTTGGAGAGTTTGATTCTGCCCGTAAGTATACTCAGCAAACCTTGACAGATATACATTATACTATCACTATTAGTATTAGTATTAGTATTCATACATATATATACATATATATATATATAAAGATTCAATATAATAGACAAAAAATAGCAATAGCAAGAGATAGATATATAGATAGATAGATAGAGCGTTAAAAGGGGTGTGATATATACATGGAACAGAAAAGAACAGAAGAGAATAGAATAGTAAAACCAAAAAAAAACAAAGGGATAATTAGAGATGCCTGCATAGTATACCTTTTTCTTTCTTATGGTGTCTGTGCTCTACAGTTCTCAATCATATAACGCGACTATCATTGTTCTATCCTATTCCTTTCTCTTCTTATTACCAGTCTTTTTAATTTCATTATCTTTCTCTCTCTCTCTTTAGGATCCTCTACACTCTCAATAATGCCCCCATCTTCCAGCCCGCCATACATTTATGGCCAGCCTGCCATATCACCACCCACACAAAGCTCAAACTACACTTACGGTCAGCCAACCAGACCTCTCGATAGTCAGCCTAGACCTGGAGCCACAAGTGCATCTTATTATGCAGGGAGCGGAACCTTGTCTTCCGGTCCGACCCAATTCACAGGTTGGCACGACGAAAGTGGCTGGAATCTCAATAATACCAGCGATCCAAAGCAACAACAGCAACAACAACAGCAACAGCAACAACAACAACAACATCATCAACATCAACATCAACATCAACATCAACATCAACAGCAACAGCAACAGCAACAACATCATCAACATCAGCACCAACAACAACATCAACCACAACATCATCAACCACAGCACCAACCACAACATCAACCACACCAACCACACCAGCAAACACATCAGACACATCAACAACCACAGCACCATCAACAGCAGCAGCAATCCAATGGTCTGCTGGCTCAGCGCACTGAAAGAGCAAATCTACTCATGACATCTACACCAAATGCTCTATCCACAATCCCACCCCAGAGTGTCCAGTCTCCATCCTACCTGACCCCACGTGCCCTTCCATACCATCCGTACATCTCTGCCCAGCAAAAGCAGCAGCATCAATCATACACCAGCACCTACACCTACACCACATCTGCATTTCCAGGTTACCCAAGACCAAGTTTTGGCCAACGCAAACTCACGACCACTCTTTGGGAAGATGAGAGTACTTTGTGCTACCAAGTAGATGCCAATGGTCTCTGCGTAGCCAGACGTCAAGGTAAATACATATACACACATATATGCAGGCTTGCATACCTGCATACATATAGAGATACAGAGATAGATAAAAAAGAAAGATAACTGAATAGAAAGATCAATATCAATATGTATATAATACGTTTATCAATGAGTCCACCTAGAACACCAGCTACTCAATAAATCATACTACTTACTGATTCTCATAAATTGGGTCTGTACATAGATAATGACATGATCAATGGCACTAAGCTTCTTAATGTTGCTGGCATGTCTCGAGGTAAACGCGACGGAATCCTCAAGAATGAGAAAGGTCGAGTGGTCGTCAAAGTGGGCGCAATGCATCTCAAGGGTGTTTGGTAAGGTTTTCTTTATTTATTATTTGTTGTTGTTTTTATTTTTATTATTATTATTAATATATCCATATGATAACTAATTACTATTCTTATTCTTATTATTTTATTTTATTTTATATTATAGGATCACGTTTGCTAGAGCAAAAGCATTAGCATCTCAATTCAAGATCTACGACCTTCTCTATCCTTTGTTTGTGGATGATCCCAGTGCTCTTCTTTATCCGGCATCTCTTCATACTAGCCATGTCCCAAGCTCTCCAAATACAATTACCGGTAGCTCATTGCAACAAATGGTACCCATGTCTCGAGGTAAGAAATAAGCAATCAATTAAAGAATCTATATCGATCTATTTCTGTTTGATAGGCCATCACAGACCTCTTAGTTTTCCGGGTCAACTTCAAGACACCAAGAATGAACTATCTGCTAGTGAAGCAAGCTATTTAACCCCTAATGATTATCGCGTGAGCCAGTCCCCTGGAAACAGCGCCAATAATAGCAATAATAGCAACACTTGTGGAGCTAACGGAACAAGTTCTGGTGGCGGCAGTGCTGCTAATATTACTACATCTACCAACACTTCCGCTGCTGCGGCGGCGGCGGCGGCGGCGGCTACTTCTACCGCTACTGCTGCTGGCACTGCTTCTTCCTCTGGTACATCTGTTTCTACTGGTGTTTCTATTTCTTCTACTGTCGCTGGTGCTTCTGTGACAGGTGCTACGGTATCTAGCGCTAGTACTGGTAACACCAACACCTCCCTCAACACAACCAACAACAATACCAATGTTAATGTCACTGCCAATACCAATACCAATACCAATACCAATACCAATACCAATGTCAACTCAAATGTCAATTCAAACACTGGTGCTTCCAATACTGTTACTGCCACTACATCTTCAAACAACAACAATAACAACAGTAGCAGCAATAGCAGCAGTACAGGCGGTGGTATGGCACACTACGATGCACCCTCTGCGTTCTCGATGTATAGCCCCGAACATCATGCAGGTGATATTGGATTGATGCAGGACAATGCAAAAAAGGATAGACGTTATTCAGTAGAGCCGTTTTATGGTCCGGGAAAGACTTATCCTTCCGGCTCGGACTTGTCACCCACACAGTTTGGAAATAGCAGCAATAATAGCAATACTACTACTGCAACTGCTGCTACTACCACGACTACGACTACAGCAAATATTACTAGTAATAGTAATAATAATAATAATAGTAATAATAATAATAATCGCTACGCTGGCGTTAAAGCAATCCTGCACACATCCGCCTTCCATCCACTCGGTACGCCTGGCTTGCCACGCGACACTGATCTCCAACAACAGCAGCAGCAGCAGCAGCAGCAGCAACATCAACAGCAGCAACAGCAGCAACAGCAGCAACAGCAGCAACAGCAGCAACAGCAGCAACAACAGCAACAGCCACACCCCTTACTTGCTCAAGAGACAAGCCCCTCATTTTGTACTTACCAACGCCCAATTCAAGACAAAGATGAAAGAGACCTTACACGACAGGCATGGTGAGCATACATGTTATGCAGGGGAAATGAAATTAAAGAGAAGCCGATGAAATATATATATATATATAAGAATAAAGTATATATATATATATAAGAGAGCAAAGAAAGATCGAGAGAGTGTGAATTTGTGATAGAAAAAAAGGGGGGTTTCAATGGATTATTATTATTATAATTATTATTACTATTACTATTATTATTATTACTACTACTACTACTACTACTACTACTACTACTACTACTACAACTACTACTACTATTATTTATTTATTTATTTATTTATTTATTTATTTATTTATTTATTTATTTATTTTATTTCTTTCTTATTTTTTGGCTTGTTATATTTCTATATACATACATTATCCGTTTCTCCAATTCATCCCCTTCTTCTTCATGCTGTTATTGTTGTTCTTTAATATATATATATATATATTAAATACATTACTTTACAGTTATAGTTACTTTTGATTGTGGAAGTCCATAGCACCCCCCACACATACACAAACACACACATATATATATACACTCCTCAGTTTCCCCTTAAAATAAACTGAGTTAAAAAACAAGGACTATTGAGTATACAGAATACGGATAAGCTTATAAGATATTAGTACATATGATTGGAACTTTAGATATCCTTTATAACTGTAGTTGTTGTTCATTCTTTTGTACGATAGGCTACTATTATTCAATAATGGTAATAATAAAGAAAGACATAGTAAATGTTACAAATGAAGAACAAGAACAAGAAGAAAAAATAATAATATTAAAAACTCTGATTCCGCCAAAATGCAATCTAAGAAGTATGCGCACACCCAAATGTATGCACATATGCATGTCTGTCTGTCTGTCTGTCTGTCTGTCTGTCTGTCTGTCTGTCTGTCTATGTATGTGTTTATGCATGCATACATGCATACATACATACATACAGATAGGTCTGTAGGTCTGTAGGTCTGTAGGTCTGTAGGTCTGTATGTATATCTACATAATTCAACATTTCTTTTTCTTTAAATAATACTAATACTAATACTAATACTAATGCTAATGCTAATGCTAATGCTAATGCTAATGCTAATAAAATCCCCCTTTATTTCTTGCTTTAGTTCTTTGGGTAAATAACTGTTGAGTATCCCAACAAGTCTAATAGAGTAAGCAATAGATTTCACATGTGTATGCATTTGGTAAAGTATTATCCAATGCCCACACAATTTATATATATATATATATAAGATATATATATTCTTCTTTTGATTTTGTAGTGAATACTGATTGGTCTAATAATTAGGCCTGTCCGATATTAACATTTGTATAGAGTGTATTAATGGTCTCAATGATTCTTAATAATGTAGCTTTTCTTCTTCTGGCTTGTAAGCCAATACATTAACAAACACTCTATAGATACAGTCATATAATATATGCATTTTTGTGTATGTGTATGTGTATGTGTATTTTAATAATAATAAAATAAAGCCTATTCTTCTTTAATACTATACCTTACACCACACCACATCGCGCAGACACACAGACACACAAACAAGCAAGCAAGCACGTATATATATATATATATATATGTATACAATTTCTTAAAATCTAGTCAGTAATATGATACTACTTGAAATGAATATATATATATATTCCTTTATCAGCTTATTGAGGCAATAAACCTAAACTAAAACCAGAAAATATTTTATACATTTATACATTTATATTATTACTATTACTATTACATTCTCACGCTATCACGTTTTCCCACGACAGCTTTATTCAAAGTTAGATTATCCCAGAGCTCCCCTTGCTTGGATTGTGGCCACTGTAATAATAAATGGAGCACAAGCAAGTAAAAGAAAGTAAAAGAATACATAATAAATGATACCTCTGTTGAATACACCGAATCAATTGGCTTTATATTACTATTGGAGTCTGACAGAATGAATTGCTAGTATTATTATCACAAGCTACACTGTTCATCTATCTATTTTATCTAAATCTATCTATTTCTTGTATTAAACTCACCTTCTTGGTCCTTTCTGTGTTTCACAAGATATCAAGAACAAACCAACCAACCAACCAACAAACAAACAAACAAAAAACTTCTTTTAGGGGTAAGACACCGGGAAATTCTAAAAGAACAATATACTGTGAGTATGTATATTATGCATTATATAAAATGAAATGAAATGATGGGAATCAAGACAGTAAAATAAAAACAAAAAAATAAAAAAACAATATTTTCTCTTCTTCTTCTTCTTCTTCTTCTTTCTATTATTCACAAAGCTCAATTATAGTAAATAATAGTAATGTCTTTCCGCCCCAATTCTTCCCACAGCCGTCCCAATTCTCCTCATGGTAGACCAGGCTCGCCTCGTCCATTTTCACCTGGACAGCATACCAAAGTTGAAGAAGAACTTCATTTGGCTGGTATTGACTATGACAAGGTAATTAAACATACACATACACACACACACACATATATATATATATATATATATTTATATATACACATATGCTTGAATCATGAAATCATAGGTCACTATCAAACACAATCCATCCGTACCAGTCTTGTATGAAGAAGCCTTGACTCACGAACTTGGTACTGTCATCTCGTCTGCAGGTGCTCTCTGCTCTTATTCAGGTAAAAAGACCGGCCGTAGTCCTCATGACAAGCGTATTGTCGAAGAATCCGGATCAAGCAAAGACATTTGGGTAAAACAAAAAAAAGAAACAGAGAAATAATCTAAATATATATGTATATGCTTTGGTTTATGTATTTTTACTAACGATAATATAATTATATAATCATTAGTGGGGTCCTGTCAATACAAAGATGAGTGAACAGGTGTTCTTGATCAATCGTGAACGCGCCGTCGATTATCTCAATACCCATCCTCGGCTGTACGTATTTGATGGCTATGCTGGCTGGGACCCAAAGTACCGTAAGAAGGTGCGCGTGATTGCGTCGCGCGCTTATCACATCCTGTTCATGCACAACATGCTCATTCGTCCTACCGAAGAAGAGCTTGAGAACTTTGGAACTCCAGCCTTTACGATCTTTAACGCCGGAGAGTTTCCAGCCAACAGATACACTACCGGAATGACTTCAACCACATCAGTCTCAATCAACTTTAAGCGTGCAGAGATGGTTATTCTTGGTACAGAGTATGCAGGAGAGATGAAAAAAGGCGTAAGTACAAGCCCTTTCTTAGCCTTCTTCTTCAAACAGAAATAAATATATAGATAGACAAGTATTTGATTATGACTATGATTATGATGATTATATGACTCATATTTATACTTGAATATCAATAAATCTATAGATCTTTACGGTCATGCATTACTTGATGCCCAAGGCCGGCGTACTCTCTCTCCACTCATCTGCAAACGAAGGTCCAGATGGCGATGTGTCGGTATTCTTTGGATTGTCGGGCACAGGAAAAACCACCCTCAGTGCTGATCCCAAACGCCACTTGATCGGAGATGACGAGCACTGCTGGAGTGACACTGGTATCTTCAACATTGAGGGTGGCTGCTACGCCAAGTGTATCGATCTCTCTGGTGAAAAGGAGCCCGAGATCTTTAATGCCATTCGATTTGGATCAGTGCTGGAAAACGTGGTCTTGAATGAAGAATCGCGAGTGGTGGATTATGCAGATGATTATCTGACTGAAAACACTCGCTGTGCCTACCCAATCAGTAAGAAAATTTTCTTTAATAATAATAATAATAATAATAATAATAATAGGCTGTCTATTACTTTGCCTTTAGATAAATTACAATCGTCATCATCTTACATATACAAATTATTATAATTACTGTTAGACTTTATTCCAAACGCAAAGATACCTTGCATGGGTGGCCACCCAAAGAACTTGATTCTGTTGACTTGCGATGCATTCGGTGTACTTCCCCCGGTATCGAAATTGACACCTAGCCAGGTGATGTACCATTTCATTTCCGGCTACACAACCAAGGTTGCCGGCACCGAAGATGGAATTGTGGAACCGACCCCAACCTTCTCGGCCTGTTTTGGAGCCCCATTCTTGGTCCTACATCCTCAAAAGTATGCAACCATGCTAGCCCAAAAGATGAGCGAGCATGCGTCCGATGCCTGGTTGATCAACACTGGTTGGGTCGGTGGTTCTGCATCCGATGCCAAGCGCTGTCCACTCAAGTACACACGTGCCATTCTTGACGCCATTCACAGCGGCGAGCTTGCCAAGAGTAAGTTTGAGAACTTTGAGGTGTTTGGACTCTCGATTCCCACACACGTCCAAGGCGTACCCGACGAACTACTCCACCCCCGTAAAGCTTGGCAAGGAACCCCACAGACATTTGAAGAGTCGATCAACAAGGTGGCTGGGATGTTCAAAGAGAACTTTAAGACATTCCAGGATGAGGCCAGTCCAGAAACATGTGCTGCTGGACCTGTTTAAAGTGAATAACATAAAAAAGAAAAAAGAAAAGAAATTAAAACATTAAAATCAAAATCAAAATCAAAATCAAAATCAAAAAAAAAAAAAAAATTCTTGCACTTTGTAACATCTTGGATCTAAAGAAGTGTCCTTCTTCTTCTTCTTCTTCTTATTTTATTGCTTCACAAATCATTCTTTATTTATTCATTTGTTTTGCTATCAATGTATATGTGTATGTGTATGTATATATATATATATAAAAGAATGAAAAATAAACTAAAGGAAAAGGGAATTTCAATTTGCTTTATTGACCATTGATTTTGGAAGGTGTCTAAGATGAACAATCAAATAATTGAATATTAAGATTAATAGAATTCAAAACAAAACAAATATCAATTGATTGAAATTTAAGATGTGTATCTTGAGACTTACAAGGATCTTTAAAAACTCTTCAAAGTTGAGAAGACCATCTCCATCCACATCTGCTGCCTTGATCATAATATCAATCTCTTCATCTGTAGCTGACTCCCCTATATAAACAAGAAATAGAAATTTAGAAGCTTATTGTTAATATACATACATATAGACTTGTTGTAGATGACTAGGATTTCCTTTTTGTTTTTATAGAAGAAGAATAAAAAACTGGTTACCAAACAAGAGAAGACCTTGCTGAAGATCCTCACTATTGATCACACCGTCATTATCTCTGTCCAGGATTCCAAACACCTTTAATACACTTTCTTCATGATCTCCCTGTGAAATGATATGCTTAATAATGTATTGTACACAAAATGTCTACCAATCTTTTTGGTTTTTTTTTTTTTTTTTTTTTTACTAAACGTACCCTGTCCATTACTGCCAGAAATTCATTGAAATCCAACAGGTTGTGTTCTTTTGTATTGGAAAGCTTGATCTTTTTGTTTGTTTTTGTATATAATGTAATTGTTAATTCAATTGAACTTTTGATCAACTCGATACATACAGACACACTTTATATGCATATATCAATTGTCATCATTGCTTTACACACCTGTCGCTCAATATCATCCGGGGTAGCAGACACGTTTGCTTTCTTGTAAGCATCTGATAAACTAGTGAAATTCATTCCCTGGCCATGAGAATAGGTATCAAACGAGTGTTTGAGGTATTGGAGGTACTTGTCACTTGAATCAGCCTTCTTTTAATAAACATTATCATGATCATGATTATTTAAAGACAAATTGTTGATATTAGCATTAGTATGTTTATCATTGCTATCCATTGTAGCCTTAGGTACTGTGTTAATGATACAATGTGTTAAAGAATGCGTACCATGATGAACCTTGAAAGAAAAAGAACGAAATCAATTTCTAGAAAGTTGCCTCTATTTATTGACAAGATCGATTGCGAATCCATCTTGCAAACATTTTCACAGAAGATAAGACAAAGATAAAATTATAATATATTATAATATAATATAATATAATATATATGATGATGATGATTATGCTAATAAACTAAAATGATAAATAACTTGCTTACTTACTTATGTAATGTAATGTAATGTATATTCTATTTTATAATGTTCTATATCCGGACCTCATTTCTGCCCTGGCTTCTGCTAATTCTTATTTCTTATTTCTCTACTCCTTCTCTTCCTCCTCCTCTTCAACAGGCCACCAAGTAGGCAGAAACGGGCGCACAAATGTATCAGTACCGGCTACATTAAATGCCTTGGATTGCGTGTTTTCAAACTTTTTGACGTGCTCCAATCGCATCAAGGCCATACCAATGTTGTGAATCCCACTACCAAGCTTGCCTACACTGCGCTTACTTGACCCATCAGCCAATTTAATGTCTACCTGTGGTTCTAGACCAACAGGGTAGATTGCACTACGATCAACCACAAGAGATTCTGGTACACTATAATATTATTATTATTATTATTATTATTATTATTATAAGAAAAAGAATATATAAATAAAAATAAGCATCTTTTTTATTTATTTATTTAAAATTTAATTAATAAAACTTGCATACCTTTGGTCACCATTATAAATTTGTACAGGCATCATCCGCTTACGAACAACACCAGTATGATGTGTACGAATCGTTAGTTCCTGACCGACATAGCATCCCTTGTTAAAATCGACTAACGACAACAATAAGTACACACAGATCTGATCTTCCACCCCTTCATGTCAACATAAAGTTCTTATACTATCTGATGCCCCTCTTTCCCTTTGGTCTCCTCTATCCCTTTTCATTTTATATTTATACATTAAAGTAACAATTAGCTAGCTTACCACCATGCATATAGTCCATATTACTCTCTAGGGGTAATGCGTGCTCCGGCCACATGTCATCGGGCCCTTCTGCCACACCATTCAATAATCGACGGATGGTATATTCTTCTGCCGGAAGCTCTTCAAAGGTATCCAGACCCAAAACAGATTTGATATCTGTACAAACCAACACACATTGAATTATCGGTGAGTTCAAGAAAAATAAGTAGGTAAATAGGTTTGTAGTTTTGTAGCATTTTGGCTTTTTAGGTAGGTGTACAAATTATATACATATACATATACATATACATATAGGAATATGTTTTCGTACCTGTTTGTTTGGGAACAATTGCTCTGTATCCAAGACCAGGGACACGTGGGTCGTAACATCCTACTGCTGCTGTCTTTTGCACATCTCCTCCCCACGCAGACCATGCACTGTATTCCTGTGTGACATCCTGCATCTTGACCTTGGCACGAAGCTGGTATCTCTTCAAATGTTTGGCAATATTTCCGACAACCCTTTCATCACACTCGATAATCCACTTTTCTGATTCTCCATTAACCGGATAAATAAATGCATCGTAAAGCATACGTCCCTTTTAATTTCAGGTTGTTGTATAAGAAAATTTATAAAGTTAGTTGATTAAGATACCAACAGTTCATAGTGAGTATACTATTTTCACTCTCTAATACATTAATACATTCTATTCCACCCCCCCTTACTTGTGGAGTTAAAAATGAGGTGTAACAACCCTCACCACCCGAGGCAATCTTGCGGGTATTATTGGTTGTCAACCCTTGAAGAAATTTGACAGTGTCAGGGCCTCGAAGCTCAAGAAGTCCTCTGTTAGGGATCTGACAGAACTTGTTGCCCTGTTGCTGACTGACTTGTGTGCTCAATGTTCTTCTACACACTTTTTTTTATCCAAACACACATAAACAAACGCATATTTACATGAATTATCTTTATTGATATCATTTTCTTTCTTCATTCAACAACTTGTAATAAAATTCTATATATATATATGTGTGTGTGTGTGTGTGTATTCTGCCCTAGTTTCAAGCAACGTTTTATTTATTTAATTTTTACCTTGAGATCTCATTGTGGAAGGAATCTTGGAAATCATTAAACCGTTCATATTTTTTTTCTACTTCTTCTCTTATTTACTTCTTTCTAATTTATGAGAGTTTATTGTATAATTAAATAAGAATATATATATTTATGTAGTGTGTACAGAGAGATAGCATGAGAGAGAAAGAAAAAGAGAGAGAATGTGTGTATGTAATTTATGTAGTGTGGGGATGAATATCTAAGAGTATTCTAATCAATGCTCCACGTGACATAGCCCGTCACAGAGCGTTGTAGCAAGGGCAGTAAACAAGCCCCGTTTATTTTGGCAGCTTCTACATTTCACCCTTTTCTTTTTTTTTTGAGTTCAATATGCATCACGGCAAGCATTTCCGTCGCCTCAATCGCACATCGTCGCATCGTAACGCTCTTTTGCGAAACTTGGCATCCTCGTTGATCGAGTATGGCCGGATCGAAACCACCGTTGCCAAGGCAAAGGAGCTTAAGCCCATCGCTGATAGCATGATCACACTTGGAAAGAAGGGCGATGTCGAAGCCAAGCGCCAGGCTATTGCATACCTCTACGTAAGGCTCCTTTTTTTTTTAAAAAAAAATGTTATTATTATCATATATGGGCAAGTTCATGTAGATCTTGCGTGTTCCTGTCAATTTTTTTTTAAAATTTTTAAATTTTATTCGATAAAAACACATATACGCACATACTTATCTATATATATATATCTGTGTGTACCTCAAACCCTTTTAGAGTCCTACTGTCACAGTTCCTAAACTCTTTGACGAACTTGCTCCTCGTTTTGCCGAACGTAACGGTGGATATACTCGTGTTCAGCGTATCGGAAACCGTTACGGTGACAATGCTCCCATGGCTGTGATTGAATATATTGATGGACCCAACGATATCAAAAAGGCAATGGTTACCCAGACCTTGGCCCGTGTCCTGGGACAGACTAACCAGACTTCCAAGGTTAAGGAAGCATTTGAAGGAACAGCTGACCTCGGTCTTTCCAAAACTCTTTTACGTGATCTCAAGAAGGTTCAATTCGCTAACAGTATCGAGACCTTGAGCCAAGATGTTGAGAAGGAGATCGCAAAGCAATTCAATTAAAAAAAATTAAAAAAAGAAAAGAAGAATGGAAAGCGAATAAGGAATGAATGAACCAGAAAAATCAAAAAAAAATCAAAATGTATGCATATAAATTAATAGATAAATAGAGAGAGAAAGAGGGGGAAGGAAAATGATAATAATAATATCACTCAAACACTCAAATACGATCGCAATCACACTTTACGAACACAAAACGCTTACCATACAACCAATACACCGATCACCAAAAAAAGTGTATATACAAGAGATGACTTATACGACGATAATGACGATGAAAACGACGAAAAAGAAGAAGATAAAGATAAAGAGAGAAATCAAAGTACATACATACATACGCAAACTCAATCTTATATATAATGAAGGAAGAAAATAATCAAATCCAACATGGTTCGGTAAACGATAGTATATTGGAGGACACTGTATAACGGGTGTGTGCTTGTGTGTGCGTTTTAATGTATGGTAATGTACATAAAAGAGAGAGTATCGATCAATAGATACTGGGGACAGATAAATAAACTTGGAGACCCTCTTTTTATTCTTCTTCTTTGCGAGTCAAATTTACTGTTGGTTTGGGTTGTACTCTATGGAATTCAGTCAGTTTCAGAGATTATCTTCCTTGTTCCTCAAAATGAATTGGTCGATAAAGAATATTTTAACTCTTTTTGCCTGTGAATTTTACCTTTATCTTTTGACTTAAAATTCTTGTACTGTTTTTTTTTGGTACCTTTGAATTTTATCAAGTCGGCATTTAAATTTATATTTCATTTTTTCTTTTTATCCTTTTCTTTTTTTATTTTTTTATTTTTTATGAGACTGCATCTCAAGGCACACATTACACTATAATACATTTTGGTTTTTGCCTGTTATGCAGACATTACAAGGACAAATTAGACATTTGCGTAAACTATATCGGTGTCTCTTTTTTATTGACCTCCAGCCAGAGGAAGGAGAGAAAGTACAAGTGTTTTTCCGATGTGACGATGGTTCGATGAATAATGATCAATTCCAAGATGCCTACAAAACTGCACGCTTGGGTGATCAGGTTAAGATCCAGGTCGAGCCACCCCATGATCCCAAAGAGGCAGACAGACCTTACGTAGTCTATCAGTCGTGTCAACCGATCGTTGTCCTGAGTGCCTACAAAGGTTCATTTGTAGCCGACAGCGCGCTTAAGACAGGCGAGAACAAAAAAGAGACCTTACGACAATGGGACGGCCAGCACATAGACAAGGCTTCTCTAAATTGCAAGTATTGGATTAATCAACGCCGCTGTCCAAAAATGGAAGCATGCATGTTCCAGCATCCTGTAGGTGAAGCATATGAACAAGCAAGAGAAGAGTGGCTCAAACAGGTAAGACAACAAGTGCACTATCTTTCTATCTTTCTTGGTTGGTTAGTTAGTTATTTGGTTAAGAATGAGAAATAAAAGAAATGTTTGTATATACTATACGGGTTTAATTATACAGCCTGTGTTGTTCAAATCCAAACCACATATATGTATATAAAATAAAGACTTTATGTTCCTATATTAAATAAGAACAACAATAATATTAACTTTGTATTCTAGCGTATGGATGCTCGAAAACTCAACAACCATGATCCTAAAGACCCCCACACAAACAAAAAACCCCATGCTCTACGTGCGATTGTGTTCGCAAAATGGATTCTTTCGACATTTCAACCCAGCGGACAAGTGCTGGACATTGCGGGTGGAAAGGGCGAGATTGCGATGGTCTTGAGTCGGGGATATGGCATTCCTGCCACTGTTGTAGAACCCCAGGAACGAAAACGGCCCGATTATTGGTACACTCGCCTGCTTCGACTTTTGCGAACCTCGACCTGGCCATTTGATGTTGAACCGATCTACTTGCACACCATGCTAGATAACGCATTTGTAGAAGACCAGGCTGCATTGATCAACAGTGCATCGCTCTTCATTGGCCTCCATGCTGATCAGGCCACCGAACCTATTGTGGATTGTGCACTGTCTCTCAACAAGGCATTTGCTGTTGTGCCCTGTTGCGTATTCGGCCAGGAGAACAGACATCGTCGGCTAAAAGACAACAGACCGGTATTGACCACTCAAGATCTTGTACAGTACCTGTGTGAAAAGGAAACTCCAAACAAAAAGAGCGTTCAACAGGCGTACCTGGATTTTGAAGGGAAAAACATAGTGGTTTATTGGAATCCAGACGAATAAAACAGGAAAGAAAAAAGAAAAAGAGAGAAAAAGATAGAGAAAGATAGATAAAGCTTTTGTCTTCTTCTTCTCCTTCTTTACAAATGGCTCTTGATCTCTTTAAATTCAAGCTCTACGCGATCTGCCACTCGATCAACCTCGACCTTGTCCTTTCCTACGACGCTTACAACCACTTTTCCATTCAATTCTGGGTATGATCCGATGAGCAATTGGTCCTTTGGGTATTCTGCCTGCAGACCAGTCAGATAGGCTGCAAGCTGGGTTTCGGGCTGATAAGTGATAATCTCTCTACGCACAAAACCTTTGAGGGACTGACCCTGGCTAATGATAAGACGTGCGAAATAAGGCTTGAGAGAATAGAGTAAGCGTTGGAAGAGTTGGGGAATTCCTGGTAAGATGTAGATCTGACCCACAACCACGACTACTGGAATTAAGAGCGAAGGATCCTCGCGTACTAATACGGCAGGGTATGGAAACAAGGCCATCCTTAGATGGGCATCTGTGAGTGCTTTCTGCCTCTTTGTAGCCACGTCTGTGAGCCTTTGCTTGGTTTCATTGTCTATCTCGAGAGAAAGATCAAATGCCTTGGCAACAGCAGCATAAGTAATATCGTCATGCGTCGGTCCTTGAAGTTTCGATTTTTTTTTTGGTTTGAGTTTCTTTTTTTTTTGGTATAAAAATCTTTACATTAAAAATCGATTCCTTTACCTATTCCTCCACTTGTAAAAACAAGGGTGTGATCTTTAGCCAGACGCCGAACTGATTCACCAATAGCTTCATCATCATCAGCAACAACGTCAATACGTTTTAGAGAAATTCCCAAATCGAATAAGAAATTGGCTGTACCAAAAAGAAAAAAGAGTTTGGTTCGAGGTCATTGGCAATGTTGAAATATTCTTAAATCCTTTCTTTCATTCTCTTCATTAGTAAGTTTTACCTAAACAATAAGAATTTAGGTCCCTTGTCTTTCCAGACAAAATCTCATCGCCAATGAGGCAACAAGCAGCAGTGATGGTCATTCTATTGTTAGGGGTTGAAAGTGTCCTTGTAAGAGAGTTTTTTTTTGTGGAAACTACAGATTAATGTGACTTGTACGACACGAATAAGATTTTATTTTGTTTTTCTTCTTTAAATCAATGTAGCAGAAATGCATAGTTATAGGTGGAAAGTAGAAGGATAATATATTTCACTATGTATATACATGCATATTTTATACATATATATAGTGTGTGCATTATCATTGCTATTATATTTAAGTACAATATTTATATACTAATAATATTAATTACACTTATTACAAGTGTATAGGCAATTCATGAATCAATTTTTTTCTCTCTCTCTCTCTTTGTTCTTGTTGCTTTTAATCTGTTTTTAATTAAGCAATGCCTTATAAAAGAAAGCAAAAGATAGTCAACTTAACTTGATTATAATTCGGGTTTTATCTTGTGTTTTGAAGAAAATTGACGGTGGCAAAAGAAGCAGAACAAGAGTGGAAACAAGTCTTAAGAAAACAGAAGAGTATATACTGTGCAAACCATTATCCATTTGCTCGGCTACACAATTAAAACAGATAATAAAAGAAAGACAGAACAATATATTAGGAGCAAATGAAAATAAAATAGTGCATATATAATAGGAAATATTTACTTTTCTAGATGTACCTTTGTGTTTAAAAGGTACAAGTAACAAAAAATTGAAGGATCGTATTTGATTAAAGACTTACAAGACATCAGAGATCTACCAGTTTGAATCAAGGATTAAGCCAGTAATAGCACAAGGAAAGGAACATTTTCCGTCTATTATTTGGATAGAGGACTTGACGAGATTATATAATATAAATGATATGGGATTGAGGTGAATGTGCGGCAAAAGTACCCAGAAAAAAAAAGAATACTTGTAGTTATGTCAGAATCGATAGTGCACTAGTATATCAATCGTTTAAACTAGAAGGAAAAGTACAGTAACGCACATTATATAAAGCCTAAAATTTGAAAATTCAAGTCGCATAATTGAATATGTGATAGGTTATGTAAAAAAGAAACTTTCAATCGTATCTCGATTGTACGTTTTCTTTGCTGTACTTTGCTATAGGCTTCTTTTAGACTTTATTTTTTTACTTTTCTTCTTGTCATACTCAAAAAATACTTTTTGGATCTTCGTCACACTCCTTCACCCAATGTCGAGCTACTCTTGGTTTAACGTTCAATTTCTTTTCTGCTGCTTCTGCTGCTTCTGCTGCTGCTTCTGCTGCTGCTTCTGCTGCAACTACAATCAACAATTTCTCGCCCTTAAGCTTAAAGGACTCGATGATATATCTATCAGTGCAGGGAGGTTTCTGACGAGTACTCTCGCCTTTCCTAACACTTTTTTTTTGTAGTTTATTGAATGTATTATATACACAAAGGTCAGTTGGTCAAGACATCAAGCGGTGAGCTCAAGAGAGTCTAATAATGTTTAGGATGACAATTGCAGCAACTCGATTGTTGACAATGGGAACTTCTTTAAATATATTTTGGAAGTGAGCCTCCCAGATAACACTGAGGGCTTCCGAACAATGCTTAAAAATACTGTGGTATTGCGGACTGTGGCTGACTACAGAAAAAAGGGAAGGAGATCGGAATAGACCTTGTAGGCCTGGCTTGTCTTTGCTTGAGACCGGTGGTCTAAACCCTGCTATTTGTACCACTGTTAGGCCGAAATTTCTGGGTTTTTGTGAAAAATTGGAAAAAATGCCCGACCGAGGGATTCGAGCCCCCAATTTGTCGATTGCTAGTCCGGCGTCCTAACAACTGAGCTATCAGTCGGGTTGCTATACTATATCAAATTTTAGGGAGTTTGCACTATCAGCTTTGATGACGTCATCACTTTTTACTTTTCATTTTTATTTTCTCAGCCATTTTTCCCTTTCTTTTGATTTTCGAATCTACACTTTAATATTTAACCAAGCAACATACTCCTTTTTAAACCTTTTACACTCATCTTTTACCCTTTTTTCATTTTCCCAAGCTCTTCCTTAGATTACCATTTTTGTAATTCATTTACATTAATGCATTTTTTACCTTTTCTTTACTTTTACTTTCCCAAACATATTACGCTTCTTTTTATTTTTTGTATTAGCTTCATTTCTTTTATAATATATTATCTTTTTACTATATTATATTTTTTGTTTGTAACATTAATAGGGTATACACACCACAATTGAGTGAAGAACAGACTCCACAACCAAACACTGGTTCTTTCTTGCTAATGAAAATGGCGAGTTAATAATATGGAACTGTAACACAGCAGGCACACGTACACTATACTCTCATACAGTGTAAATCAACCATTATACATCAAGGATTTGCATTACAGGAATTTTAATAGTAGCAGATATAAACAATATTATTTTGTCTCTAATAAATAACACTATCACAGTATTTACATTTCTCTATATTGAGATATTAACCTAATAACAATCCCGAACACTTCACCACAAAAGCACTCAGAAAAAGAATACCTAAAATTGTATCAGAATTGAGAGTACAATAGCATGTCACTCGTTTAAACTAGAATGAAAAGTAGAGTAAAACACATTATATAAAACCTAAAATTTGAAAATTCAAATCGCATAAATGATTATATGATAGGTTATGTAAAAAAGAAACTTTCAATTGTATCTCGATTGTATGTTATTTTTGCTATACTTTGCTATAGGCTGTTTTTAGACGTTTTTTTTTATTGCTCTTCTTGCTATACTCAAAATTACTCTTTGGGTCTTCGTCACACTTCTTTACTCAATATCGAGCTACTATTGGTTTACTGTTTAATTTCTTTTCTGTTGCTGCTGCTGTTGCTGCTGCTGCAACTGCAATCAACAATTTCTCGCCCTTGAGCTTAAAGGACTTGATGATATATCTACCAGTGTAGGGGGGTTTCTGACAAGTACTCTCGCCTTTCCTAACACTTTTTTTGTGGTTTATTGAATGTATTATATACACAATGGTCAGTTGGTCAAGACATCAAGCTGTGAGTTCAACAGGGTCTCCTAATGTTTAGGATGCCAATTGAACCAACTTGGTTGTTGACAATGGGAACTTCTTTAAATATAGGTTGGAAGTGAGCTTCCCATATAACACTGAAAGCTTCCAAACAATGCTTAAAAATACTGTGGTATTGCGGACTGTGGCTGACTACAGAAAAAAGGGAAGGAGATTGGAATGGACCTTGTAGGCCTGGCTTGTCTTTGCTTAAGACCGGTAGTCTAAACCCTGCTATTTGTACCACTGTTAGGCCGAAATTTCTGGGTTTTTGTGAAAAATTGGAAAAAATGCCCGACCGAGGGATTCGAGCCCCCAATTTGTCGATTGCTAGTCCGGCGTCCTAACAACTGAGCTATCAGTCGGGTTGTTATACTATATCAAATTTTAGGGGATTTGTACCATCAGTTTTGATGACGTCATCACTTTTTACTTTTAATTTTTATTTTTTCTCGACTTTTTATTTTCTCAACCATTTTTCCTTATTTTGATTCCCGAATCTACACTTTAATATTTAACCAAATAACATTCTCCTTTTTAAACCTTTCACCCTTCTGACACGCAGGGTACTTGAGGGAGCAGGTGTAACTAATTGCAAGTCTACTACGAGGAAGGACGCTCAAGTTGAATAGCGTTTAGGGCCAGGTTACTAGCTAGCAAGGGTTATATTCCCAATTGGAGGCGTGGTAACGAGGGTCAATAAACTACTGTTAAGAGGAAACGTTCTCAAGACAATAGAACTACACTCAGTATTTAATTAGGGCGTCAAATAATATTTATGACTAGGCGTATGGGGATGGAATCATTTGTCAAAATGAGATAAAATGGGGAAGTGTTTTTAACGAGGTAAAAAGATTATTTGATTATTCTTCACTAAACTTCCTCTGATAATGGCCTCCTCTGCCAACTTCATTCTCCTTACACTACACCCACCTCAGTCTTCTCTCACCACTTCTCACTTTCTTCGCAGTGTGGCGACCACCAACCACCACGCCCACCATCTCACTTCTTTTTTTTCATTTTTCCAAGCTCTTCCTTAAATTACCATTTTTGTAACTCCTTTACATTAATGCATTTTTTTTTACCTTCTCTTCACTTTTACTTTCCCAAACATATTACACTTCTTTTTATTTTTTTTATAAGTTAGTATCTTTTATTATATTATATTGTATTTTATTAAAGTAACTACGGTTATTAGAAATGTGTATGTGTGTGTACGTGTTTACCTATCTACGGAGTGATTTACATACTACTGATAATAGAGTAAATGTACTTCAATTACTTGAATATATATATTCACTGATTTTAAAGAGACTCGATTCTCCTTGTTATATATTGTGTATAACATATTCAGTAAAGAAGATGGCATTGCAGTTTCATGAGAATTAGTTGCAATGACAAGTTTGTTCTCACAGACAGATTTTCCTTTTTGAGTTTTTTTTTTAAAAAAAAATGAAATAAACAAAAAGCGTTAAACAATATCGTATATTTCATAACTAATATATCAAACATAGCAACCCTTTTAAAAAAGAATTTAAGCATATGGGAGTCCCATCTCGATATATCTATTTTTTTTCTTTATTTTTATAAATTGGTTTCAATGTTAGATTAGTTATTCTTTTATTTAGGCATCAAATACAAGACTTCTTATAGAGCCACATTTAAATGTAGCATATCCATAATAAAGTTCTCTTTCCGAGCCGTTTAATGAGAATTGCATTACCGGCTCCAAAAGTTGTTCCCTACTAAATAATGCGCGAACGGGCATGGGAAATTCGTGGACATATAATCCAATCCCTCTTGATTCTTTTTCGTTTAACCTTTGGGTTATTTGTTGATGGTTTCTGAGAAAGGGCACCTTCGTAGGGTTAGAGTAAACCCATATCTTTTCTGTAGAATTCTGGACAAGATATAACATCAAGTTTTATTTTCGGTTAAAGTTTAATAATTTTTGGCTCTATATTGTTGCTCTTATATACATATATACACTTACCACTGATGAAGAAAATATAAAAATATTAATTTTAACTTGGTTGACAGGGTCCAAAAACTGAATATCATTAATATTAAGTTTTGTAAAGTAGGTAGATGACATATCGATATAAGTGTCAATATCATTTCCAGGCTGTAGTCCTAATTTAATTAGGCATCTGAACTGCATGTTGCTAAGCTTATTGCAGCAAGTGGAAATCTGGTTAAACGTTCTACCAGGAATAGACATATTGTTGAGCGATAAGTTCCGCAACCCATGTTTAATTGAAAAAATATGTGAGTTTGACATAAAAATAAGGTCGCCGTCAGTAATAGTGAAAATCCTCAATGACGGGCAGCTCTCTAGAATAGTATCCAGAATGACTTTTGCTTTGGAAATCTGAATATTGAAATCCACTAAGCGAGGATGACACGCAAATTTATAAGAAACGCCAAAAGCCAGTCTAGATTGTTGACGGTGTATAATTTTAATTCTCTCTAACTTATTTGCAAATATCTGTGCTGCTAAAAGAACATTTCTTGTTGGCCCATAGTCTTTTGTAGAGTTCAAGACATTAATTTCCACTGTCTTTATGGGAATATTGAAAAGACGCAGCTGATTTACAAAATCATAATATAAATGTTCTGAGCAATTCTCGACATGAATGGCAATGTTTTTCAACTGGTTAAAGGTAGATGGAAGTGTGGCTAGCATTTTCAGTACTCGAGAACTCTGCAAATCAATGATGGATTGGGAAAAAGAAACCGTTTTAAGAGTGCTGATGTTTGGGTACTTGACAGCAAGGTGGTACATCCATCCATAGGCTGTCTGTGTGATGAAGCTTTCTAGGGTTTTAAAACAGGGACTTCGGCTTACTCTTTCAATCTTCAATAATTCGGTTGGACTCATTTCCTGGAATTGAGCACTAAGCGAGATGTACGTTAATTCAGGTAGTTGATCATTAAGGAACTCAAAATCGTCAAACGTGTGTATAAAAGGTTTTTTGTCGACTGTATGGAAATATATTCGTTTCAGCCGACATAGATTCGAGGATATTAAATTAAGGGTCTTTCGTGGTTCAATGAAAATACAGCATTTCATAGTTATTTCGAGATTTGTGAGAGTTTCTGCCCGCAAATTCTACAAATTGAAATCGTGACATGCCAATATCCTTGCACTTGCACGGTCCCATCTGAGGTGTTTTAGGTTAGGAATATGTTCTTGTAGGGTAAGAAACCGGTGATAAATTGATGAATTAACTTTAATGATCTGAAGAGTTTGAGTTCTGAAACCATATTTTTGAAGGAGTTTGCCTGCTGAATTGGTTGGATCGGTTAACTTGTCAATACTGGCCCTAGTTTGAATAATGAGAGTTTCAAAAAGGGATTCTTGGAAAGCTGGGTGCCAAGCCTTGCACACGAGACAGCATTGAACTTTATCTTTGGGTTGAAGAAAGCTTGCAATAATAAGCGTAATTTCGAAAAATAATTCTGATGCCAGCATAATGTAGATAATGACTTGAGAATTTTCTTGGGGTGGGTTTTAAAAATAAAGAGAATGGAAAAGAGAAAAGAGAAAAAAAAAAGAAAATATAAATTACTCTCTTTGAAAGAACATATGCTTATACTAGAGATTGTAATGCCTTATATTTACAAGATAGGAGGTGAAATAAAGTTTAGTTTTTAAGCCTTGTAAAGCATTTGACAAAATTCGTCCTAATAAAGAATAACTGACAGACTCTCTTACACTAAGATACCTGCATTACAGGTACACTATTTTTACAAAAATAAATTGTATACAATAGTTTTGATTCAGATACTTATAAGTGGTGAGATCATGTAATAGGCTAGCTATATATATTGAATGGAAGACGAGTGTGGAACATTATACCTCTTTTTTATGGTTTGTTTCTTTACCTTAGTTTTAAGGCATCCGTCAAAAAGTTTTCTTATGATCAGAGCATAGTATTTTCTTTCTTTCATAAATGAATTATATATATATACATTTATATCAAATATGCTAAGCTTAATCAAATCATAATCAGTACAAGAGTTTCGAAAAGTCTGTCGCCATAATACAATTGGCCCAATGAGATTAAAAGTATAGGGCTGTAAATAAAGGTAACAAAGTTTAAGAATAAGAACCAGAATAAAAGGTAGAGTTACAGTACTAAAGTATTGTCATTTAAGAAACAAATAAATAATTTAAAAAATGGAACATTATTGATATCAAATTCTGGTACTTCAAGGAAGAATATTATATTTGTTTTGTATATACAGCTAGCTAATTAATATAAGATTTTTATTTAATAAAGATTAGCTCTTACTTAGGAAGGGGGAAGTTAATGTGTTGGGTTCTTTAAATGGAACTCCTCACAGACTCGCCTAAAGAAATATACTATTCACTCTGTGTTATAGATCTTTCACTTTTCCTATATTTAGTATTAATTGTATCGAGTTTCTCTTTTATTAAACAATTATATAATAATACGAATGTAGATCAAAGTCCAAAAGAGAAAAAAAAAACACCACAATAGATATCCAAGACTCATTTGTTTCCTCTAAACTTTGCACATTAGGTATGTATAACTTAAATAGCAAACGTAAGCCAACTTTGCGTTTTAAAGAAAGAGCACAGCTGACGAAGGCAAAAGAAGTAGAACAAATATAGAAATAAGTCTCAGTAAAACAGACAAGGGTACAGTGTGAAAATCAAAACCCTCAGACACAGATACTCGGCTAAAACATATAGTGAAAGATAGAGAAAGACAGAATAATATACTAGGAACAATTGACAATAAAATGGTGGATATAGAATAGTTGATACTTACTTTTCCAGACAGAAATATACTATTTAAAAGGTCTAGATAGCGAGAGATTCAATGATTATGATTGATGCAGATTTACAAGACACCAGAGAGCTACTGGTTTAACCTAAGTATTAGGCAGCTAAGGATACTAATGAAGACTTATTGCTGAGTAATATTTGGGAAAAGATCTTAAGGACGAGGATTTCCATTATAGATACAGGATTTCCACTCCAAAAGTTATATTTTTTTTTTCAAACTATATATTTTGCAAAATCAAAACTTTCATTTTGTGCTCCGACTATATATAAAAAAAAATCAATTTATTTCTTGGTTATTTGTACATTGGGGGAAGAAGCTAATGCTATGATCAACCCAGCCTTGGCAGTTTTCCATAGCGATATGGCGGGAGCACTCAGCAATATACTCCAAGAATTGACCACATACCAACCCGGGCTTTCTCTTGACCAGTGTTTTGAGTTTGGAGAAGCACTCTTCAATCGGGTTTAGGAAAGGAGAGTATGGGGGGAGAAAGTGTAGGTGGTGTCGTGAATTAGCAAACAATTCAGTGACAAGATGGGATCTATGGATCGAGGCATTATCCATAATGAAGTTGTGAGGGGTAGCATTACTGTGGTCGAGCGAATCCATAATCGTCTTTACAAATTCAACGAAAATTGGTCCTGTCGTGCCACCAGGGGTTAACTTCGCCTGCACACTCTCAACACCTTGGTAAGAAATACCGGCAAGAATTGAGATGTTTAGTCCCCTTTTCGACTTCGTCTTCACAATGCTGGTCTCGCCTTTCTTGGACCACTCTTGTACTCTGATCAGGTTTGCATTAAAGCCTGCTTCGTCCACAAAAATGCAATTGGTTTTATACGATAAACCATTCGTGTGCATACTGTCTACGTATACTTTTCTCAGCTCAATAGTCTTCGGGTCGTTTCTTTTTTCCTCGACCGGCTTGGTTCTCTTCAATGTGAACCCAATGTTGTTGATAATGTGCTTATGTAAGCCACTGATGCTCAAGTTCTGCTCTTGAAGCTCTGGAAATTTTCTAAACAGTTCCTCTCTCATTTGACCAAGAGTCAAGGTGCAGCATTCGTCCAAGAGGTCTTGAATGGACTTCGAATGCTCATCGGTTATCTTAAGACTTTCCGCGCGCGAGCCGCCTCGCTTCTTGGGCTCTACAGTAGCATCCCTCTCGAACTTGGTGAGGATGTTGTTAATCGATACCTATGAGACACCAAATGCCCTGGCTGCTTCGGCTCGGGTCATGGACTCTTCTATATAACATTTCTCCACAATCATGTTCTTGATGTGGATCGGAAGAACCTTTTGTGGTCCATTTCTCTTTCTTCTCTTAACGATAGCGATTTGATTGGGGTTCATGTTGGAGGATTTGAGTATAGAAAAAGATAATAGATAAAGACAGTTCTCAAAACCATATTACAAACTTAGCATTATATACTTTTCTTATAACAATATATTGACATTGCATGTTTTCTTATATTGTTTTTAATAAACAGTGTAGACATTCTTTAAATATTTTATCGCACATATTAGCATTCTTTATGCTCTTTATTAATTTGCTTTAAATTTCTTTCTATCCGCATTAATTAATTTATTTTTTTTCATATATAGTCGGAGCACAAAATGAAAGTTTTGATTTTGCAAAATATATAGTTTGAAAAAAAAATATAACTTTTGGAGTGGAAATCCTGTATCAGGAAGAAGACTGAGTTTATTGAAATTGGATTTTGAGTGATTATAAAGGGGCGTCCAAATAAGGTACTGATTTATGAACTCAAGAGTGACCTCCGTCACAGTCTTACTAACAAAAATGTAAACAAGTTAGGCACGTGACTTTTTAGATTTTTCTTTAGTATTCAAAGGGTAAAATGTGAAGAGGTGATCTCAGAATATAGAGCGCCTTTTTTGATATAGACCTGTGCCTACACCGATATGTTTTTTTTCTTTCAAAAGTTTGTAAAAATAAATAACTCCGCCGAAAAGGAGTACTAGCCGACTCGGAGGAGCTTAATACGCGGTACGGACTTTAGCCATAATTTCCTCTATGGGAATATAAGCATATTAAAAAACACAGCACATATACCAATTGTCTATAAGAAAACAAAGAAGTTGTCCATACGCAACTTTGTTACGCACCCAGAGTATTAAATCCTGTGATTTTCTACAATAATCATTTCGAACTGCAAAAAAAAAGTGCCAGCTCAGACATCGTTGTGCCGGACCGGGCCTGTTTTGATGACGTTGCGGTCACAACGAATATATGTAATGGTTATTCCCTTATCACCATTATGGCGTTCCTTTAGACTACACCATCAAACAACGATGTGCACTTAGTTATTACTTCAACATGTAATAACAAAAAGGTACATTGTCCCCCCTGCTAACGCTCTGGGCTCTGGCCTTTTGCTTCATTGTAAAAGGCATCCGGATGCGAACGTTGCATATAAAGAATGAAACTTCTTTATATGAATGCAGGGAGTTTGATGTAGAAGACAACGATGTGCACTTAGTTATTACTTCAACATGTAGTAACAAAAAGGTACATTGTCCCCCCTGCTAACGCTCTGGGCTCTGGCCTTTTGCTTCATTGTAAAAGGCATCCGGATGCGAACGTTGCATATAAAGAGTGAAACTTCTTTATATGAATGCAGGGAGTCTTCTGTAGTCTGTACTTTGATAAAGGTAATGTGTACCTAATAGGCATTGTTCAATTAATTGACTTTTACTAATTGGTACCAATGTACATTATTATTCTTCTGATGATTGATTGTTTTTACGCGTAAAAACAATCAATCATCACGACATGTTTAGGATTCTCAACTGTAAGCCAACTGAACAACAAGAAGCATATGTATATGTAACCATTGCTCTTATTAATTAGAATATAAAATCAAACGAAACTCTAGTATCAGTAAAACTTGAATAAGCTGCCAGAGGAGCCTTGGCTGTGGAAGAAAATGCAATCAAAAGATTAAAAGAAAAATATTTCTATACTTAAGCAAGATCATTTGAACACATATTGAAACAATAAACAAAAAAAAAGTAATAATGACTCGGTTGTTGGTAGTCAGTAAAAGTAAAAGAACATAAGCACTTTTATTTCTTTAATTCTATGGTTTTTATTCTTCACTTTTGTGATTCGATCACATAGTTTATTATTGCCTGCTTCCATTTTAACATAGCAGGAATGTTTTCAGCAAAGATCTTTAGCTCGCGTGGGGTTACCGGACAGGGAATCTTGCAAAAAGTTCTTTTTACAAGTCTAGTTTCTTCATCAACTAAAAATATGGCTTCAAAGAAAATCTGGTTGTCTAAAAGAAATATTAGCTGTGGTTTGAATGTCCATACATATATATATATATGTATGTATGTATGTATGTTCACAATCAACTTACTGAAGAAACGACAGTAGAACTGCGGGACAGGGGACTTGTGCTTTTTGACATATTTGGCATATTCCAAGAGCTTGACCATATTTCGTATCATTTTGCTTTCATCTCTTTGCTCTTTTTCTGTGGTACTATTAAAGTGAATCCCTCCAGAAAATTCAATCAAAACGGGCGTGAGGCGCTTATCTTTGATTGAAAAGCATATTCCATCCCAATTTGCAGCTCCTGTTATATCAGCTGTCCGCTCAATCCTAATATGTGTTTAGAAGACAACCTTTTCATTTGTTTCAAACTAATTTATTTACCAATGGAAAGATACTAGGTCATTACAGCTTAAGAACATTGCATGTAACAGGTATATTGTTGTAATTGGAGCAGTTGTCCTCTCTTTCATTGGGAATAGAATTGGGTTTCTTGGGCTGGTCATCATTTGCAAGCTATTTAGATAGAGATATTAGGTTAATTAGCTAATTAACTAATTAACTATCAAAATAATGACAATGCCTTTCTTTTTTATTATGATATATAGATACTTACAAATGATGAAGTGTAGATTCCGCAAAGTAATAGTCAGCATATTCAGATTCATCCAGAGAATTATTAGTTCCAATAAAAGACCTTATTTGAGACTTTATGCATGCTGCTGAAGCAGAAGATTTGGAAATAAGATTCAAAATATCCTTGCACGGTTCACTTAATTCAATTTTTGGAGGGTCAGTCAATGATTTGATGCTGGCGCCGGATTCTTCTAACAAAGTCCCAGACATATATTCTAAGATATCAGGGTTGTCAAGATCCAACACGTTGAGACCATCATATCTGTAATATAATGCGATTAATCAAAGTAATGAATATATATAGAAATGGAGACATAAACAAATGACAGCTATTGTTCCTTACTTTTTGTAAGCGTAACCTGTAGGACTTATATCACAGCTTGCTATGTCTTCGCTGCTGATAGTGGATGTTTCTGACTTTTCATCCGCAATATATGTGCTTGATATTGCGGATGTGGATGGACTAACAGAAAAGTGTGGGCTTGTGGCACATGACTACAAGAACATAGATTAATACCAACTTTTGAAATGTACGGCGAATATGTGGGAACAAACCTTTTTAATAACTCGCTCCATATTTGAAACGATATCATTAGTGATATTTGATGTGCCTTCCAATTGTCTTTTTCTTATACTCTCAACAGTACGTTCCTCCTCTCTTTTAATCCAATATTTTTCAAAGGCACTACCAAAAGGACCATCTTCCTTTGTACGCGACTGGTTGGCGAGATGGTTGTAGTGGTAAGAACACATATACCCCTTAATCATTTAATAGCTTTCGCCAATACATTACCTCAAATAATTTCAAGGATATTACACCTTCATTCAAGTACTTATTGGATTTTTTCACATATTCTGTTAATATGCTTCTGTAAATAAGATTCGTAACGTGTTTGTCTTTCAAAATTAACTTGGCAAAGGAAAAATAGTCAAACGGAGGATCAAGTAAATGAGCCGTTTTCAACCATTCATTATAATTAGGACCCAGATTTGAGTGCTTGTACATCTTTAATGATATATTAGTTATTTCTTTAAGGGAAAAAAAGTAGAACTGTATTCGAATGAAAGATACAGTAAAGAAAGAGCACCGTAAATCTTTTAAAGATAACATTAAGGGAGCAGTGTTTCCCCTCCCCTTCACTTCGGGGGGGGGGGGGGACAAAGTCCTACAGGCAGTTAATAAAAAACTCTTCCCTACTGCTTTGATCTAATATGCCCACAATTACACTGTTCTTTTCTCTCTTTGTCTTTTTAAATATGTACTAATGGTGCCAAAATTGGTTTTATTAATTTTTGGCGTTCTATATGGAGTTCACGGAGTTAGAAAGCCTAAGGAAAGAGGGGAAATCTGTAACAGTTTTATGCGGAATTTGTTACAACTTTAAGCAGTAAAAGTTTGTAAGAATTATATCGATTATGAAACAGAACATCTCTCTTTGAACCTTTCTGGCGTAGGGAACTTGGGCGTATTAGAGATTGGTTAAATTACGATCTTACGGATCAATGGTTGGGGTTAAGTTTAGTGAAAATTCTGCCTAACAATTACGCGTAGGGCTTTTGATATTTTACAGGATTTCCACTCCAAAAGTTATATTTTTTTTCAAACTATATATTTTGTGCTCCGACTATATATGAAAAAAATAAATTAATTAATGCGGATAGAAAGAAATTCAAAGCAAATTAATAAAGAGCATGAAGAATGCTAATATGTGCGATAAAGTATTTAAAGAATGTCTACACTGTTTATTAAAAACAATATAAGAAAACATGCAATGTCAATATATTGTTACAGAATTTCCACTCCAAAAGTTATATTTTTTTTTCAAACTATATATTTTGCAAAATCAAAACTTTCATTTTGTGCTCCGACTATATATAAAAAAAAATCAATTTATTTCTTGGCTATTTGTACATTGGGGGAAGAAGCTAATGCTATGATCAACCCAGCCTTGGCAGTTTTCCATAGCGATATGGCGGGAGCACTCAGCAATATACTCCAAGAATTGACCACATACCAACCCGGGCTTTCTCTTGACCAGTGTTTTGAGTTTGGAGAAGCACTCTTCAATCGGGTTTAGGAAAGGAGAGTATGGGGGGAGAAAGTGTAGGTGGTGTCGTGAATTAGCAAACAATTCAGTGACAAGATGGGATCTATGGATCGAGGCATTATCCATAATGAAGTTGTGAGGGGCAGCATTACTGTGGTCGAGCGAATCCATAATCGTCTTTACAAATTCAACGAAAATTGGTCCTGTCGTGCCACCAGGGGTTAACTTCGCCTGCACACTCTCAACACCTTGGTAAGAAATACCGGCAAGAATTGAGATGTTTAGTCCCCTTTTCGACTTCGTCTTCACAATGCTGGTCTCGCCTTTCTTGGACCACTCTTGTACTCTGATCAGGTTTGCATTAAAGCCTGCTTCGTCCACAAAAATGCAATTGGTTTTATACGATAAACCATTCGTGTGCATACTGTCTACGTATACTTTTCTCAGCTCAATAGTCTTCGGGTCGTTTCTTTTTTCCTCGACCGGCTTGGTTCTCTTCAATGTGAACCCAATGTTGTTGATAATGTGCTTATGTAAGCCACTGATGCTCAAGTTCTGCTCTTGAAGCTCTGGAAATTTTCTAAACAGTTCCTCTCTCATTTGACCAAGAGTCAAGGTGCAGCATTCGTTCAAGAGGTCTTGAATGAACTTCGAATGCTCATCGGTTATCTTAAGACTTTCCGCGCGCGAGCCGCCTCGCTTCTTGGGCTCTACAGTAGCATCCCTCTCGAACTTGGTGATGATGTTGTTAATCGATACCTATGAGACACCAAATGCCCTGGCTGCTTCGGCTCGAGTCATGGACTCTTCTATATAACATTTCTCCACAATCATGTTCTTGATGTGGATCGGAAGAACCTTTTGTGGTCCATTTCTCTTTCTTCTCTTAACGATAGCGATTTGATTGGGGTTCATGTTGGAGGATTTGAGTATAGAAAAAGATAATAGATAAAGACAGTTCTCAAAACCATATTACAAACTTAGCATTATATACTTTTCTTATAACAATATATTGACATTGCATGTTTTCTTATATTGTTTTTAATAAACAGTGTAGACATTCTTTAAATATTTTATCGCATATATTAGCATTCTTCATGCTCTTTATTAATTTGCTTTAAATTTCTTTCTATCCGCATTAATTAATTTATTTTTTTCATATATAGTCGGAGCACAAAATGAAAGTTTTGATTTTGCAAAATATATAGTTTGAAAAAAAAATATAACTTTTGGAATGGAAATCCTGTATCAAGGAATTTAGGTGAATATGATACATAGGCGTTATTAAGAAAATACATATTGTTATATCATAGTTGATCAGTACAATTAAGGGTCGATTCTTTAAACTAGAATCAATACTTTTTTTCGGTTTGTTTGTTTGAGTAATACACACAGATAAATGAAAATCCCAGCTATAAGATATTCAGCAAATTAGTCAATGAATTAGCTTGTATTTCTATATTGTAAGGTATACTTACCAATCATCAGAGTATGCTATCAATTTACAACGCTAGAGTACATGTATTTTATTTATTTTAAAAGATAGACATACATAAGTTTCAAAGAATCTCAGCGATATTATCATGTAATATATATTATATCCAGTAAAAAAAATGGTACTGTAACTTTTGAACATTAAGTATAGCAAAAAAATGTCTGAGACAAACTGATGGTTTGTTATAGTTATTCCGTAAAAACTATCAAAACATATCGTATAATTTTTATCTAATATGATAGGCACAGGTAGCCTTTAAAAAAAAAGTCCAGCCAAACTTTAATATACTTGTTTAAATTTAGATTATTTATTATTTGAGGGTTGTCTCAAGCACAAGTTTCTTGCAGAGCCGTATTTAAACCTAACATAGCCATTATAAAGTTGACTTGCCCATCTGCCTATTGACAAATCCTTTATAGTTTCGCGAAGCTGGTCTTTAGTATATTCTGCACGAACCATCCCGGGATATTTACGGAAATATTCCTCGACCTCCTTTGAGTCTTCTTCATTTAGCTTTAATGTTGTTGATTGCAATTGTCTATGATTTATCGAATTACTGGGTGAAGAATATACCCATATGTTCTCTGTAGGAATCTGAACAAGATATACATCATTTTTGTTTTCCTTTAAGGTTAATGTTCTTGTTTCAATATTGTAAGACTTAGATATATATATAGACACTTACCAATGATGCAGAAAAAGCAAAGGTGCTAATTCTATCTTGGTCAAGTGTGTTAATAAATTGAGTACTTTCAATATAAAGTTTTGTAAAGTGGGTCGATGACATATCGATACAATTTTCCACAGCATGTTTCTGTCGTGGTCCTGTTATATCTACAAATTCGAGATGCATGCTGCTAAGATTCTTGCAGGATATGGATATATTATTGAGTGTGCTAGCGGAAATAGACATAAAGCTGAGTGATAAATCAGACAGCCCATACTCCATTGAAAAGAGAGGAAAATCTGACCGAAAAGTAAGGAACCCGTCAGTAATGGTTAAGGTCTTTAATGCCGGACATTTTTCTAGGAGAATATCCAACATGACTGTAGCATTACTGATGTAGATATTGAGATCAACCAGGCGAGGATAATATTCAAGCTTTTCAGAAAAGCTCAAGTGCAGTATATCTTCTTGAAGGTATATAATTTTGATTTTCTCCAACGTATTCGCAAATATTTTTGTCGATTCTAGGATATTGTTTGACGATATGTTGTTGCTTGAGGAATCATGTATATTAAGATCAATTGCTTTGATAGGGACATTGAAAAGACAAAGTTGATTTATGAAATTAAGATAAATCTGCTCTGATGGAGTATTGGCATGGACCGAAATGTTCGCCAGGTGTTGAAAAGGATATAGAAGTTCGGCAAACATTTTTGGAGCTTGAGAGGTCTGCATATCAGCTATAGACCGGGAAAAATCAAAGCGTGGAAGTGTACTGATGTTTGGATACTTGATTGCGATGTAATATAACCATTCATAGGTAGTGTTTTTGATAACTATTTCCAAGGTTTTAAAATAGGGTCTTGGCTCAACTTTGTTAACTTTTAATAACTCGGCTGGACTCATTTCCTTAAATTGAGCACTAAGTGACATGTACGTCAATTCGGGGAGTTGATCATTGAGGAGCTCAAAATCATCAAATGTGTATGTAAATAATGTTGTATAGGCTGTATAGAATTTTAGTCGTTTCAGCCGACATAGATTCGATCGTATTAAAGTAAAGGTCCTTGGCAGTTCAGTGTGAATACAGAATTTTACGGTTATTTCGAGATTTGTGAGAGATTCGGCCCACAAATTCCACCCGCCAAAATCAATAGACCGAAGTAGCTTAACACTTGCACTATACCATCTGAAATTTTCTAGGTATGGAAGATGCTGCTGGAGGGTATAAAGTTGCTGATCACCCAGGGAAGTGTTTTTACCGATATTGAGCGTTCGAGTCTTGTGACCATACCTTTGAAGAGGGCTGATTGATGAATTGATTGAATCCATTAACTTGTTGGCACTGGCTTCACTTTGGATAAAGAGAGTTTCAAAAAGAGACTCTTGAAAAGCCGGAAGCCAGGCCTTGCACACAAGACAGGACTGGACTTTATCTCTGGGTTGAAGAAAGTTTGCAACAAGAAGTGTGATCTCGAAAGGTAATTCTGATGCCAGCATGATGTAGGCAATGACTGGACTTTTGAGAATTTTTTTGACAAAAAAGAAAGATAGGTACAAGACAGGAATTTTTTCAAAGGGTGTTGTTATGCTTGAGTTAAACGTGGCTTACGTATCATTACAAGGTAAGAGTATATAAAGTTTAATTTCTAAGCCTTGTAACGCTTTCAACAAAAAATTGACCCAATCAATAATAACGACTAAACTCTCTTACACTAGGATCCCTTCGCTAAAGACACACGTTACTTTTACAATAGATAATAAGGGGTTATTGGGTACTCATTTTTGCTCAAATCTTTCAGCAATCTTTCAGGGACAACATTTTCAGGATCGGGCACTACCTTTTTTTTGCCGGACTAATTTATTGTGACTACTTGTACGAAGTCCGATGTCTCTTTTCCAATCCTTCAGAGCAAAACGACATGTCCTGACATTCTTAATTCAATATTTAAATATAAAACCTTCTTTTCTGTTGTATACTCATCTCATAAGAACTATTACTCAGTTGTATTCTAAAATATTATTTTTCTCGGAGATAGCAAATAAACTACTTTGCTCATTGTAGATTAGCAATTAAAGATCATGGTGTTAATAAGTACTTTATAGAAATCACTTCAATATAAATCCTATCAATAAACATATCCGTTTTTTCAATGGAAAGGAGTATTTTCTTGCCCAAGAACCTCTTCCTGTCTCACCAGTTAAAGGTTACATTGGCATGATAGTGGTAATTGGAAAGATGCAGGAGATTGCACTTGTAACTAGAGAGAGTAAACCAACTTGTGTAGTTGAAATGTGCCATAAAGGAAGGACACAACGTTTCCAGGGTGAGGCACACCACTTCCTGTTAGGCTATTATGTCTTCCAGTAACAAGTTAGGTAACTATTTTATTATTCTTTATATATCAGCTAATTCATTGCAGGTAGTATAAAGCTTTAAGTATTTCATTACGTATTTAAGAGGATGTGTTTTCAGTTAGCCAAAGCTATTATCCTATCTTATATTAAAGTATCTTTATTATGATAAGTATGAATCCTTAGAGATTACATATAATTATTTGATACCGAACAGAAAGTTGTAATTTGTGGTCCGGTAAAATCAAAACATCGTTTTCCATCGGAAAATATGGTCCCTCTAATACAGTCATAATCAAAAACGTTTCGACCTCTGAGCCCAAAAAATGCATGAGAGAAATCATGGCATGTATTCAACATGCAACTGCTCCTCAGTAATAAAAGCTAAAGCATTCAAACTTCAAATAAAAGATTATATATATGTTTATTATTGAAATATAGAAAAAAATAAAAGATCAATATTTTGTATGACCTCCTTTGGCCTCAATTACAGCCTGGCATCGATGCTGCATGCTTCCGGCCAAAGTTGACGAAAGTCCGAGACCTATCCTTCGCCACTCTCGTTGCATTACAACCTTCAGATCTTCAACATTGTTAATACTGGCCCTCTCGTCACTCATGCGCCTCTGGAGAGCCCACCAGAGATGCTCGATGGGGTTGAGATCCGGGCTTTGAGCGGGCCAGTAGTCAAAACCTCGGATCTCATGGCTATCTTTCCACCATCTCGAGTACGACCCAGTATGACAGCTGGCGTTGTCCTCTTGGAACACGAAGCTCCTGTTTTGTTCCCGCGAAAGATTTTGGAACCAAGGGAGGAAGTTCTGAGCCAAAGTGTTCACGTATTGGTCTTGGTTTACGTTACCATCTAGGAACACCAAAGGGCCAAAACCACCGGCCCAGAAACAGCTCCAGATCATCACACTACCCTTTCCCCACTTGGTTCCTTCGATGATATTTTCTTCCTTGAACCTTTCACCGACTTTCCTGATAGCTCTAGCTCCTCCATCATTACCCTCAACTGTGAACCGTGATTCATCTGACCACACTACACCTCTCCACTGGTCATCTGTCCAATTCACATGCTCACGGGCCCATTCCAGCCTTCTTTTCTTGTGGCTTTCGGTTAAAGTTGGCTTGTGAGCTGCGATATATGATCCGAAGCCCAAACGCTTCAGACAACTGATTATTGTCTTTCTGCAGACAAATACCTCAATGTTCTTTAAGGAAGCCCTTAGCCTAGAAAATGAGGCAAAGGGGTCCTTACGAACTATTTGAACAAGGTGTCTTTCTGTCCTCTCGTCAATCTTTCTAGGTCGTCCGGACCCTTTTCTTGGCTCGGGCGATCCTGTCTCGTCCACTCTCTTAATGATGTACTTGACAGTTGACAGACTCATGCCAACCACCAATGAAATCTGGGTCGCCCCGTAATTTGCTAAATGCATGTACATGATGCATCCGTATTTATAGGGATTGGCCTTTTCATATGATCCGTGGGTGTTTTCTGATGAATTTACGTCTTGCATGTTGGATTTGATTAATAATATTGGGAGAAAACAATGTTTTTATTTTTATTTTTTCGATTTTTTTTAGGCATTTTTTGCGGGGGTCGAAACGTTTTTGATTGTGAGTGTATTAGCGAACTTTTAAAGGTTAATCTCCTTTTATTAGTTATGAAAGTGTTTTTGAGAATAGTGAAAATCATACTTGCTTGTATATAAGAGTGTAGTATGTGAAATAGAAGGAGTTTAATGAGAATGCGAAAGACAAATGCTCTTATTTATACTGAGTGGGTATCAACTTTTGAAAAATACCATTGTACATAGATACTTAAGTCCGATAGCACCATATCTCTTCAGACATATAATAATATTCGTCTAAAATTAACAATATCAGAAAAAAGATTCCTGGGACTTATACATGTGTGTAGTATGCTCCAAGAATTAATACTATACGAGCATGGATGAGGTTATCGTATAGAGCTTGGCATAGAAGACTTTGATAAATTGCACCAAAACTTGCGACACTTATCGGCTATCAAGGCTGGAATATGTCTTGAGATTAACTTTTCGGTTCCATTGGACAGAATCCCAAACACGACACCGGCTTTTACGCTGACATCCCTAAATATAAATTCAAAGCAATACGAAAACAAGACCTAAACTGGCAATAGAAATTGGAATGAATGGAATCCTTTGTGGCTGTACTATTTTGGATACAAGTATCCGAATTTGCGTCCTCTGAAGCTAGAAGTCATCGACATAAGTGGTGACCCTATGACTTCAGACCAGAGGCAAACGATCATATCTCGTCTTCAATCTAATCCAAACGCATTCCAACACCTGGAAACATTCAATCTCACAGATTACAGATTTTTTGAGCATTCTGATTCTGCTTTATGGAAAGTGCTTTGTCTATTAAGAGTTCCTTTTAAGCATTTGACATTAAATACAACAACAAGAGGAAAAGTAGACGACTCATACTCAATTTATGCCAACAGAATTTTACAAGAATTTTCTAAAACATTCCAGAGACTCTCGGTTATAGGGTTTATATATAATGCTAGGGGTCAAGGTCCAACTATCGAACTATCCTCTTACTATCCGCTTTTGACGAATCTTTGCATAAATGGCAGCAATGTGTTTCTTGATCTAGATGATTTATTGGGAAAATGTGTAGCCCTCAAACAACTAAAAGTTGGTGGTAAAAAATTGCTCATTAATTCAGACACAATAACCAAGAAGTCAAAGCCGCAGCATCATGGACTGAAGGTTTTGACGCTAGAGAAATGTTCTGCAGATGCTAAAGTATTTAACCACATCTCTTTCAGGTATAGAAGTTTAAAACATATGACTTTGAATACTCTGCACGTCATGGGACCTATTTGTGAAAAAGCTGGATGCTTGTTACTTGATATGGCACAGATTCTCTCAAATACTTTGTGCATCGACCAGCTTTATTACAGCACAGAATATGGAGAATTTGGTATAAAATGTAACATCTGTCGGACACTCCTGTCTCAATTATACGATGCTCCATTATCAGACGAAAAAAAAAGTGATAAATTCAAAATACTTTATTGTAGAATTTCACAATATTGATTGGCTAAACACATACGAGTACTATTGGTCTTCCGGGATATATCGCCGCAAAGCTACAAAGCTTTCAAATAAAGGAGCCAAAATTGCATATGAATACTATCAAAACTTTCAGTCCAAAAAAATCGGTCAAACTTTAAATCATGGCCGCTTGTGTTATGGAGGGAACCCAGAGATAGGCTATAAATACAAACTTTACAGAGGATATGGTGAATTGAGACTTGGAAAGATTAAAGACGTTAATATTATATGTGTATCAGATGATAATGAGTGATAGGTAAGAGGCTGTATAATAGGGGAGGGGACTTGAAAAATAAAAATAAAAATAGCACTACGAAAAAAAGGAGTGATCCCGAGGGCGATTTGGAAAAAAATATAAGCATTTTTTAAAACCGCCCTCTGAATCGACTCTTTTTTCCCCCTTAGTGCGTTGGTAGCCTCAATATGAAATTATTAGCAGCTTGTCTGTAGTGTAATGCGCGCCTCTTGTATAACTGATAGTCATAATATAACTATAATATTTTTTGAATTATTAATATGTTTTATAAGAAGAATCTGGTTTATATAAAATAGGGTGTAACCTGGGTTCAAAGGGGTTTGTTACCGAATGATAAGCTATTAGATTTGAATGGTTTTATTATCTTTAATTTCTGTACTGGGTTGAAGAATTTGGGAAAAGGCGTTTTGGATTGACTTCAAAAAGATGGTGGGGTAAAAGTGGGATATATATATAAAAGAGAGAAAAAGTAGTGCTTAATTGATAAATTTCCACTTTAAAACGTACTTTATACCCTAGAAAACTTGCAGCAATCTCGCTAAAATCGGCTTTTTTTCCCTATAGTGTAATGCAGCTTGACACAACCATACAATGTGTCTTGCACACCTCAACTGGTATTTGTTTCCATTCTTTATTAGTGGCTATGTCTAATTCATTAAGAGTTTTTGGGCCAGGTACTTTTGCCCTTATTGCTCGATACAAATATCTCCAGGTACTCCCAGTAGGACTGAGATTTTGGCTATTTGATGGTCATGTCACTATTAGCACATTATTAGTATTATTATTTTTTAGATATTAATTAGTATTGAATTATGACAAAGAGTATTTTCGTTGTAGATAAGTATACCATCGTATATTTTATGATATAGTTAGAAATGAGAGGTGTTTCCTTTCAAATAGACATTTACACCCATATTTGTTAAGATTGCTCATTACTGTCTTTCGATGGGCTAATCTCCTACCCACATCCAACAAACAGGATCTAGTGTCAATTCACTTTTTTTTTGTATGAGGAAAATCACTACCAAATATAAAGTTTTTTCTTGCTGACCAGCTTATTTATTGATTTAAGGACCAAAGCTTTATTGGGTTCCTATTTTCTTCTAAAGGTTCCAGACATTTACACCAGAACTTCTTTTTTTTGTGCATTAATATTATAGTAGACAATAATTTATAGTCAGCGTTTGATTTGGTGTATAGTAATATATATATATATATGAATTTCCCAACCATATCATTAAATTGAGCACTGACTACATTGTTTTGATATTCCTTTTTAAATTTGTAGAAACACACAGTGAATATGTGTTTGAGAACAGACCATAAGCTAATATAAACCTTGTTCTTATATTATATATATATATATGTGTGTGTGGGTGAATGTATGTGAATGTGAATATATGTGTACATTCGTACATTTGTGATAATCTCTTGTATTCTACCATATTAAAAAAAAAACGATACCTGAATCAAGATCTGATTCTAATTGTCAAGTACAAAATGGTACTTTAGAGTGATTATCTATCTGTAATATTATACTAACTTTTTATAGATATTATACTATCTCTATCTCTCTCATACATGTACTCACATACAAGCATACTCAAACTCACGCAAGTACACTCATACATACTCTCGCACTTATGTATACATGCACACATGCACAAAGAGAAGAAGAGCAATTATAGCAAATATGTATATATATAAAAGTGAGCTGTTTTTACCGGAACTAATCCTTTTTCTATATTCCAATGACAGTCTTTGTCCCACCAGATTTCACCTCAATTTCTATACCCATTGATCTTAAAATCTTTGTTTCAACTATAATAATATTAATAAATGAATATCATCTTCATATGCAAATTTGAATGTCTGGTATTTTTTTTACTATTATTATTACTACTATATGTATACACTTACTGCAAGTTTGAATCTTGTTCTTCCTTATTTCTTCATTTTGACTTTAAGTTTGTTTCAAATTGTGTAATTATTAATGAAATTCAATGAAATTCTACATATATTGTCTTGATCTTTCTGCTTTGGGGATGTAGCCTTTTTTTTTTCCTTTTCTTCTAAAGCACATACTTTAGATTCAACCTTACACACACATATATATAGTCCCTTTTTTTTAAAGAAAATAAAAAAGCTGTGTATTGTTACTTCCCTGTTTCGTTTGATGCTCCGAGATTTTCTTTATATGTATAAACATGTATTTTGTTTTGCGTTTTGTTTTATGTATTTATATATATATATATATATCTTACAAAACTACACATGCTTGTCGGTTTGTTTTTCCGGAGTAAAGAGTTATATGTACATGTATAAGATTAAATTCCAAATAAAAAAAGCAAAGGATAAGGAGAGATAAAAGGAGAGAGAAGATATATATACGTATGAATTCACTTATTAACAATTGTCAAGATCTACAGTACACTTCAATTGGTAGACAAAAGAATATATTAAATAAATGCTAATGAAAATGAAAAGGAAAATGATCATTCTAAGCACTGTGACAATTAATGTATCATCCTTGACTCCAGAGATCCGGGTTCTCTTTTTACATTGAATGATAAAAAGATCGAAGGAATTCTGTTTGTCAAAAAAATCGAGAAATAATTAACAATTTTCCCACACACACATATATACACATTTCTGAATATATATATAAGATAAAAAAAAGTTCCTATTGGTTGTTACAATTCCTTAGGGTACATGGCAATTCGACTCACATTAAATCGATATCCACCAATTGGTTAAGTGATTACAATTGAATATTTACATAGGAGAACTATCAGCTATCAATAAAAAGAATGAGAGAAAGATAGAAAAAAGCCAAAAATGTTATGTTTTCAATTGCTTTATTATTGATAGACATACTGATTGGTAGGATACCTGACAAATTGGCCAATAGATTAATTGATAAGTCGATTGCTAGATGGATAGATTGATAGACAGATTAATTGATAGGCAAAAATTAAAGGAGTATCAAAATCAAAATCAAAATGAAGAGAGAAAAATGAGAGAAAAAGTGAGTGAGTAAGAGTGATTGAGAAATCCACTGGTTTCCAGTGTTTTCTTTTTCTGTTGATTGTTTGGCGTACAAGACTTTACCCGACCAACCACAATCACAAAACATATACAAAATATAGAGATCACTTTTATACACTTAATATTACAGATTTCAAAAAGACTTTCTTTTTTTGGTTCCAAGGATGATTGTTTTAACAAATGACATGATATTTATGCCTCACACTCACACACTCATATTCACTCACTCTCTCTCTCTCTCACACACACACACACACACACATATATATATATATAGATATGTCATTTTGTTTCCCTTGTGATAATTATCACAATAATATCTTTATTATTGCTACTATTACTACTATTACTACTCCTTCTACCTCTGCTACTAATAATAATTATAGAATTGGCTATCAAATGCTCGGTAGGCATGGATTGCTGTCACACAGTCCGTGCACAAAAAAAGAAAAAGAAAAAAAAATAGGGAAATTTACAACTAAGAACAAGGAGAAAGAGAAGAATAAGAAGATAAAATATATATTTATATATGTAATGTAAGAAAAAAAGCAAAATGTTAGAGGGAAAAATAGGTAAAAAAAAAAAAATTAACGGAACATCCCGATTATTTGGATTTTTTTTTATAAATAAATATATACAACATTATCTCCATGACAATGTATATATTTTTCATTGATAAAATCTATAATTCACATAACATATTTATCTTTTTGTGTTGACTTTATAGCAACAACAAATAAAGTTAAATCCGTAGCCATGGAAACAACTTCTTGCTTTACTTTTTTTATTTTTATTTTATTTTTTTGATAGTTCAAGGGGAATATTCTATTTTTAGATCATTGCAGTTTTATTTTTCTTTTCTCTTAAAAGAACGGAAGCTCAATTCCATTCGATCCACATTTTCTTGTGTATTTGTTGCTAGATTGCTGCTAGCTCCTAATAAAGAAATAACAGTTACATCCTATTACAATCTCATTACTAACCATTTATTCAAATATATATATATAAAAGCTAATTTGTTATTTATTGCTATATATTTTGGTTTTCAATATTTGGATAAGAATTGATGATTTTGTTTCGATTAAAAGTATACAAAATTTCAAAATCAAAAGAAAGAAAGAAAAAGTCAGCTGTAAGTTGACAGGACATGACAAAGCATGGCAAGGCATAGCAAGGCATAGCAAGGCATGGATTTCCTTTTTTTTATTTGAAAAGAAAAAGAAAGGATTCGCTGTTCTTATATATTTTTTGAGTGTAACATATATTGCACACACACACGCAAAAATATTATGTTTTTTTTTGTTTCTTTTTGGGCTTGGTTCAAAAGGAAGATTGACCTGTGTGGACCAACGTGCCTCGGTGCAACCATGTTCCAAAATAATAAAAATAATAAAAAATGATGACTGGTCTAACGAAACAAATCGAATCTGGTTCACTTTTTAGTTTGCTCTTGACATATAAGTTATTCTTTAAAAAAAGATACCAAGAAGTAAAAGAAGTGTTATATATATATATATACATATATACAGATAAAGGGTATGTGTATGTGTATATTTATATAATAAATGTTTGACTTATTACACATAATGATAGTAAAGCCAGCTGTATTATCCTGTGAGTGTTCCAATGATATGTCATGCCATCTTATCACTATTGCTATTGCTATTGCTATTGCTATTAATATTACTTGCTTATTTATTTTATTCAAGTGTAAACGCAAAACGCAAAACGCAAATGTGAGTGTGAATGTGAATGTGAATGCAACTATGAATGCATATATGTATATGTATATGTATATAAATATATCAAGGGAGAATGCGGGTGTTCCGGTGCTTTGGTGAGATGCCACGATCGGTCCGGGCCGGACTATCCGTGTTATAGGAGGTGCTGGTACTACATGGCAAAATTTATATATCTACTATGTATAATTTTCTTGATAGCATACAAGATAATTACTGCTAGATTGACAGTGATTTTGATCTTGATGTTGACTTTGGAGTAATTGAAATCAATGAAAAATTATTAAGTTGAATAAGCAAAATAAATAAATCAAAATCAAAATCAAAATCAAAATCCAATTCTTGTGGTTGAATACATGCTGTAATTGAGAGACCTCAAAAAGGAGTCCAAGAATAGATATAAAAAATATAAGTGATTTTTGTTGTTTTATTGGTGTAACTATACAATGTTGAATTTCTTTCCATCTCTGTTTGGTCTGTAAATGTGTGATTTGGAATGGTACTTGAGAAAGGTGTCAAAGGCTTTAACCAATAAATTATCATCATCAAAAAATAAAATAATAAAGAAAAATAAGCTGCAAATTTGAATTACATTACCAAGATACACCAGGCATTTGTACAGTATAATTGTTTGCTGGTTTATTGAAATCATAATTACAGCAAGAATTACAAGATTACTATTATATTTTTATATATATATATATACAAGTCACAGCGAACTATTGTATAGAAATTTATATAAAAAATAAAATAATAATAAAAGAGGTAGGTCGTAGCACTCGGTTTGAGTACCCACTTTTTTATATATTTATATATAGTACTATTTATATATATATATATTTTATTTTTTTATTTATTTTTTACATAGAAGAGAAGGGCCTCGAACGCCCCTTGCTTATTTTCACTTTCACCTTCTTTTTTTTTTATTTTTATTTTTTATTTTTTATTTTCTCCTTTCAATTTCAACGTCTCCTTTTTCGTCTCTCTTTCTCTCCCCTTCTTTTTTTTTTTCTTTTTCTTAATTGTCTCGCACACACTTTACACACACACACACACACACACACACTTTAAACACTTTATACGCTTTATATTTTGGACACTTCTTTATATTACATTAAACTATATTTTGTATATTTTATATATAAAACTATTACTATTATATTCATATTTTGACGTCTCTCCTATTACACCTTTAAAAGATAGAAAACACCTTTATTATACACACGCATATTTTTTTTGAAACATAAAGTTAACAGCAAGCAAGAAGAAAGGGACATCATCAGCAACAATAGTGTATGACTGAGAACAATTTATTCCAATTTGCCCAGGTGATTACAGACATGCCGATGCACCATTCAACATCTCATCAAGAAGACACCCTTATGAGGACTCGCCTCCAGCCTCCTGTGATGCAACTCCACAGTGGACAACCTCGTTTGGCAGTTCGCAAGGTAAAGCACATACACACAAGTGTATATACATAAGGGTGACAAAAGTCGAAGAAAATGAAAGAGTGTGCCTAACGCCACCCTAGAATGCGTGTGTGATCTGCAGCATATGCTTCACTTGCTCCAAAGTAAGTACACACATATGCTTCATCTTTTTTATTATATATATATAAAACATTTTACTTTATTTGAATAGCAATATGTATATATTGCCATCAATTCTAACCATCGTTCTCTATACTTTCTATATATACACTTCTTTGTATCTGTGTTCGTGTTCGTGTTCGTGTTCGTGTGCTTGTGTTTGTGTGTTCGTGTATTTGTGCGTGTAATTTTTTTTCTGGGTCGTTTCTTGCTATTAGTATTACGGGACAGATTGTGAGTGTAATGAGATGCAACCCCGCCGAGGAAAGAACTTGCCAGAAGGAAGTCTTGATTCAAGAGCCAAAAAGCTGAATCCTCAAGACAAGGAAGACCATGATTTTACAATGGGATGGTTGTCCGAGAATGCGCATGCGATATTCCGCAAAGAAGACGGGAGTGTACAGGGTCTTCGTCATCTGTCGGAGGTGTCACTGTGCAAGGCTCACTCGAGCACGCTGTACCGGGCCAAGAAGCGGTTTGAACGCAGCAAGGCCCCGCCCTCACCCGCCGACTCGAATGGAATGGACATAACCGAGGATCACCGCCACCAACAGCAACAGCACAATCATCATCAACAGCAGCAGCAGCAGCAACAACAGCAACAGCAACAGCAACAACAGCCTACCCCTTACTTGGACCCCTATCCATATGCAGTTCACCACCAACATCCATTGGCCGAGGTAGTCAACGGTGGACTTGCTGCCAAAGTTAGAGAAATCTCTTACCAAGACAACCACTACCGTCACGAACCATCGCCTGATTTTTCATCCATGACACCCTCGACCTCTCTCAAGCGCAAGAGACTCAACAAACACATGGATCACAAACTTCACCAGTCGGCCTCTACTCCGCTCTATGCATCCTCGACCGCCTTTCTTTCTCATCACCATCCTCCCTCGCCATCTGTGTCTGTTCAACCATCTGCCAATCCGCGCTCTCCTCATCCTCATTCTCACCCTCCTCCTCTTCCTCCTACTTCCTCTACTTCTTCTCATCATCATAATCAACAACTTCAACAGCAACAACAACAGCAACAGCAACAGCAACAACCTCCTCCACCTCCACCTCCACAATCGTCATCGTCATCACATCATGACAGTTTTTCATCCCAGCTTCCACCTCTTCATTCTCGCTCGCATACTCTTGCTTCTTTACCTCAGCCTCATATATCAATCACTCCTTCTCCCTCAATGCCGTTGTCTCCCCCTCCGGCAGTCGAGACGGTTTCTCTCCGCAGTGTACCTCAGTCAGACTCGTCGCCAATGTATTACATCCGCAACCTCGCAATCACAGACGCCTTTACCTTTCGAGACCTCCTGGCTGAGCTCGACATGACAGGATCCCCTCCCGCAGGAAAACGTATCATTGTCTCCAATGCGAAAAATGACCTTGTCTTTCCTTTGGATCAGGCCATCCGGAGTGTCATTCGTCGTCCAACCACTTCCCATGTTGAACTCTGCCTTGGTTTAGCCGAGAAAACTGCTGTAGACTGGAGTACATATTCATAAAGAAGAAGAAAAATCAAAGAAAACTCTATTTTTCTATATCTCTTTCTATATTTTTTTTTCTTATGTCATCAAACAAGCTTATCCCAGCATTCCCAAAGCATACATCTCATATTATTTCTTTCTATCTCTCTATCTCTGTGTGTCTGTCCTCATTTCACTACTTCTTTACCTCTTTGTTACTTTTTTTTTATTCCCAAGCACAAATAACCATGGTATGACATACCATACCATACCATGCTCTGCTTTGCTTTGCTTTGTTTTGCTTTGCTTTCTTTTATTGTTACTACTACTATTATTATTATTATACAACATGTTCTCAAGTCTTTATTTCTTGCTCTTCTAGTTCTCATCATTGGCCTTGTAAATCACATAAAGATATATATATATATATATATGTTTGTATGTGTATATAAAAGGGAGATAGAGATAGACAGAGAGCAAGAGAAGCAACAACAGCAACAAGAAAATAATACCAATGATCTTTTTCTTATCTTATTTTCATTTCATTTTACTATATTTTTTTTTTTTGTTTTTGTTTTATTTGTTACCAATGCGATTGTGACATAAGCTAAAAGGAAAAGAAAAGAAAAAAAAAAACTCGCTTCCCCCCCCCCCCCCCCAACCTAACCTAAACCAACCTAAACCAACCCAACCCAACCCAATACCAACATCCCCAATCAAAAATAAAAATCAAAATAAAATAAAAATTATAAAATTAAAAAGGATATTCAATTCACGTTTCGATTTTTTAATTTTTTAATTTCTTTTTTAATATGAAATAAAATTAAAGCTTCTTTTGTTCTCCTTTTACATTTTACATTACTTTTTTTTTATATTATATTATATTATGTACTATATAAATATATAAACTTTACCTTATATTATCTTACATTACACTTGTTTCATTCATCGTTATCATTCACCTCCCCTCTCTTTACATAAAATATATATTTTTATACACAAACACTTTATCAGTATAATTACCAACATGGCATTCAACGCATTCAGACGCTTTATCACACCTACAGCTACACCTAACGATACTACCACTACAGAATCTACAGAATCTACAGAATCTACAACTACTTCAAGTCTAGTACCAAATGAACCAAAGATAGAGCCACCTCAGATGACCATATCTGATCCAGAAAGTACATATATACATAACTGTATTTTTTTTTAAAAAAAAATTACAAGTAACTAATCCTTATTAACGATTTACTCAGATGTAATGAGTGATGTTCCCGAATTTCCTTCTCGTGATGGACCTCAACGTTTAGTTGCCGCAGCTACAAAACAACCCAAGAATCGACAGAAAGTTAGACTGGAGCCTGGACATTCACCTCTCGATTGGGCAAGATTAAAGAGTTCAGGCAAAGATCTTCGGGTAAAGTTATAAATATTGGATATTATGTATTAGTTGTCAGTTATTAATTATTATTAAAGGGAGTTTCTCAATTGTCTCGATACACTCTTGATGATATCAAACGGCACAATACTCTTGCAGATGCTTGGACGGCTATTCAAGGCAAGGTCTACAATATCACACCTTATCTCAAGTTCCACCCAGGAGGAGTTAAAGATCTTATGCGTATTGCAGGAAAGGACGGAACCAGACTGTTTAGTAAGTGAAAGTAGAAATGAGAAGATGTATATGTTAAATATTGATATGTTAAATATTAATACTTTAGTGCTCACTCACTCTTGGGTCAATACTGACTTTATGCTGGATGCTTGTATGGTTGGATTCTTGGTACCTGGAAGATCATCAGATGATGACTAAGTAACTCATCTTATGTAATCATATATCTATACATTTAAAACATTTATTCATCTAGACAAACATGTACATTATTATTACTACAACAAACTACTTTTCTTATTCACTTCCTTTTGATTCAATTATTGCACCTGGTCATTATGGCTATTGTCTTTCTTACTGTTCTTCTGACCCTTTATATTTCAAACAAAAGAATAAGAAGAATATAGGATTTAAAGAAAAGTGAATGGATCAGGATTCTATAATTGTGTGTTTGTGTTTCAAATGTGTGCTCCTTGTTCATTATCACTTATACATATTCAAATAATATACACTGACAAAAAATTGATTTATTTTATACGTTTATGCTTCAAACAATGATCATGCCGTTACTACTAGCTACTACTGCTTTTATTCCCATTTCATAACTTGACAGCTAAAAATTAGATATTTTACTAATGAATTCTTTTGTCTTGGTCTATACCCTTGATAATTCATCGTTCATTCCGTATTTTATTATTTGTATAGTTTTGGTTTTTAATTTTATTTTCAGAAATAGCCTATTATACAACATATTTAAAAATACTTTCTGTAGTATGTTTGAGATATATAACTAACAGATTCAATATTTCCAAATCTCAATTCACCGAATCCTTTGAAAAGTTCGCATTCCCAGTAAACCTTTGGGTCATTTCCTTCATACAAATTGGCGCCTTTTAAAGCCGGGCCGGCTTTTTTGGATCGAGAGTTTTGATAGGATTCAAGAGCAATATTGGCTCCGTTCTTTGGAAGTATTTTAGTTATTAGGAGGTATATATCGTCCCTCACACAATACTTGTATGTATAAAGCCAATCGATATTGTGATATGGGTATTTAGGATATTCCGTATCAATCTTCTTTTTATCTGCTAATCGATGGCCGTTTAATTGAGACAGGAGTGTAAGGCAGATATAATCCTTTTTCTTTATATATCGGTTTGATATTTCGTATCGAATTCGGCCAATTTTCAGAGTTCTTAAGAAAGTATGTGACATGTCGAGTAGAAAATATCCGGTAGTTTCCCAAATAAGTTCAGTGACCGACACAATATTCAAAGTCATATGCTGTAGATTCTTACACCTGAAAGATATGTGCTTAAATGTTGAAGCGTTCGCAGAGCATTTTTCTAGAGACAAGATCTGTAGTCCATGTTCTTTCTGCTGTTGTTCTGGCTCCTTGGTTGTCATGTTTAGATTAGTGAACAATTTTCCACCACCAAATTTTAGTTGTTTGAGGGCCACACATTTGTTCAATAGATCCTTTAAATTGAGAGATATATTTCTTCCAATGATGCAAAGGTTCGTCAAAAGAGGACAGTAAAGGGATAGTTTGAGAACCGGATTTTTGGTATGATTGCTATATGTAAACCCTGTAAGCAAAAGGCTCTCGAGTGTTTTAGAAAATGATCGTAAAATTCTGTTGACATTCAATGGATATGAACAGTCTGCTTCTTGATTTCTTGTTGTATTTAGGGCCACATGTCTAAGAGGAGCTCTTAATACACAAAGCAATTCTAGTATAACAAGGTCAGAAAGCGCGAAATGATTGTTGACTGTAAAGCTGAATGTTTTTAGGTGTCGAAATGCATTTGGATTGGATTGAAAAAGAGATATGATTGTTTGCCTCTCGTCCGAATTTGTCGAATTTCCCCATGTATTAGTGGTTGTCAGCTTCAGGGAACGCAAGTTCGGATACTTGTAACCAAAATAAGACAGCCATAGAGGATTCCATTTATTCTGACTTGAACTACTGAATTTTATGCTTTTGTTTTTAAAATTTATATCTAGGGATGTCACCGCAAAAGCTGGCATCGTATCTGAGAAGTTGTCCAGCCTAGACCAGGTGTAAGGACTGAGATATATGCTAGCCTTGATAGATGATAAGTTTCGAATGTTTTGGTGCATGTTTTCAAAGTCGTTCACGCTAAACTCTATGCAACCAAAGTTTCCTTCATCAAGCAATTCTAATCTCTGGACCATGTGGTATGTATTTATAAATCTACATAGGTGTATTGCTGGCCGTGTATCATAAATTCCTCTGTATTGTATTTTCAAGCTTTCAAGAGACTTCCATATTTTTTTTGGTAGGGGTATCTCCACTTCAATATCAATATATGGCTCAACACATAGCTCCAGGGCCTTCAAGTTTGGCAGGTATACGAATAAGTCCGAAAATGCAATGCTGGATATTTCTGTCATATTGTAATAATGCTGTATTTTTAAACTATAGACCAAGAGTGGGAGTGATGTGGATTCGTTTCTGTAAGTTCTAATTTCGTTGATTGTTTCTTGAATTTTGTAATAGGAATAAATCTGCATGTCTCTCAACAGTGCCTTTTGAAACAGATATCTCCATCCCTTGCATGTAAGAGCACAGGTTAGCCTGTCGGTTGTCGATAGCTTATCAGCAATTTGTGCAAGGATTTCGAATGGTAGTTCTGATACTTTCATAGCAATAATTATATAGAAATAAAAAAAAAGATATTAAGAGGTAAAGAAACGAGTATATTGAAATATATAAAAGTCATTAAAATTAAAGTTGACATCTATAAGAAGAAAAGAGGAACAAAAAAAAGCAGAGGTACTGCGGCAAACTGATGATGCAAGTTAACAAATTCGGTTGCATTTGAATCCTTGAGGTAACCATAAATAAATGCAAGGTGCAATCAGCTGTCCATACACAAATAGCATACAATGGAAAAAATATTGCTAGTATATCAGTATAGTCGAAAGAACAGGTTCATATAAGAAATATACCTGATATCAAATAGCTACAGTTAGTTCAATCTATTTCCACAGCTTTTGTTTTCTCTTTTACTTTGATAAAAAGCCTCCTAGTATAACTTGTATTAAGAGTCAAGAACTTGCTCATTTGGCTTTTGGAACAAACTATTATTATTATTATTTTTATTATTATTATTTTAAAAGGAGGGCAAAATGAAAGGGAGACAAACTCGGAGAAGTGAAAAGGGATGAAAAAAGAATAAAAGCCAATTGTTTTTCTAAGCGCGACTATAGATGGACTATTACAATACAAGGTTAATGGTCACTGTGCATATGATGAGTACATAAAGAATTAACAAACGTACGTCGCGACCTAGCAAAATGAAACGTTGAGTCCAATTCAGAGCAATTATTCCTATCATCAAATTGATTACTTGAAAGCTGAAGTTTATATATTTTACTTTTGAGTTTTGGTGTCTTTATTAAGGATTTTGCTCGTTCGCTGTTTATGTCCTTTCTTATTACAATTATAATGAAGTTTAGAGTATATTATTTGTGTAATTTTGTTTTTGTTTTTCAATTTCATTTCCTTTTCAAAAGAGCTTGTTAAAGATCAGTCTTAATATCACCCCAGGCTTGAATCACGCACAACATGAACAGTTTCGACCTTGCCAAATCTCAATTCTCCGCATCCTTCGGAAAGATTGCACTTGTCGCATATAGATTGGTCCGCTTCATCATACAAGCCGAAATCTTCCAAGATTTGATCGGTTTTGTTGGATTGGAAGTCTTGATAGTATTCAAGTGTGATAGTGGCACCTTTATTTGAAAGCTTTGTAGTCGTCAAGTATTTATCCCGATTTCTCTTAATGTACTTGTATACAGAGATCCAATCGATAATGTGGCTTGCTGAAATAGGGTATTCTGAATCATTCTCGTTTCTCTTTCTTTCGTCCTTTTCGTCTGATAGTCAAGGGCCGTTTAATTAGGACAGGAGTGTCAGACCGATATTTGTATCCATAAAAAAGCTATATTCTAGTGTGCTGTATGGAACCTGGCCAATTTCCAGAGTCTTTAAGAAAGTATAGGGCATGTCGACTAACAAAAATCCGGTCTTTTTAGAAATAGATCCTAAAATAGAGAGTTTGTCCAACGTCATATGCTTCAAACTTCTACACCTGGAAGAGATGTAATTAAATACTTCATAGAATATAAAGCGTTTCTTTAACATCAAGATCTGAAGTCCATGCTATTTTTGCTGCTCTTTCTGTTTCTGCTGCTGACGTTGGTTTGACTCATCCTTTGTTGTATCTTGATTAAGGTTCAGGAAATCACCACAAAATTTAAGCTGTTTGAGGGCCACGCGTTTTTCCAGTATATTATCAATATCAAGAGAAACTTCTTTGCCGCTGATGCAAAGGTTCGTCGAAAGTGGATAGTATGAAGGTATCATTAGGCACGAACCGTCTTCCACAGTATCATACTTAAACCTCGTGAGTAAAGGACTCTCGAGTGTTTCAGAAAAGGATCGTAAATTTTTTTAACATCCATCGGGCATCTATCGTCTATAAATTCATATTCTGTTCCATCTAACGCCAAATGTTTAAGAGGGGCTCTTAATGGATAAAGAAGTTCCCATAAAATAAAGTCAGAATGCTCAAAATAGCCGTTAGTCGTAAGTTCGAATGCTTCTAGATGTCGAAATGCGTTTGGAGTGGATTTAACAAGAGATACGAGTTTTTTCTTATCGCACAAATACATCAGGGTATGGTGTGTTTCCGCAACATGCAGCTTTAGATAGCGCAAATTTGGATACTTATGGCAGAAATAGTACAGCCACCAAGGATCCCAGGTATTATGACTAGAAGTTCCGTTTCTGTCTACGTGCCTGTACTCCTTCGAATTTATTTCTACAGATGTCACGGGAAAAGCTGGTATTGTATCTGGGATGGTGTCCATTGGAACCGAAAGATTAGGCGTGAGATATATATTGACCTTGAAAGATGATAGGCTTTGCAAGTTTTGGTGCAATTTGTCAAATTCATTGACACCAAACTTTATGCGAAAAATACATTCATCATGAAGTATTTCTATTTCCTTGAGCATGCTACACGTATTTATGAGCTTAAAGAAGTGCCTTGCTCGCTTCTTATCCTCGGTTCCTTTGTATCGGATCTTCAAAACTTCCAGAGACTTCCATGTTTCTTTTGATTTTTCTATCTCGGTGTTCATATCTCTATAGTCTATGTCTCCTAGGTCAAGTCTCTTTATGTTTGGCAGGTGTCTGAATAGATCATACAAATTTATGTCTGTCATTTCTGTCATATAGCAGTCCTGACGTATGTGTAAGCTGTGAACCAAGAAGGGATATGCTGTAAGTACATTTTGGGAGGCTTTAATACTGTCGATGATTTTTTGCATGCTTTGATAGGTACAGATTTGTATGTTTTTCCACAGAGCCTTTTGAAATGGGTATCTCCATGTCTTGCAAGTAAGAGCACAGGACAGCTGGTCCTCGGTCGATAGACTATTAGAAATGTGTATAAGGATTTCGAATGGTAGTCTTGACACCATTATAACGATACTTATATAAAAGGAAAAGAGGTGAAAAAAGAAAGAGAAAATTGTAACAAACTGATAAAATTTGAGTCCACAAACTTTTCTATTTGAATTATTGAAGTAACCATAGAAATGTACAAGTCGCAGCCAGCCCTCTACACGGAAATATATATATATATATATATATATATATATAAATTAGTGTTAGTAGAGAAGTTCGTGGAAGAACTTTTTTTCAAAGTGAATTTTCATTTTTTAAAACAAACCCAGCGATTCAAATAAAAAGCTAATGCAACCATACGAAAATAATTTTTGAAAAAAGTTTTTGAATTTGACAGATTCTCAACCAATAATATTATATTATTCTATTCTTTAATCTAAACTGACGCTGTAAAAATGGGGAGAATATAGAAATGTAAAGTTTCGAATGTAAAGTCTACAATGATACAAACAAAGCCTCTCTATACGTTCTTATTAACATTTATCAACCTATATAAAGAAAGAGACTGACTAAACTAGCAGATTTAAGCATCTAGTCCAGTACAGTAAAGTTATCTACTCATCATATTGATAACTTGACATTTTATTTTTAAGGTTTTGTATCTTGGACTATGGTCTAACTCCTCCATCGTTTTTGTTTTCTTATTACATTCAGAATTAAACTTACAGTTGGTGTGGACAGACTAAAAGTTCAAAAAAAAGGTTAATTTTTGAACTTTTCATCTGTTCACACCAAGTATATTATCTATTTTTTACTTCACTTTATTTTCTACTTTATTCTCTTCTGAAAAGAGCCTATTATACAACCTTTTGCCTATCATTCTTAATCGTTTGATGTACATAAAACAGGAGCAGTTTCAATCCTGCCAAATCTCAATTCGCCGTATCCTTTGTAAAGTTCGTATTTCCAACCGACCTCTGGGTTCTCTCTGCCACACGAGCTGCCATCTTTTGGATTTTGGCCAATCTTGTTGGACTGAAAGTTTTTATAGTATTCAAGTGCGATATTGGTTTCTTCCTTTGAGAGTTTTTTAGTTTCTTGGCCGTATATCCCAGGATACGTATAGTACTCATAGCTGTACAGCCAATCGATATGGTGAAATTCTACAATAGAGTACTTTGCATCCATCTCATTTTTTTCTTTTTCGATTCTTTCTTCTGACGATGAGGCATCGTTTAATTGAGAGAGGAGTGTCAGGCTGATATCATCTTCATTTATTTCTTCGTATGATGTTCCATATTTAACCTGGCCGATATGCAAAGTCTTTAAGAAAGTATGTTTCATGTCGAGTAGCAAGCATCCGGTCTTTTCAGAAATAAATCCCGTAACGCAAAAATTGTCCAAAGTCATATGCTTCAAACTTTTACACCTGAAAGAGATGTGATCAAACAATTCAGCGGCTGCAGAGGATTTCTCTAATGTCAAAGTCTGTAGTCCATGGTGTTGCTGATGTTGGTGCTTTAACTCCTCCGTTATGGTGTTTGGATTAATGAACAATTTTCCACCACAAAATTTCAGTTGTTCCAGGGCCACATATTTGTCCAAAAGATCATCAAGATTAAGAGACACATTGCTACCACTGATGCAGAGATTTGTTAAAAGTGGGTAGTCATCGGATAGTTCTAGTGTTGTAATTTGGGCACTATAGCTATATGTAAACCCTGTAAGCGAAAGACTCTCGAGTGTTTGAGAAAACGATTGAAAAATTCTGTTAACATCAATCGGGTGTGAATAGTCTACTCCATCATTTTGTGTTGCATTTAACGCTAGATGCTTAAGAGGAGCTCTTAATGGACAAAGAAATTCCCATAAAACAAAATCAGAAGACTCGAAAAATCTGTTCGTCGTGAGATCAAATGTTTCCAGGTGTTGGAATGCGTTTGGATTGGATTGAAGACGAGATATGATTGTTTGCCGCTGGTCTGAAGTCATAGGATCACCACTAATGTCGGTGACTTCTAGCTTCAGAGAACGCAAATTCGGATACTTGTATCCAAAATAGTACAGCCACAAAGGATTCCATTCATTCCAATTTCTATTGCCAGTTTGGGTCTTGTTTTCGTATTGCTTTGAATTTATATCTATGGATGTCACTGTAAAAGCCGGTATTGTGTTTGGGATTCTGTCCAATGGAACCGAAAAGTTAATCTCAAGACATATTCCAGCCTTGATAGCCGATAAGTGTCGCAAGTTTTGGTGCAAGTTATCAAAGTCCTCCACGCCAAGCTCTATACGATAACCCCATCCATGCTCGTATATTCTTAATTCTTGGAGCATACTACACGCATTTATAAGTCTCAGGAATCTTTTTTCTGGCTGTTCTTCACTAGTTCCTTGGTATTGTATTTTCAAGCTTTCCAGAGACTTCCATATTTTGTCTGCTTCTGTTATATCGGTATAAAGCCATTTATAGCTTATAGTCCCCAGGTCTAGGTGCTTCAAGTTTGGAAGATATCGGTATAGGTCAGAACAATTTATATCTGGTATTTCTGGTATATGGCAATAGAGGTGTATGCGTAGACTGCGAACTAAGAGGGGGTATGATATAGATGAATTTTGATAGGCTTTAATACTTCTTATAAACGGTCTCATGCCGTAATAGGAATTAATTAGCACGTCTCTCCACAGAGCCTTTTGAAATGGATATCTCCATCCCTTGCATGTAAGAGCACAGGTCAGCCTGTCGGTTGTCGATAGTTTATCAGCAATTTGTGTAAGAATTTCGAATGGTAGTTCTGATACTTTCATAACAATAATTATATAGAAAGAAAAAAAGAGATTAAGAGGTAAAGAAACGAATATATTGAAATATATAAATGCCAATAAAATTAAATTTGACATCTATAAGAAGAAAAAAGAAGTATTGTGACACATTGATCTTGTGAACTGCAATTATGGTTAAATATGAATAATTTAGGTAACCATAAAGGTGTACAAGGCGCAGCCAAAACTCCTCGTACAAATAAAGAAAAGGTTTTAGTATACAATTGTTGTCGAAAGAGCATTTTAATATATAAATTCACTTGATATTAAGTAATTATAGTCAGTTCAAGCAGTTATTGAAGTTTTTATTTCTCGCTTTGATAAATGCATAGCACTATGTATCATATGAGAAGTCAACACCTTGTTCATTTGGATTTCGTAACACACAATATGTTTTAAGGGAGGACAAAAAATAGGAAGACAAACTCAGGGAAGAGGAAATGAATAACAGACAGCCGAAAGCAATTAGTTTTCCGAGTGCAACTTCAGACGTCTTTTTTACAATAGAAGGCTAATGGGCATAGAACATTTGAAGAGTACATAAGAAAATCTAACGAATAAATATCGTGAATTAATTGTTTTAAACACCCTGTTCAAGACAAACCAGCCATACAAAGTTACCAATTCCACACACAGTATAATCCAGGGCAAACGAATTATGTAAAAAAAAAACTCCTGTATCAACGATGCTAAAATGAAGTTATTATAGATGTGTTGATAATGTCATCAAATATCGATCATGAATCAGATCTATAATCTAGCTATATAAGCACTGTGTATACAACATCCTTTCATTAACTGCAACTTATTTCAATGAATATGGTAACAATGTCTTTTATCTTTGGTTGTGCCTTTATTTTCAAACAAATTCTTTCAATTGAAAAGAAAATAATTGACTTTTGACTCTAAAGTTTGGTGAAAACCATTCATAGTACCAGTTAATTTTAATGTTTCTTACGAAATATGGACAAAAAAAGTAAAGAACAAAAGGATTTGTTTCTTTAGCATATCATGACAACCACGCCAGTTCATTCGATTTCTAGTTTCCTTGTACCGCTGAAAAAAATCCATGGTGTTTTTAAATCTCTCTTCATCTTGGCTAACCAGCTGAGTATTTTCTGGCTCCTCCTCATCAATGTTCGCATCGTCAGCTGATCGTTTTACTTGCTTTAACTTTGATATTCCAAGTAGAGCTTCATTTTGAATACAGGGGTAATCATATTGTAAACGTTCCGCTATATCTAGGATTTACTGGTAATGTCTAATTCCCACATCACAAGCACAGTTGATAGCATTAAGTAATTGTTGCTCTCGATCAATATTTTCTCGTAAGACTTCTGTTGCAATTGAAAATAATTGTCTTATCAAGTTTTGCGATGATTAATGTAGTGTAGTGATCCAAATAATCAATTGAATAAATATAACTTCCTCCAGATCTCAAAGGAACCAAACGTCTTTAGAAATGAGACAAGGGTAAATTTTAAGCAAGAGTGAAAAGGATGTCTTTATTTGAACTGTGTTTGACTTTTTTTAAATAGGGGAACCTTATGGACAGCCTGGATAGCCTGAACAGTGTGTACCCTAAGTTTAGGGGGACGGTATTTCTTGGTGAGAGGCGACATTTTTATTCTACCAGACTACAAATTGTGGCATTTTTGCCGGCACAGAATAGGTCTATCTGGTTCTTAAGAATACATAATATTCGTATAAAGACTTTTTGTGTTTTTCAAAAAAAAAGAGGCGGGTGGGGGTTACTTACCAGCTGGTGCTGTCGAGCTCTGGGAATATTTAGGTGAAAGAAAGACAAAGACATTATACGCGTAAGCAGGTCAATAAATAGTATGATACAGGATTTCCACTCCAAAAGTTATATTTTTTTTCAAACTATATATTTTGCAAAATCAAAACTTTCATTTTGTGCTCCGACTATATATGAAAAAAATAAATTAATTAATGCGGATAGAAAGAAATTTAAAGCAAATTAATAAAGAGCATGAAGAATGCTAATATGTGCGATAAAGTATTTAAAGAATGTCTACACTGTTTATTAAAAACAATATAAGAAAACATGCAATATCAATATATTGTTATAAGAAAAGTATATAATGCTAAGTTTGTAATATGGTTTTGAGAACTGTCTTTATCTATTATCTTTTTCTATACTCAAATCCTCCAACATGAACCCCAATCAAATCGCTATCGTTAAGAGAAGAAAGAGAAATGGACCACAAAAGGTTCTTCCGATCCACATCAAGAACATGATTGTGGAGAAATGTTATATAGAAGAGTCCATGACCCGAGCCGAAGCAGCCAGGGCATTTGGTGTCTCATAGGTATCGATTAACAACATCCTCACCAAGTTCGAGAGGGATGCTACTGTAGAGCCCAAGAAGCGAGGCGGCTCGCGCGCGGAAAGTCTTAAGATAACCGATGAGCATTCGAAGTTCATTCAAGACCTCTTGGACGAATGCTGCACCTTGACTCTTGGTCAAATGAGAGAGGAACTGTTTAGAAAATTTCCAGAGCTTCAAGAGCAGAACTTGAGCATCAGTGGCTTACATAAGCACATTATCAACAACATCGGGTTCACATTGAAGAGAATCAAGCCGGTCGAGGAAAAAAGAAACGACCCGAAGACTATTGAGCTGAGAAAAGTATACGTAGACAGTATGCACACGAATGGTTTATCGTATAAAACCAATTGCATTTTTGTGGACGAAGCAGGCTTTAATGCAAACCTGATCAGAGGACAAGGGTGGTCCAAGAAAGGCGAGACCAGCATTGTGAAGACGAAGTCGAAAAGGGGACTAAACATCTCAATTCTTGCCGGTATTTCTTACCAAGGTGTTGAGAGTGTGCAGGCGAAGTTAACCCCTGGTGGCACGACAGGACCAATTTTCGTTGAATTTGTAAAGACGATTATGGATTCGCTCGACCACAGTAATGCTGCCCCTCACAACTTCATTATGGATAATGCCTCGATCCATAGATCCCATCTTGTCACTGAATTGTTTGCTAATTCACGACACCACCTACACTTTCTCCCCCCATACTCTCCTTTCCTAAACCCGATTGAAGAGTGCTTCTCCAAACTCAAAACACTGGTCAAGAGAAAGCCCGGGTTGGTATGTGGTCAATTCTTGGAGTATATTGCTGAGTGCTCCCGCCATATCGCTATGGAAAACTGCCAAGGCTGGGTTGATCATAGCATTAGCTTCTTCCCCCAATGTACAAATAGCCAAGAAATAAATTGATTTTTTTTTTATATATAGTCGGAGCACAAAATGAAAGTTTTGATTTTGCAAAATATATAGTTTGAAAAAAAATATAACTTTTGGAGTGGAAATCCTGTATCTTAGAATATATGTCTGGGACTTTGTTAGAAGAATCCGGCGCCAGCATCAAATCATTGACTGACCCTCCAAAAATTGAATTAAGTGAACCGTGCAAGGATATTTTGAATCTTATTTCCAAATCTTCTGCTTCAGCAACATGCATAAAGTCTCAAATAAGGTCTTTTATTGGAACTAATAATTCTCTGGATGAATCTGAATATGCTGACTATTACTTTGCGGAATCTACACTTCATCATTTGTAAGTATCTATATATTATAATAAAAAAGAAAGGCATTGTCATTATTTTGATAGTTAATTAGTTAATTAGCTAATTAACCTAATATCTCTATCTAAATAGCTTGCAAATGATGACCAGCCCAAGAAACCCAATTCTATTCCCAATGAAAGAGAGGACAGCTGCTCCAATTACAACAATATACCTGTTACATGCAATGTTCTTAAGCTGTAATGACCTAGTATCTTTCCATTGGTAAATAAATTAGTTTGAAACAAATGAAAAGGTTGTCTTCTAAACACATATTAGGATTGAGCGGACAGCTGATATAACAGGAGCTGCAAAGTGGGATGGAATATGCTTTTCAATCAAAGATAAGCGCCTCACGCCCGTTTTGATTGAATTTTCTGGAGGGATTCACTTTAATAGTACCACAGAAAAAGAGCAAAGAGATGAAAGCAAAATGATACGAAATATGGTCAAGCTCTTGGAATATGCCAAATATGTCAAAAAGCACAAGTCCCCTGTCCCGCAGTTCTACTGTCGTTTCTTCAGTAAGTTGATTGTGAACATACATACATACATACATATATATATATATGTATGGACATTCAAACCACAGCTAATATTTCTTTTAGACAACCAGATTTTCTTTGAAGCCATATTTTTAGTTGATGAAGAAACTAGACTTGTAAAAAGAACTTTTTGCAAGATTCCCTGTCCGGTAACCCCACGCGAGCTAAAGATCTTTGCTGAAAACATTCCTGCTATGTTAAAATGGAAGCAGGCAATAATAAACTATGTGATCGAATCACAAAAGTGAAGAATAAAAACCATAGAATTAAAGAAATAAAAGTGCTTATGTTCTTTTACTTTTACTGACTACCAACAACCGAGTCATTATTACTTTTTTTTTGTTTATTGTTTCAATATGTGTTCAAATGATCTTGCTTAAGTATAGAAATCACTGGAAAAATAAAAAAAATACTATAGCTTTAAGTAACAAGAAAGGTAGTGGAAATGTCAGGGTTTTTTTTCAGCTCAGCCGTTTTTTTTTATTTAAGTTGGGGGTGTATTTTCGACGTATTCTATTGGTTTAGATAGACAATAAAAAATTCATATTTTTTTGGCTTGCTATAAAATCACATCAAATAAAGTATTTGTAGTACTTGTTTCCTTTTTTATTTTATAATTCAAGCTATACACAATATGTTTCCCTCTACCCAAATCCACACCTTAGACTGTCACTGCATTAAATGTCACAACAGTCATCAGAAATCTTCTTATGCTGCAAAGCGTACTGAGACTCGTCGTAATAAGAGAGCTAGAGTTGAAGGTACCAGAATATTTGAGAATAGTATAATATATTCAGTGTTGGTTTTTTGTTTGCTGCGTAATAATCGTTTTAATTTTTTATTTTTTATTTTTTATTTATGTTGTTTATTTTTAAACTTTTAATGAAACACAGCCGCAATGAGAAACATGGATGTAGATACTGAGGGTAAGAATTTTTTTATTTGAAAGCAGAAAAAAAAAAAAACTATTATATTCCATATTTGTAGTAATCCCGACCTCTCGTTCCGATTCTGTGGAAGCAATGGACGGTCAGGCCAACTCACCTTTTTTGGATGCCGCCTCAATGTTTGACAATGACAGAGACGACAATGATTTCGATGACAATGTTGAAGATGAAGTCAATGAGATCGAGATCGAGGACTTCAACAGTGAAGGTCAGTGTGAGATACATAAAGAAAACTAAAAGAAAAAGAGAGTAAAAGAAAAATCAAGTGTTAATTTTTTTTTAATTTTTTACAGACCCTTTTGCTGCTCCTGATATGCCCAAAAATGAAGTCCATCAATTCATAGCCATCTTTACGGTACTGTTTGCTTCACGTCATGTTGTTGATAAGGGTGCTGCTGTCTTGATTGAGTTTATCAACAACCTGCTGAGAATCTACGACCAAGATTTTCAATTACCAACCAGTCTTGCCGGTTTACAAAAAATGACAGGATTTTCTGCTATTACAAAAGGCATCAAGAAATTTGTGGTGTGCCAAGACTGTCATACAGTATATCAGGATATCGTATCTGCTCCTCCTCGATGTGTTTCCTCAAAACTTGGTGCCAGGTCTGCATGCAACTGTAATTTGATGAAATCCATATCTTCCGGTGCCTTGGTTGCAAAGCGTGAATATGTCTACCAATCCATTAAAAATACATTGAGCGTTTTCTTCCGTTGCCCTAGTTTCGAAGCCAAGATTCGTCAATGGAATAAGGAGTTGAAGATGGTAGATACTCTGTGCGATGTCTATGATGGTGCGATGTGGAAGGAGTTGAAGGACAAGGATGGTGTATCATTTGTGTTGGACCCACGCTCACTAATGTTAACACTTAACATCGACTGGTTCCAGCCCTTTGATGGTGTCACTCACTCCTCTGGTGCTATCTATCTGGCCATCAACAACTTGCCCCGTGATGAAAGATTCAAGCCAGAGAATATTATCCTTGTAGGTCTCATGCCTGGTCCAAAGGAGCCAAAAACCGACGAGATCAATAGTTACTTGGAGCCCTTGGTGGATGATTTGAAGCAGCTGTACGTTGGCATGCGGATTCCTACACACGAATTCCCAAATGGTGTCAGTGTTCGTGCTGCACTACTGATGGTTGCATGTGATATCCCAGCCGCCAGAAAGACAAGTGGATTCACAGCGCATAACAGCACATGTGCTTGTTACAGGTGCAGCTGGAAGTTTACTCGGTTAGGGAGCAGCAACCAGGTTGATTTCCGTGGATTCAATTATTCTCATTGGAATATCCGCAGTGGTGCAGAGAGCAGGTTGCATGCTGAGGAGTGGAAGGATGCAAGTACACTCTCAGAAAGGCATCAGCTGGAGGTTGAAAATGGTGTTCGATGGTCGCAGTTGCAACGCCTTGGATACTTTGATCTAGTACGTGGAACGATCATTGATCCCATGCATAATCTTTTCCTGGGGACGTCTAAGAGATTAATGGATTAGTGGATTGATGAGAAGACAATTGGACCTGAAGAGTTTGCTTCGATGAAGAAAATTGCAGAGACAATGGTACTGCCCAGAGATTACATCACACTGACAACCAAAATTGGAAAGGGCTTCAGCTACATGAAAGCAGACGAGTGGAAATCATGGGTTCTGGTTTATTCTTCTGTCTTGTTGCATGGTATTCTCCCCCATTACAATTCAAGAACTGGATGTATTTCGTTGATGCATGCCAATACTACATAAAGCCCAGCATTACTTTTGATGAGATCACCACTACCCACAGCCTGTTAGAAAAGTTTTGCAATGCATGCAACATAGACTATACCGCCACTATTCTCACCTGCAATATGCATCTACACCTCCATCTTCACGAATGCATTTGTGATTTTGGACTAGTGTATGGTTATTGGCTCTTTGGGTTTGAGCAATACAATGGTATTTTAAAGAATTTCAAGATAAATGGCAAAGACGGTTTTGAGGCGACCTACATGAAAAATTTTGTTCAGAATGCATATAAGGATGATTATATCAATGCTGTTCTTAAAAGTTCTAGCCAGATCCCCTTCATTCACACTCTGTCTAAACTTGTTACAACCTCCATACCAGCTGCCACAGTCACTACTCTCTCCAGTTGCCCATTCAGATTGCAAGAATTCGTTCAAGGCTACACTGATTCTTATAATCCACCCAAGGGTAATGAGCCTCTTCCTCCTTTTACATTTCCTCTAAAATACAAAAAGCCATCAGTAATGGATGATTCCGACTATCTCCATTTACTTGAATATTACTAAGTCGCTTACAGCCTCCCAGACCTTGCCAGCTATCAGGACACGTCCTATAATTGCTCAGCACTTGACAATCAAATCATCAAATTGAAGTCAATTGACATTCTTGGTCAACACTATTGAGGAACAAACAACAGCACAATCAGTTGCGGATCACTTGTTCAGGCAAAGTTTGTTGGTAGTAATGGAAACATTATACTTGGATTTGCTGGACAAATTCAGTATCTTTTTACACACTCCTTCCAACTTCCACCCACGCACAATCTCCATCTGACTCGCATGGTTCATGATCATCAACAAGTATTTGCATTTATCAAGTGGTTTCATACTTCCTCTGATAGGTTGCGTGAGGATGACAGTGTTGAATTTTGTCTGCCCACGTTCTCTCCTGATAGCTACCATAGCATTATATCTGTATATCACATCTTATTAGAGGTTGCTACAGCTACTATTGCGACAAGTAGAAATGTTAGCAAAATGCTGGTAATTCCATTGCCAAAGAAGCTATATGCTTAAATAATAAATAAAGTGAACTTTTACATTTCTTTTTCTTTAACAAAAAAAACAGAGCGCGTATTTCTGATATATATATTGATAGTATTTTGTATGTGAAAAGTAATATATAGATAAAAAGAGAGAGGCAATTTTTGTTTATTTAATACCCGTCTCTAAGGGCCCACTGAGGAAATTTGGGGGTTATGTCATCTGGGACTGCTGTATTGGACACACTGGTGAAAACCCTCTCCTTCATTTGAGAAGCACTTGACCCCATTGCTTCAATAACATACTCATCAACGAGTTTAATGAGAGTATTGAACTAAAATGATTTTGTTAATACTTCACTTTATATTTTTTATAATAAGACATAATTATTAATATAAAATAATATACCTCGTCACTTCTCCATCCTGGCCGAACAATCTTGACGATGCTCTTCGTGCGATTCTCGAAGTCTTCATCTGCAGATTCTCCATCGGACATTGCTGCCATTTGCATCGTGAGGTCACAATCTCTCTTCATTTGTAGATCAATTGCTTCTTTGTTGTCTGTGTATGCAAGTAAACGGCGAGTATGATTCTAATAGTAGTTTTTTTGTAGTAGTATTTTTAAAATTCTCAAGACTAAACTATATTATTTTGAAATTATTTATTTAGAGATTACACTTACATCTCTGGCACGTCCTGCCCTTCTCGAATGAGTGTTTGTTGCTTTTATTTCCTCTTCGGTTTTTCTTGCTTTTGAAACCCGGCTGGTGAAGTTTTTGTGCAGTCTTGCTCTCAAGTCTGCCTCTCTAAATCCCTCATGGGTAAACTTGCGCTTCAAGTTTTCAAGAAGTCGCACCACCAACTCCTTGTTTGGCGACTTGTAAAAGAAAACATTTGTATTCCATCTGGGCTTACTCTCATTTGCCAGGATATCAGCTTGATTTCTTGTTTTCAGCTTGGGATCCCACATGAGATTACGAATATGGGTCTGATAGAATATATGAGAAAATACATCAATAAAATTTTGCACACGTTGATACTCACATAAACATCATTAGAGGCCTTCTTGCTAAACTCAGACGGGGCGTTGAAGGCAGGCTGAGAAACATTAGCCATTGTATTGGTAGGGGAAACGAGGGGGGCCCTGCTTAAACTGTCAATAGCAGTGATTGTCTCAGTGCTGCTGGTGGCAAGAACACCAATTCTGCTATTCATGTTTAGCAATGTATCTTCAACAGTGCCGATTTGTTCTTGTACAATTGACATGTCAGCTGCCATGTTGGTTCCCATGGCTGTCATAAGTTTTCAAAGTAGAAAGAATTTCCATCAATTGTTTGTTTGTAATCTCAACAGGACGAAGAGCAAGTTGACGTCTTTGAATAGCCATTGTCTACAGAATATAATAAAAGGTAAAAATGTAACTGTTAATTTTAGATTACATTGTTATTGATGCTATTATACAATTGAATTGAATTGAATTAAAAATAAATTATATCAAATTTACATACTTAAATTATTTGAAATAAAATGGGTTGATGTGTGTGTGTTTGAGTATGAGTGCAATAAGTAGCAAGAAAGCAGGAGAAAGAGTAAACAAATTGTATAAAACGTATGGTTTATATAGATATTCAGCATATCTTTAATATATAAGTCTCTATTAATACTTCTTGTAATCACTGAGATGCAAATCGGCTTTCATACTGCTTTAGAACCCAATTGATCAAACCAGTCTAGTCTTTTGTTTCAAACGCACTTTTCTTTTTTCTTTTTTTTTCTTTTTTTGTTGTTGTTCCTGTTTCTCTTTTTTTTTGCTCTTTATATTTGCTATTGGTCTTTTCTTTGTTTCTCTATCTCTGCAACTTCTATTATATTTGCGAACTATTTGTGTAAGACATGTTCTTTCTAAAAAGTCTTCTTTATAGAAAATAAAAGAATTTATTTATTCTGTTGCCATAGACACACTCTTCATCGCTGTCTCCACCCATTTTTTTATTTTTTTATTAGTCTTTTTTTTTAATCTGCTTTTTTAAAGTACTTTTTTTATATAACTAAAAAGAATTAGTTGTTTCAGTTGCCATAGACACTCGCCCTCTCTTTTCTTTTTACTTCTTTCTTTCTCTTTTACTCTTATACTTGCAAATGTTCCTGGTAAGGCGCTTTTTTTCTTTATTTTTCTTTATTAGTAATTTCTTCAAATATAGCTGAGTAATAACAAGTGTTTCTGCTACCATAGTCACTCGCGTATAGTTTCCTTCTGATGCATCCTCTTCACAATGGCCATCCGGATTAGCCAAGGTTAGTAAATATACTTCATACCATCATCTCATAAAAGTATCCTGATTTTTTCCTTTCTTTTTTATAGGACATATCACCCAAAATATTTTCTACAGCTAAACACGACCACCAACACGGTAATATTTTTATCTATTTATTTATTATATTTCTCTTTAATATTAATCAAACTGAATCCAATTTTTACTATAGATGAACAACCCTCTCTAAAACATGCTATGAATCAAAAGCTTCTATCTCATGCTGCTGTCATTGACATGGTAAGACTTTTTTTGTTCTTTTACTATCCTTATATGTATCATTATATTACTTATACTGTTTATTAATAAAAAAAACTACCAGATACTATATCGACTTTTGATAAGTATTATCTATATCTACAAATAAATCCGTTTGCTTTGGGTATGTAAATTAATAATTATATCGCCCAATTCACAAAAATTACTTTTTTCCAATCATTTTCATAGTCAAAGGAATCAAAATTCCGTAGCTTTACTTGTAATATTTTATTGTTTGGTCTTTGTACTGGATAATTCCAATATAAGTATTAATGGTTTATAAGAATTGAAATATCCAACACACACACACACCCATTACTAACGATTTATCTATTCTCAAAGAGTACTGCTCGTACCCCAAAAAAAAACGTATTGAGCAGCTCATTTTTTTTTAGGTATTTCTTTTTTGTAGAAAATTTTTCATCCCAAATATAACAAACTGACCGAGCAAGAAGTAGCTAGAGATATAGAATAGTATTATTAGATCTGAAACCTAGAAACATTCTATTCTTTCTAATAAAAATAAAAGCGTAAACCATTACCAGCCTAATAAGAATGGGAAACCAAATAAATAAAGAACATATTACTGGTCCATAATTTTAAAGACGCCTTTTTTTGCTGCTGATGACCAAACTTCTTAACAATAAACTAGCTTAAAGGTCACCTTTACGCTACTTTTAATCTTCATAATATGTCGGTGCCTGACCTTTATGGTTCCATATAAAGAATATCAAAATAGATACGCAGTTTTAAAAAACTTTCTTTTTATATATCAAGTCAGATAAGTATATCTAAAGTGCTAACAAACCTTACCTGCGGCACCCCCCACCCACAATTCCGCTAGTTGACTCTAGTCATTTCACTATCTGTGAAGGTCACCTTCAGCACAAGTGGAAAAAAAAATCAACTAATTTAAATATGGAAATTACACTACACTATACCCCATATTTAAACTATCTTATTTTTCTAATTTTTCCAGTGAATATTTTTCTTTTAATCTTTTGATTGCATTTTCTTCCACAGCCAAGGCTCCTCTGGCAGCTTATTCAAGTTTTACTGATACTAGAGTTTCGTTTGATTTTATATTCTAATTAATAAGAGCAATGGTTACATATACATATGCTTCTTGTTGTTCAGTTGGCTTACAGTTGAGAATCCTAAACATGTCGTGATGATTGATTGTTTTTACGCGTAAAAACAATCAATCATCAGAAGAATAATAATGTACATTGGTACCAATTAGTAAAAGTCAATTAATTGAACAATGCCTATTAGGTACACATTACCTTTATCAAAGTACAGACTACAGAAGACTCCCTGCATTCATATAAAGAAGTTTCACTCTTTATATGCAACGTTCGCATCCGGATGCCTTTTACAATGAAGCAAAAGGCCAGAGCCCAGAGCGTTAGCAGGGGGGACAATGTACCTTTTTGTTACTACATGTTGAAGTAATAACTAAGTGCACATCGTTGTCTTCTACATCAAACTCCCTGCATTCATATAAAGAAGTTTCATTCTTTATATGCAACGTTCGCATCCGGATGCCTTTTACAATGAAGCAAAAGGCCAGAGCCCAGAGCGTTAGCAGGGGGGACAATGTACCTTTTTGTTATTACATGTTGAAGTAATAACTAAGTGCACATCGTTGTTTGATGGTGTAGTCTAAAGGAACGCCATAATGGTGATAAGGGAATAACCATTACATATATTCGTTGTGACCGCAACGTCATCAAAACAGGCCCGGTCCGGCACAACGATGTCTGAGCTGGCACTTTTTTTTTGCAGTTCGAAATAATTATTGTAGAAAATCACAGGATTTAATACTCTGGGTGCGTAACAAAGTTGCGTATGGACAACTTCTTTGTTTTCTTATAGACAATTGGTATATGTGCTGTGTTTTTTAATACGCTTATATTCCCATAGAGGAAATTATGGCTAAAGTCCATACCGCGTATTAAGCTCCTCCGAGTCGGCTAGTACTCCTTTTCGGCGGAGTTATTTATTTTTACAAACTTTTGAAAGAAAAAAAACATATCGGTGTAGGCACAGGTCTATATCAAAAAAGGCGTTCTATATTCCGAGATCACCTCTTCACATTTTACCCTTTGAATACTAAAGAAAAATCTAAAAAGTCACGTGCCTAACTTGTTTACATTTTTGTTAGTAAGACTGTGACGGAGGTCACTCTTGAGTTCATAAATCAGTACCTTATTTGGACGCCCCTTTATAATCACTCAAAATCCAATTTCAATAAACTCAGTCTTCTTCCTGATACAGGATTTCCACTCCAAAAGTTATATTTTTTTTTCAAACTATATATTTTGCAAAATCAAAACTTTCATTTTGTGCTCCGACTATATATGAAAAAAATAAATTAATTAATGCGGATAGAAAGAAATTTAAAGCAAATTAATAAAGAGCATGAAGAATGCTAATATATGCGATAAAATATTTAAAGAATGTCTACACTGTTTATTAAAAACAATATAAGAAAACATGCAATATCAATATATTGTTATAAGAAAAGTATATAATGCTAAGTTTGTAATATGGTTTTGAGAACTGTCTTTATCTATTATCTTTTTCTATACTCAAATCCTCCAACATGAACCCCAATCAAATCGCTATCGTTAAGAGAAGAAAGAGAAATGGACCACAAAAGGTTCTTCCGATCCACATCAAGAACATGATTGTGGAGAAATGTTATATAGAAGAGTCCATGACCCGAGCCGAAGCAGCCAGGGCATTTGGTGTCTCATAGGTATCGATTAACAACATCCTCACCAAGTTCGAGAGGGATGCTACTGTAGAGCCCAAGAAGCGAGGCGGCTCGCGCGCGGAAAGTCTTAAGATAACCGATGAGCATTCGAAGTTCATTCAAGACCTCTTGGACGAATGCTGCACCTTGACTCTTGGTCAAATGAGAGAGGAACTGTTTAGAAAATTTCCAGAGCTTCAAGAGCAGAACTTGAGCATCAGTGGCTTACATAAGCACATTATCAACAACATCGGGTTCACATTGAAGAGAATCAAGCCGGTCGAGGAAAAAAGAAACGACCCGAAGACTATTGAGCTGAGAAAAGTATACGTAGACAGTATGCACACGAATGGTTTATCGTATAAAACCAATTGCATTTTTGTGGACGAAGCAGGCTTTAATGCAAACCTGATCAGAGGACAAGGGTGGTCCAAGAAAGGCGAGACCAGCATTGTGAAGACGAAGTCGAAAAGGGGACTAAACATCTCAATTCTTGCCGGTATTTCTTACCAAGGTGTTGAGAGTGTGCAGGCGAAGTTAACCCCTGGTGGCACGACAGGACCAATTTTCGTTGAATTTGTAAAGACGATTATGGATTCGCTCGACCACAGTAATGCTGCCCCTCACAACTTCATTATGGATAATGCCTCGATCCATAGATCCCATCTTGTCACTGAATTGTTTGCTAATTCACGACACCACCTACACTTTCTCCCCCCATACTCTCCTTTCCTAAACCCGATTGAAGAGTGCTTCTCCAAACTCAAAACACTGGTCAAGAGAAAGCCCGGGTTGGTATGTGGTCAATTCTTGGAGTATATTGCTGAGTGCTCCCGCCATATCGCTATGGAAAACTGCCAAGGCTGGGTTGATCATAGCATTAGCTTCTTCCCCCAATGTACAAATAGCCAAGAAATAAATTGATTTTTTTTTTATATATAGTCGGAGCACAAAATGAAAGTTTTGATTTTGCAAAATATATAGTTTGAAAAAAAATATAACTTTTGGAGTGGAAATCCTGTATCAAACAAGATTGCGTCACAATCTAATGACAGCAACTCCTAATAGTCCTTTGCATAACTGGCTACCGATATAGTGTATTTGCTATTAATTATTATTTCTTTGTTGTCAAGTCTATATTTAGGGTTACTAATTGAATATACAGAATTTGTTTTTCGTATGAGGCAGCATCTTATTATTAAGTTGCTCAAATACAGGCTGTGGCTCTTAACATAATGAAATTTGGGTGCCTGGCGAGATATTAATGAATACAAAGTGTAGGGACAAAGTAGAAAAGTTAATACGTACAATGAATATATTGTATTTCTTTGAGGACACACCATTTTACCCTGAAGGATTCGAGAAAGACGCCGGTCTCCGGACAAGTAGTCAGAATTGATTAGTCCGGTTAGATAGAAATATCGTACCCCACCAGAAAACGTGGTTACCGTAAGCTTGCTGCAAAGTCTGACCCCGACCCAAAAAATGTGTATAGCCATTAAACTCCTCATTATGAGTGATATCGCACACTTTCAGGCTGTTCTTCCAGGCTGTCCCGCCAGACTGTCCGTAAGATTCCCCGACAAAAAATTGATTTATTTTATACGTTTATGCTTCAAACAATGATCATGATGTTACTACTAGCCATTACTGTTTTTATTCCCATTTCATAACTTGACAGCTAAAAATTAGATATTTCACTAATGAATTATTTTGTCTTGGTCTATACTCTTGATAATTCATCGTTCATTTCGTATCTTATTACAATCATAATAAAAACTCATATTTTATTATTTGTACAAGTGTATTTTTACTTCACTTTATCTTCTTTTGAGAGAGAGAAGCTAGTATACAGTATATTCTCCAAAACAAACTATAGCTTGGTATTTATATAATCTCAACACCTTTAATGTTGCCAAATACAAATTTGCCGTATCCTCTGTCAAGTTCGTGTATCCAACCTTGTTCATCTCTCTCTTCATTATAGAACATATAATCTTTTGAAGTTGTGCTGCTTGCGCTCGCACGAAAATCTCGGTAATATTCATCTATAAATTCGATTTCTTCTTCATCATAAACTTGTGCAGTGTCGCGGCCAAGTACCGTCCAAAACTCGCGAACATCGTACGTGTAGAGCCATTCACGATTGTGAGATTCTGCGACTTTTTTCTTTGAATTTACTTTATTTTTCTTTCTTCCGGTCTTTTTGTCTGGTAATGGAGCTTCGTTTAATTGAGTCAGGAGTGTAAGATTGATAGCATCTTCTCCATCCATTTCTTGGTATGATGTGGCGTATTGAATCCTGGCAATTTGTAGGATCTTCAAGAAAGTATGTGGCATCTCAATTAACAAACATCCAGTTTTATCAGAAATAGATCCCGTGATATTCAAAGTATCGAAAGTAATACGCTTCAAACTTCTACACCTGAAAGATATGTGGCTAAATATTCTGGAAGCTGTGTAGCACTTCTCTAACGACAAAGTAATTAACCCATGCTGCCGATGCTTTGACTTCCTGGTTACAGTGCTAGATCCAATGAGCAAGTTTCCGCCACAATATTGCAGTGTTTTGAGAGCCACACACATGTCCAATAGATCATCCAGATTAAGAGATACGTTGCCGCCATTGATTGAAAGGTTCGTCAAAACCGGATAGTAAGAAGATAGTTTGATTATCGAATTTTGGCCATCACTGCTATATATAAACCCTGAAAGCGAAAGACTCTCGAGTGTTTCGGAAAAGGCCTGTAAAATTCTGTCAACATTCATTGGGCTTGAACGGTCTACTTTGCCATTGGATGTTGCATGTATCGATAATTTTTTAAGAGGAACCTTTACTGAACAAAGCAATTCCCATAAAACAAGATCAGAAGACTCAAAATATCTGTCTGTTGTAATACTGAACTTTTCCAGGTGTCGAAATGCATTTGGATTGGATCGAAAAAGAGATATCATTGTTTGCCTTTGGTCCGAGTTTATCTTGTCCCCACGTATGTCCAAGGCTTGTATATTTAGGGAACGCAAGTTTGGATATTTGTATCCAAAGTAGTATAGCCACAAAGGGTTCCAGTCATTTCGGCTTTCATTGAACTCATCGCATTCATCTTCGTATTGTTTCGAATCTAAATCCAGGGATGTCACGGAAAGGGCTGGTGTCGTATTTGGGATCGCGTCAAGCATAGCCGAAAAGTCGGAACTTAGATATATTCCAGCATTAATAGACGATAGGTTTTTCAGGTGTTGGTGCATTCTGTCAAAGTCGTTCACACTAAACTCCGCGCGATAAAGCCATCCTCCATCATATATTTCCAATTTCCGGAGCATGCTACATGCATTTATAAGTTCGAAGAGGGGTTTTGCTGGCTTCTTCTCGCTGGTTCCTTTGTAATTTATTTTCAAATTTTCCAGAAACTTCCATATTTTGTCTGATCTTGCTATCCCTGTGCCAATATCCTCATAGCTTATATTCCCTAGGTTCAGGCTCTTTATGTTTGGCAGGAATTTGAATAGGCCAGAAAATTTTATATCTGATATATCTGTCGCCTTGTAATAGCAGCTTATTCGTAGACTGTGAACCCAGGAGCCGTATGATGTGTATAAGTTTTGGGGAGATTTCACAATGTTGATAAGTGTTTTTACGTCGGCATGGGAGTAAAATCGTATGTTTTTCCACATAGCTTTTTGAAACGGATATCTCCATGTTTTGCACGTAAGAGCACAAGACAGCTTGTCATCTTTCGATAGATGATCAGAAATTCTCGTAAGAATTTCGAATGGTAGTTCTGTTACACCCATAATAATAGTTATAAAAAGAGAGAAGGAGAGAAAGAGGTGAAAATCAAATATATTAAATATATATATGAATGTCAATCAAATTACAATTGGCAGCCAAAAAAAACCCCCCCAATTGCGACACTGATATTTTGAGTTACAAATTTGAGTATATTCGGATCATTGAGGTAATCATTAAAACGTACAAGGCGCAGTCAGCTTTTCACACGCAAATAACTTAATTTCAAAATAATATCACTGGTATACAAGGATTGTCGAAAGAGCATTTTCATGTATAAATATACTATAGCAAATACTTATATTCAGTTCAAGTTCTTGTTTTAGACTTTATATTTGACTTTCATAAAAACATTACACTGTCAATATAGAACAAACTAGCACCTTCGTCATTTGGCTTTTGTAACACATTGCCCTTTTTTTTTAAAGAAAGAACCAAAAAAAAAAAGACCGCCAATGAAAAAAGAGAAATGAACGGTGGGCAACCGAAAGAAATTCGTTCTCTGAGCGCTACTACGGGTGTATTTCTATAATGGAAGATTAAGAGTCACGGAATATATTAGAACACAACAAAAAGAGGTAGCTAGCTGTATGCTCCTAGCAACCGAGTATCATACTTGGGCCATTGTATTCGACGGCACTCTGTTCCTGTGTATGTTTCTTCTTGACTCTATCACTCTTCTTGTCACTCGTTTTTAAGCAGAGCTCTCTTGACCCCCTTTCAACCCGAGCGCACCCCCATCATATCAATGTAACTGAGAATGTCAAAAACAGGATTGTGATACGTTAGATTTCATCCACCGGTGTTTCATGTATCGCTTATCGTATTGAACTTAGAAGTAATAATGTCTCCGTAAAAATGATCCGCACTAGTCAAATAACCTTTGTTTTCTTTAATAAGTTTTTTAATAATGGACAAAGGGGTAGTATCAAAGACTTCACGAGCAATGAATCAGTGGTGGTCAGGGTCAAGAGCAAAAAAGCAGATAGTGGTCTGAAAATGCGTGTGCATAGGGAAGTGAAAGTTACACCAAGATGTAGTTGGTAAAGTGTCTCAAAGGGCTTCGTTGATATTCTTCACGCGGATGGCTGGTGCGTTGAGGGAGTCAGTCCTCAGGTTTCTGTTCGGGGTTTTCAGCTAAAGTCTTGACAACGTGTCGCTCTTATTTCTCTCTTCTCGCTCAGGGATATCTCAAAATGCCCTCTTACAACAAAACAAAGGAAAAGAGCTCATTTTATTAAAATGGCCATAGACTCTGTTCCTTATCCTACTTCCTGTAGGTGTTACAACAAATTTAGTGATTAGGACAAACATCATGCCTCTTCCTATGGATAGACTGCTTAGGTCCGAATCGAAAAAATAGTCTCATTATTTTACAGATTGTCTTTCTACCCCTAATCATTTTCTGTCACTGAGTTGGACCTTTATACTACAAAGCCAACCCACCGTGTGTCAGTTGAGATTTCTTTTTCATTTTAGAATTGTATAACTCAATAGAAACTTTGGAGGCCTAGCTTCATTACAAAAAAAAGTCAAAGAAGAGTTAGCGAATTTACATCTTGAACTATCAGATTTAAATATTCAGTCCAAGAAAAGGCATAATATTATTATTATCATGTTGATAATTTGACAGCTGGAAATCAGATATTGTACTATTGACTTCTGCATCTTGGTTTATCACTTTACTCATCCAACGTTTATCTCTTGTCTTATTATGCTCATAATGAAAACTTACAGTATAATGTTGTGTAGTTTTGGTATTTAATTTATTTTCAAAAAGCTTTATTATACACAATATTTTCTAAAACTCGCCACGACTTAAATCACGTATAACAGGAACAGACTCAATATTTCCAAATCTAAATTCACTGTATCCTCTGTAAGGTTGATATCTCCAGCCATTCTCTGGGTCCTCTTCCGTATGTGCGCTGTATTCTTCTGAAGTTTTTCTGGCTTTGTTCAACTGAAAGTTTTGATAGTATTCGAATGCTATATTAGCTTCTTCCTTTGAAAGTCTTGTAGGCGTTTTGGCATAATCCCCAAAATACCCAAAGTGTCCATGTGAAAAGATCCAATCAATATTGTGCCTTTCTGCTAATGGGCATTTTGAATCCGACCCATTTTTCTTTCTTTCGTTATTTTCGTCTGACAATGGAGCGTCCTTTAATTGAGACAGGAGTGTCAAACCGACATTGAAATTCTGTGTGCCTTCTAGGTCTTGCCCACCGCTGATAACATTACCAATGTGCAGAGTCTTTAAGAAAGTATGTGACATGTCGACTAACAAACATCCAGTTTTTTCACAAATAGATCCTTTGACTCACACAATACTCAAAGTCAGATGCTTCAAGCTTCTACACCTGAAAGAGATGCGATTAAGTGTTTCAGCGGATGTAAAGCATGACCCTAACGTCAAAATTTCCAGTCCATGCTGTTCCAGGTCCGGATTCTCGGTTGTTGTGTATGGATCAAGGTACAAATCTTCACCACATAATTTCAGTTGCTTGAGGGCCACACATTTTTCCAGCAGGTTATCCAGATCGAGTAATACACTCTCGCCACTGATGCAAAGATTCGTCAAAAACGGGTAGTAATAGGAAAATTCCAGAATCGTATCTTCGTTGAAAGCGTTATACATAAACCCTGTAAGTAAAAGACTTTCGAGTTTTTCAGAAAAAGACTGTAGAATCCTGTTGACATCCATTGGGTATGAATCGTCTATTTCGTTCCATATTGCTGCATTTAATGTCAAGTGCTTAAGAGAAACTTTCAATCTACAAAGCACTTCCCATAAAATAAGGTCAAAAGACTCGAAATATCGGTCAGTTGTCAAGCTGAACGTTTCCAGATGTTGAAACGCCTTGGGGTTGGATCGAAAAAGAGATCTGGTTGTTTCCCTCTTGCCTGGGATTATCGGGATCTCCACTATATTGGTAGCATTTAGCTTTAAGGAACGCAGGTTTGGATACTTGTATCCAAAATAGTACATCCACAAAGGATTCCAGTAATTCATATTTCCGTTTATATAATAAGTTTTGTTTTCAAATAGTTTCGAATTTATATCGAGGGATGTCACGGAAAGGGCTGGTGTCGTATTTGGGATTGCGTCAAGCATAGCCGAAAAGTCAAAACTGAGATGTATTATAGCCTTGATAGACGATAGGTTTTGCAAGCTTTGGTGCATGTTGTCAAAGTCGTCGATACCAAACTCTACACGACATAGGGATCCATCATTAAGTATCTCTAATTCCTGGAGCATGTGGCATGCATTTATAAATCCAAGTAGGTTTTTTTCTGGCTGTATCCTACGAGTTCCTCTGTACTGTATCTTCAAACTTTTCAGAGACTTCCATATTTTGTCTGATCTTGTTATCTCTGGTTCAATATCTTGATAGCTTATATCTCCTAGGTCCAGGCTCTTTATGTTTGGCAGGAATCTGAATAGATCAGAAAATTTTATATCTAATATTTCTGTCGCATTGTAAGAACAGCTTATTCGTAGACTGTGAATCAAGGGGCCGTATAATGCGGGTACGTTTTGGGACGTTTTAATAATGCTGATAATTGTTTTGATGTCATCATAGGAACATACTCGTAAGTTTTTCCACAGAGTCCTTTGAAACGGATACGTCCATCTCTTGCACGTTAGAGCACAAGAACGACTGTCATTTATCGATATGTTATCAGCAATTTTAGTAAGAATCTCGAATGGCAATTCTGACATTCCCATGATGAGAATTGTATAAAAAGAGAAAGCGGGAAAGAGGTGGAATATACGAGGGAGGTTTGTGCAATTTTGTTTTACTATTCTTTTTTCTAATTTACTAATATAGACAGATGTTTTACCAGTTTTCTAAAGTTTCATTTCTATACTTAGGTTCAAGCCATGGTCGGGAAATATAATTAAGCTAAACTAACGATCATTGATTCATATTAATTCTAAAATAAATAGCTTGATAATATTTGGTCAAAAAATTGGCATGAACTGTGTTGGTAATTCTAGAGCTTATAATATAGTGCGCAATAGATATTTTTATAGAACTAAGCTTAAAAATGACATAGAAGAAGTTATGTTAATATAGTCTTTACGTCTTTAAAAGTACATTTTAAACGTATTTTATTTCCACATCTTCCTTTGGATATATCGTTAGCTTAAAAATTTAAAATAACAGAAAATGATTGGGTAAAAGCGCTTTGGAAAAAATTCACTTTTTACAAAAAAGATGGAAGTGTGGGACAAGCTATTCTTTTTTAGGCGGGCAATTCCCTTTAATTTTATAACAAAGTTTGCACAAACCTCCCTACTACTCAGAAAAGTGTAAAATGTAATAATATGGGGTTTCAACAGTCCTTTAAGCTTTTAAACTTAAGCCTTGAGTTCTAAAGCAGTAACCAATAATACGTAAGAGTTACTAAGTGTTTTTGAGTACCCTAAATGCTTCTTTCAGTTCTATTAGGCATTGTGATAATAGGATATAAGCTTAAAGTAGTATTGAAAGGGACAAAGATATTTGCATCAAGGATTTATTAAACTTCCAAAAAAAAACCAAATTTAAGCAAGGATGTATTAAAAGTTTAAAACTCTTGAACGATTTTGTTCGATAGTTTTAATCTTTTTTTTTTCAATTATTATAGATTCATTCCAGCCAATCATTTCTCAAATGTAAACTCAAAAGTTTAAGTTTAAAAGCTTGAATGACTGTTGAAATCCCCTAATAATTACACTTTCCTTGAAGGTCGCTAATAAACAATAAGCAAAAAAAAACAATAAATGACTCGTTTAATATAGCAAAGAAAAGGCAAGAGCATATACTATTATTGAATACAATAGAACAAAGGAAAGGATGTAGTAAAAAAAACCCAATTTTTCTTTAAAAAAAAAGTGGCACCTGTGCCTCTAATCGCACTACACAGACTCATATCTGCCACTTTTTTTAGCCCTAGTGATATATATAAAGAATCTAATATGTAGTTTATTTGGGACTAGAAATCAAGAAATCTGACTGTGATATCTCTGGCACAAGCATATACCAGACATTGAGTCCAGTGTTGTGAAGGTGGGATCCAAAAGCCAATATAGGTTCATGCTCCCGCATAATATGACCAGCTATATTAGAATTTTCGCAATTTCTCATATCTAACGTTGAATAGCTGATATAAATGAACTCTCTGTAAATTGAAATTATCATAATGGAGCTGGCCCTTCTTGGTAACTTTCTTTTTAAAAAGAATAAAGAAAAAAGTCTTGCTTAGACGTGGAAATGGTTTGAATATTTTTTATTTAAAAATAGGAATGTATTTTCTTGTTCATCGTCATCATCATCAATAATAACAATAATATTCTTTAGGATTTCGAGTGCTAGAAGTATTATATATCAGCAATCTTACGGGGACGACATTTTCAGGATGGGGCACTACCTTTTTTTTGCCGGACTAATTCGTTGTGACTACTTGTCCGAGGTCCGAGGTATTTTCTCCAATCCTTCAGGGCAAAACGATGTGTCCTGAAATTCAACTCAATATTTAAATAGAAAACCTTCTTTTCTATTCTATACTCATCTCGTAAGAGCTACTAATCAATTGCACTTAAAAATATTATTTTTTCTCGGAGATAGTAAAGAGATTACTTTGCTCATTGCAGATTAGCAATTAGAAATCATGATGTTAATAAGTATTCTCTAGAAATCACTTCAATATGAATCCTATCAATAAAGAAATCCGCTTTTTCAATGGAAAGGAACATTATCCTGTCCAACAACCTCTTCCTGTCTCACCAGTTAATGGTTACAGTGACATGACAATGGCAATTTCAAAGATGCAGGAATATGCACTTGCCAACAATTTTGCACTTGTAACTAGAGATAGTAAACCAACTCGAGTGTATTTGAAGTGTGCCAAGGGCGGTCATTATAAGAACACACGGAATATTGAAGACAGCGAACGCAAGAGAATTCCGTCTAGTGGAAAGACTGGATGCCCCTATCTCTTGAAAATATCATACAAGAAGGCCGCTAAAGGATATCTTCTTTTGAAAGCCACCAATGAGATTGAAGGCTACCACAATCACCCTCTTGATGATGACTGCCTGGAATCTACCTTGAAAGGTCGTTTGTCAAAGGTTACTGTCGATGATGCTAGGGAAATTATGAAGCTTGTTGAGACCAAAACCAAGACTCGTGAGATCCAAAAGGCGATCAATGAAGAGGATAATGTCAGCCATAAGTTGCATGTGAATGACATCAACAATATCAAGGCTGCTTTTGCTCGTGCTACTGCTTCCACTTCTCAGGATGCAGGTACTGAACTCGTTAAAACCATGGAAGCTAAGGGATATCTTGTACGCTATGACGCCGGCAAATATGGATCTCTTGAAAGAGTATTTTTCTCGCACCCAAAGATGCTAGAAAGAACCCGTCGCTTCCCAGAAGTCATGGCCGTCGATGCCACCTACTCAACCAATAATTTGGAAATGCCTCTTGTATGCGTGGAAGGTGTCCATAACCTCGGGGGAGACACTCTTAAATCGTTTCCCATTGCCTTCGCCTGGGTTTCGAATGCGAAACAGGAGACCTACGTTTGGTTCCTTGAGCAGCTCAAGGCACTTGTTTTTGAGAATAAGAAAAGCAGTTCTCTATTTGTAACAGACAAATGTATGGCCTTAATGAATGCACTTGACATTGTATTCCCAAAAAATGTTAAATTGCTATGCTACTGGCATATGTTGAATAGCGTTGAGAAAGCCTTCGCTGGAAAACTCAAGTCAGTTGCAGAGAAAGAGGTCCTTATGGAGTATGTGAACTCCATGATTCGCAGCAGTACCAGAAGGGATTTCGAGGTTGCGTTGATGAAGTTCAATGCAGTATCTTCTGGTTGCGAAGTAGACGAAGGAGGGTCCAAGGTAGATGCATCGGTTTACTTTGCCGAAAGATGGATAAAGTGCCAGGAGAAGTGGGCAGGATACCTGACCAGCCAGCAAATGCATTTTGGGTGTACAACTACCCAGAGAGTCGAGAGCGCACACCAAGCTTTGAAAAGAGGGATATCAGCAATTTCGTCTTTGGGGCTTGCATTTGAAGCTATCAACTCCTATGTAGACAGGCTCGAAAGAGACTTCAATGCTATAAAAATCAGGGAATCGACAACTGTTGATGTCTTGGTTGGCCGCAACAAGCAGCTTTCCAGGCTTTTTATGAAAGTCTCTAAGAGAGCATTGCTTGTTATTGATCAAGAACTTCGCTTGATCAATAGAGACGATGAATTTTGTCATTGCAAAAACAGGTTTGAGTTCGGCTTGCCCTGCAGACACTCGCTGCCAGCTGGAAGGGAGCTCACCCTTGATGATGTTCCTGAAAGATGGATCATAAACCCTGTTCTAAAAGAGACATCTTTCGAAGAAAGTTGTACAGCGCACGTAATTGCCGAGAGGCCAGAAGAGTGGATGCAAGAGATTGTAAAGCTTGAGGCTCTTTTCCGCTCTTGTGAGGGCAGCCAGCAAGTGGCCAACCTCCTTCAAAAGATCAAGAAGGTTACTTCTGAATTCGAAGGCAAAACTGGGCACCCTTCGATTAACTTTCAAGCCTCAGAAAAAAATAAATATCCTGGCAGAAGAAAGGGTGGTGCACGTCCCAAATACCTTCCCAAAGACTTTGGTCGGGCAAACTGGAGGAAGATCAGTGTTTCGTCTGGTCATGTAAGATAAAAAAAATATAACATAACAAAGTACTAATATGTATCTTGAAATACTAGGCCGGCCTTAAGGCAATGGTTAGGTTAAGAGCTAGAACAAGAGATGGAAAGCCTGCAGCTACACAAAAAACGAAAAACAACAAAAAACAAAACAAAAGCAAAAAAGAGCCTCTCGACCTAAGTAAGATGCTTTTTTATTTTACATATAATTGAGTTTATGAAAAAGAATCTTGTCATATATTTACATACATTTTTTAGTCGATGCTACCAAAAACAAAATAAAACAAATTAAAAAAGAGCCTCTCGACCCAGGTAATATGTGCTTTTATTTTATAGTGTAATTGAATTCATGAAAAGGAATCTAACCTTATACTAATATGCTTTTTAGTCGATACCACCAAAAACAAAACAAAAAAAATAAAACAAGAGCCTCTCGACCCAGGTAATATTCTTTCTCATTTTTCAGTGTAATTGAATCCATAAAGAGAAATATCGTTGTATACTTATATGCTCTTTAGTCGATGCCACAAAAGAAATAGGGTTTAAAAGACCCGCTACAGCTCAAGAAGATTACCAATATGACTATCGCACCTCTGTTGGCAAGAGGGTTAAATTCCAGCCCGGTTTTCCTGTCTCTCATGAGATAGTCGATGACGTTAAGGGTGGGTTTAACCCTACTGCTGATGGATGGTGTGGTTTTCGGGTCCTTGCCCATTTGATCTATAAAGATCAAGAAAAGTTCCCTCTTGTGAAAAGAGATATGCTTGCTACCCTTCCAAAATACAACAGCATTTACGCCAGCACGTTTGGAACCGATGTCAAGCAATTAGAAGACATTATAAAGCATGGTTCTGATCTCTGCATCACCAACTCCAACTCCAACTCCAACTTCATCCCAGCGTGTTTAGATGCCAGTATGTGGTTTAGCACATCCGACTGTGCTCAACTAGCTGCGGACACCTATAAGCGACCAGTCTGCGTCTACTCAGACAACCCCAACACCCCTTCCGTATCGTTCCTTCCCTTCACCCTTCCCAAAAACATATCAAAACATCAAGAACCTCTGATTTTCAATCATGTTAACAATAACCACTGGACAACAGTACACCTCTCCTGCAATGTCTCAAGGAAATGGCCAACCATTCCTGAGTTATTCTTTTTGGGTTGTGTCAGAAACCAGATTCCCGACAACTTTGATACTTACTGGAACAAGTTTAAAGAGTTCAATAAGTATGATCGTAGAAATGCGATGTTCTCTTTTCTTTCCGATCAAGAGGAACATGTTGATCTCACTATAACATAATCTTTTTTTCTTCTTTTTTTCTTTTATTTTTATTATATTTTTCTTTATACTTCATTAGCTAGACAACTTATTATTTATATACTCATTTACTCTTATATTTTATTAGCTAGACGATCTTTTTTTTTACCTTTATAAATCTTATCAATTTGTTTCTTTGCGTCAACATAAGCTATCTATCACTTGGGTTAAATTACTCTCCGCTCTGTTTTTTCATAGAAATCATTCGTGGGAAGTACTTTACCCTACGAGTTACACATATATCCAGCGAATTAAAAAGCATAAATGTCGGGTGGTGTTACACAGATAGAGCCAAACTATCTTCGAATATGTTATATTATGCATTTGCATCTATTTATTTCATCAATTCAAGACTTGGCTCTCTATAACTTTGGATCCAAGTAGTGTATAGATATATGTATGGGTTCTAGGATTTTTAGTTGAATTGAAAGGGTCGATCATGAGAAAACTAACGTAATATCTCAAAAATTTGCTTTTTTTCAATAAAATAAAATATTGTATTTGCTTGTAGAATCATTTTTTTCTCATTTGTTTTCTATGAAACTTTTACTGGATTCATATGTTATCTGAATATATGTAATTAAAAACTTTTTTTGGTCTTATATGAATATTTTTCATTTTTTTGTATTTTTGATAAAATATCTCATGTACATGTTGTAAGGAAATGATAGAAAGAGTTTTTACAGAATAAATAAAAACATGGATTTTATAAATATATATTCGCTTAACTTCTATGCAAACTTTCTTAGGCATAAAAGGCTTCATTACCTTTATATCCATTATGAAAGTTTTTGAAAAAAATGCAAATTATATGGATTATAATCTTTTCCACTTAAATCACACAAAATGAAAACATACGATTTATGTCTCAAGTTAAATCGTGAAAATATGACTCATTAGCAGCCACAGGTATGTGATTTGTTGACGGGAGCCAAATAAATCTTATATCTTACAAATACTCGATTTTAGTTACCATTTTTGTATAATAAGTTGATTCTATTTTTGCTTCTTTGCCTTATAATATTATATCATAATTATAGTAAGAAGTAAACTTATTAGTGTTTAACTATTAATTATGACTCTAAGTAGCTGTCACTTTATCTAATATATATATTTTTTAATGTAAACTACATTTATTCTACAATTATTAGATATACTTTTTAATATATGCAAAATTAATTAATACTATATGTATTCTCAGACATTTTTGCGACTTTGTTTTTCTTTTCTGAAGAAGATTTAGCAGTTTTTATTAGTGTTTATCTTAAATAAGTATTAACAAAAGGTAATGTTTATTACATTAAAGGATATTATAAGCCTAATAAAGTATTTAGTAAAGAAATTTCAAATTTTATAAGGTATTTTTTCGATAGGCAAGATATGAAAAGTCGTGACTTTTGGGGGACGACGTTTCCAGGGTAGGGCACGACATTTTCTATTAGGATATAATGTCTTGAAGTAACATGTTAGATAGTTTTTTATTATTCTATATATATATCAGTTAATTTATTACATATAGTATAAAACTTTAAGTATAGAATTATATATATAAAACAACGCTTTTATATTTAGTCAAAGCTATTTTTTTATATGAGAAGATTTTTTATTATCATTTTGCCCAAAGACAGGTCGTGCCTCCTAAAGAAGGAGAGGTATATGCCTGGAGACAGTTTGATGAATGCACAAAGTTTGGGGGCAATTTAGTGAGCTAATACGCATGAGTGGAGAAGGAAAAGACATAATTAAATAGAGGAAAGAAGCGTAGAAAAAGCTATTATCCTGCCTTGTATAAAAGTATCTTTATTATGATAAGTATGAATCCTTAGGGACCAGATATAATTATTTGATACCGGACAGCAAGTCACAATTTGTGGTCCGGTAAAATCAAAACAACGTTTCCCATCAAAAAGGTAGTGCCCCATCCTGAAAATGTCGTCCCCCTAATATTAGCGATTATATATATTGGCAAGAATATTATCTTTTCTTCCTCCTTCATTGATCTATAGTTTGGTCTCCTATGAATATATTCAACTCTTTGTCTTTTGGAGTTTTGTGTTTAAAAGTTGTAGTCAATCCAAATCAGTTCTTTATGCTGTTGTTGCTTTATGCTTTATTTTAATAAGAGAGTTGGGTAAGTTTGAAAGAAAGTGAAATATATTTCTAACCAATACTCTTCTAAATATGTAATACAAATTTGCACATGAAGTTCTGGGTCTGTCTGATCATCAAGTATGTAAAGTTGTATACTTGATTCTTTACTGCCTACACAAATATCTTGAAGCGTTTATACGACTTCAGTTGTCCCAAAACCATTGAAAATTTTAAGAAAAGAAAAATATAAAAAAAGGGGGAGAGAGAGAAGAACAAATATATATATAATGTCACGTGCGAAGCATAAACTAACAGTGGAAGCGGTTGACGTAATCAATTGTCCACGTATAGCTCCGCCTGCGGGCATAGAGATTGAGCATACGTTGGCAATAAAAGAAAAGAAGAAGAAAAAAAGTCAATCGCTTGTTACTTTACTAATTACAAAGAAAATGACAACCTTGGAAGATAAAGAATTGTGGGCCGGAGATGAAGATGACATTGGACAAGAAATTACTCGGCTATCGCCAGAAGAGATCATCAACCGAACGCGCTTACTACAGAATGACATCAAGGTAGGATGCGAAACATGAACAAAGCTTCCATCGGAGGAACGCGTCTGGCAAGTAAAATTCAAAAGACTTATCGTGTGTGAATCAGGTGATGAGATCAGAAGCTCTTCGGCTTCAGCATGAGCAGGTCGGCATGAAGGAAAGAATCAAAGAAAACAAGGAAAAGATCAAGTTGAACAAGCAATTGCCATATCTGGTAGCCAATGTAGTCGAGGTAAGAATAACAGGCTTATAGAGGATAAGTGGGTATATAAACACTTGTTGTGGGTCTATGCTTTTCCATCTTTCTTTTTCTGCTTATGGTGGGAAATGGAAATTAAAATGGAAACGGATTTGGAACGAGTGAAAGGCTGTAAAGCTAATATTATCGGTTTGACATGTAGCTTTTGGATGCCGATCCTGAAGAAGAAGAAGAAGAAGATGGTGCCAATGTTGATTTGGACTCTCAGAGAAAGGGAAAGTGCGCAGTTATTAAGACATCCACTCGTCAGGTACTATACTATATAAATTTATTCTTTACATTAAACAGACAGACAAAAAGAAAGGGATGTGATTAAGGGACAAATGAGAGGATTCTAAAACGCTGTGTAGACCATTTTCTTGCCTCTCATTGGCCTCGTAGATCCCGAAGAATTGAAGCCTGGAGACATTATTGGTGTGAACAAAGATAGTTTTTTGATTTTGGACACATTACCAGCTGAGTAAGGACTTAACCAAAAAAAAGAAAGAAAGAAAGCAAGGGTAATCCGTCATTATCTTACGGTAAAAACAAAAATATGTTATTAGATATGATTCTCGGGTAAAGGCTATGGAGGTTGACGAAAAGCCCACCGAAGATTACAACGATATTGGTGGTTTGGATAAACAGATTGAGGAACTAGTAGAGGCTGTTGTTCTGCCAATGACACACGCAGATCGTTTCAAGAACATCGGTATCAAACCTCCTAAGGGTGTTTTGATGTACGGTCCTCCTGGTACCGGAAAGACCTTACTTGCCAGAGCATGTGCAGCACAGACCAATTCTACTTACCTCAAGCTGGCTGGCCCTCAGCTTGTACAGATGTTTATTGGTGATGGTGCTAAGCTCGTGCGTGATGCATTTGAACTTGCAAAAGAAAAGGCACCTGCGATTATTTTTATTGATGAATTGGATGCTATCGGTACAAAGCGTTTCGATTCCGAAAAGTCTGGTGATCGTGAAGTACAGCGTACTATGTTGGAGCTCCTGAACCAATTGGATGGCTTCTCATCCGACGAACGTATCAAGGTTATTGCAGCCACTAACCGTATTGATATTCTTGATCCTGCTCTGCTTCGATCTGGTCGTCTGGATCGTAAAATCGAATTCCCTCTGCCAAATGAAGAAGGAAGAGCACGTATTATCCAGATCCACTCCAGAAAGATGAATGTCAGCAAAGATGTTAACTTTGAAGAACTCTCGAGATGCTGTGACGAGTTCAATGGAGCTCAATGCAAGGCTGTCTGTGTAGAAAGTAAGTGTATAACCGATACAAATACAAATATACATACATGTGTATGGGTACACAAAATCGGGTGGTGTGAGTAGTCTAATCTAATATGCTTTCTTTCTCTCTCTCCTTTAGGTGGTATGCTTGCTCTGAGACGTGGTGCTGTAGAGATTACACATGAGGACTTTATGGATGCTATCCAGGAAGTCCAGGCTAAGAAGAAGATGACATTACAATACTACGCTTAAATAAATACTATTCCTTTTCTGTCTGCTACGGCAGAGACATATATGCCGTTTATATCAAGTGAGCACGGCAAGAATTGGCTGTATAGCTTACATCTCCCAGGTTTTCTTTACCAGTAGTATCCCTCGATTTCCTCGTGTAAGATCTCCCGCTTTGTTCCCTCTTTTTCACCAACATAAAGTTGTACAATCGGGGACCCATCAAATTCGAGAGAAAAAAAATCCCCTCACATTAAGTCCCCGCTTCTTATATACTAGATGAATATATAGAATATATATAGAATATATATATATAAAAAGGTTATTTATTTGACGAATTATCTGTCAAGTTGTCTTTCTTACCATTAAAGGCGTATGAATTACAAAGACGAGCCCTTGGACCCAAAGCAAGAACAATATTCTCTTTTATGCTTCTTTACTTTCTTTCTATTGTTTATTTATTTGTTTATTTATTTATTTATTTATTAAATCATTGAAATATTAATAGTTTTCTTCTTATATAGTCTCTTGAGTCCAATAGCGGACCCCAAACTACACCGACAGTTACCTCATCCTTTGGTAATCAATGAATCTCCCAGAGCTGAAAGCAATGCCAGCATAAACACCATTAGCCAAGAAGAAGACGAAGTCAAGATCGCAATAGATCCAGCAGATCCATCCACATTAGATATCACGAATGCCGACATTGAGCACCCAGACACCCACACACGAATCAGACCAAGAGATCATGTCACATTTCCACTCCAACTCGAACAAATGTTCGATCCACCCATGCCACCTTCAACTGGCAACGAATCCGTCCAAGACGAAGAAGGAAGCCCGAAATCAAGAAAAGAACGCATAATTAGATACATTCACCAGAAATTCCCTAGTCGTGTTGTTCGTCGAGTTCTTAAATGCACAATCGCCTACTTCCTTTCGACCTTCTTCAGTCTCATTCGCCCGGTTGCTCACGCGCTTGGCCCGGCTGCGTTTCTCACAACGGTGGGCATGCTTTTCAGCCATCCCGGTCGAAGTATGGGTGCTCAATTCGATGCTACCATCACAGCAGTGCTCGGTGTTGGAGTGGCATTACTTTATGCCTTTGCAGCCTTGGGATCTTCATCTGCTTATAATAAACGCCACCCTGACACTTACATTGATGATCCTGTTGGAATGGCATTCAATGCACTGTTTCTGTTTGTAGGGGTCTTTGCTGCCCAGATGTTACGTCAGATCTATCCAAAACTGTATTTTTTTTCATTGAAGTTTATGATGGTCCAGATGTTCAGTTTGACAGCTGGAACAAAATACATAAATCTCCCTTACAATATTCCATTAAATTACGGTATTCCCATGGCAATTGGAGCAGGACTCTCACTTGTTGTCAACCTAATCATATGGCCCGAAACTGCCGTTGATGGATTAGGCAAGTAACACCACATTACAACAAAACCCAGGATAAAGTTTATTGATAAAGGCGCTACATTATATAATTATTATCTATGTGTGTGTTTGTGTGTGTGTGTGTGTATTTTTTTATTTGTCTTTTTGTGCATATTTTTTCCTTTTTTGTTTTTTGTTTTGTTTTCTTTAGGGCGTGCGCTTAAAGAAACTATCACTGGAAGTAGAGAGATGTTACATATGATCACAAAGCAGTTCTTTTTGGATCCAGAAGCGGAGATGGTGTCGTCTGAAATAGTTGATGCGGCTGCTGCAAAGATGCGAGTGGGAATGACTAAGGTCAAGACAGCGTATCGTGAAGCCAAATACGAGATCTCGTACTCCTATATTCGGCCCCAAGAATTGGTTGGGATCCGAAGATCTATGGACTCGCTCACCAAGCATCTAAATATTCTCGGAAGTTGTCTCAAAAGCGAACGCCAGTTATTCGAAACTGCGTTAGAGAATCTGGATCAAGGAGTGACCGAGAGCGAAAGTGAAGACGAATACTGGACTATCCATTCGATGCCCACACAGCAGGGCAAAGGGGACAGTAGCAAACGAAGAAGTCGATGTGATTTAGAGGCAACTTTGCGTAAAGCAGCCACATTTGCTGCCAACGATTATGCACAGTCTGGCAGATACCACAGTCCAAAGTCTTCGCGCCAGAACTCTAGAGCAAACTCGAGACGGACGTCGATTGACGAAGACTACACTGAACAGAACCAAAGATCCGTCAATTCGATGCGTTCATTCATGTCTTCTGCCAAGATCGCCTCACCAAAGGGACAGCTCCCGAGAAAGACAAAAAAGAAAGACAAATCAAACCGACATGTATTGGTCTCTTACCTCGAGAGCCTCAGAGACCCTTTGATGTTGCTGTCTGTAGAATGTGCTGAGGTCCTGGACTGTATCTCGGACAGTATTGCGATCGAATTGGATATGGAAGACGACAGTGACAAATCTATTCGGGAAACCTGGTATTCATACTTGCGTCATGTCTTCAAAATCAGAAGTCAGGAACAGATCATAGCCAATACAAAAGCCAGTCAACGGAGACACGCATCAGAACCTTGTAATTGTGCACAATCACTGCATGAAGCCATCGGCGAATTTGACAAGGCCGAGAGACAACGGATGGACATGCTTTATGGATACTACAAAAAGCAGCTTGATGGGCCTGACATGCCACTCGGTGTACGAGAAGAACTGTCCCTGGTATTTTTCTTTATTTTTACCTTGAGAGAAGCGGCAAACAAGTTAGAGTACATGGCTCTGGAAATGGATGTTTTGCGAAAGAATTCACAGGAAAGAATGCGAAATGGAAAAAAGCGGAAACATCTTTACATGCCACAACTGAACCAAAAATGGTGGCACAAGTGGGCAAGTTGGAGTAATCATCAGAGTACACGCGATAAAGGAGGAGAAGCATTTGGTAAGACACATACATATGAATGTATATATATATATATATATCTTTTATTAATCAACAGTTATCATTGATCTGTAGGTAACCTAACATATCATATGCCAAAGAGTCAAAAGAAAGTAGACGCAGAAGACGAATATCGTCTCACAAAGATCCAGACTCACACCAGCTTTAAGCGTACGGTCTTGCGGAGGGAATCAGTCTTGATCAAGATTGGGTCTCACAACAGCAGCAATAAGTCTGCAATCACAGAATCACCGACCACACTACGAAAACGCTTCTTCAGGAACCCTCACCCTTCAATATCCACCGATCGAGAGTCGGAAAGGACAGATATAGATGAACCGGAATCCAAAGGTCTGGAACACGATGTTGAAGCAAACGAAAAAGAAAATGCGGATGAAAAACCACCATTTGGATTACGTGTTCGTTACAGAGTGTGGCGAACAGTCCAATACATGGAGAGATACGAATTCAAGTTTGGGCTCAAGATGGCATTAGCAGTGTCTTTGCTGTGTGTTCCTGCTTTTGTTCCTGCGTCAACTGGTTGGTATTTGGCCTTGAGAGGACAATGGGCGGCGATGACGGTAATTAACTATACTCCAAAATACAAAACAAAAAAATAAAGGTGCACATGCACACAAAACACACTCACTAACACTAACACTAGCATGGACACCCACAATGTACAATACATAGGCATGATGTAATTTGACTAATCATGCTTTTATACTTTATTTTATATATAGGTTATTGCTATCATGAATCCAACAAGGTAACTGTTGTTACTTTTATTAGTATTATGAACCTTATAATTCTATATTTACTGATTGTTGATAATTATCATTTTGGTTAATCACAGCGGAGGCACGTTACAAGCTGGCGCGTGGAGAGTTGTAGGAACAGTGACTGGTGCTATGGTGGGGTGGGCAGCACTAGAAGCTGGAGGAACAAGTCCATACTTGTTGGCATTTTTTGCTGTAATATTAGGTGAGTGTTGCATAGGTCATTAATAGTTTGACACAAATGGTTATATTTAAGTCATACTTAAATTTAAGTTGACTCTTTGTCTATATATGTGTGTGTGCAGCTATACCCTTTTTTTATATCCATTTGGCCAGTGGGTACAACAAGGTTGGAGTTGTTGTGCTTATATCATACACGGTTGTGGCTCTTAGTCGATATTCTAACCCGAATCCAAATGAAACTATTGCGGAAACTGTGTGGTAAGTGAACTAGACCAAATCTTTACTTGATGCCAAGCAATACTATTATGCAAAAGAAAAAAATTATTAAAAAAAAACAGCAATAGTAAAAAATCATCCTCACAACCCACTAATTATTATTGAACTTTATTTTTCTGTATATTTTCAGGAAAAGAATTACTACTATGGTTGTTGGTATTTTGGTCGCCTTGTGTCTAAACTGGTAATTGTTTTATTTATTTATTTATTATATTTTTAATATACTCTATGTAATTCAATTCAATTCAATTCAATTCAATTGTTGTTTAAGTCAAGTTAGATTTTAGTTGAGTTGAGTTGAATTCTTGTCTAACACAAGACTCTTTTATGTATATATATAGGATGGTTTGGCCATTTATTGCCCGCCACGCCACAAGAAAGTCCATCGCTGCCGTGATCAGCGAACTTGGTGACTACTACAGCTACCTGATGGGCACGTTTTTCTACCATGATCCAATGTTTCCACCAACAGAAGATGACATTAAATTTGGTCAAAAGATGGAAAGAAACATCCAATCTTCTATAGATTCCTGCTCTACACTTTTGGAACTCACAGACCATGAGCCGAGATTCAAAGGTCCATTCCCAAAAGAGTTTTACCAAGAGATGATCATATCGACTAGAAATTTGTTGGATCGCATGATGAGTATCCGAGTAGCACTTGAGAAAATGCCGCAGTCTGTTAAAAGAGATCTTTGCTCTAAAGAGTATTATACCTACAGGCGAGATTTGGTAAGAAAGAATTAATGTTAAATATATATATCTATATGAATACTGATATATGCGAATATATATATATATAGATGTCTTCTATGATATTGCATTTCTACACTCTTTCATCCTCGTTAAGATCAAAAATCCCGTTACCAGTCTATATGCCTTTTACACGAAGTTCCCGAGCAAAACTCAACCGGAAGGAACAAGAGGGACACACTGGCGAGCGATGGGTTAAATTGAGTAACCTAACTTGGTTTGCTACAGCCTGTGCAACTGAGGAAAGCATCGAGGAACTTGAATACCTAAGTAATCTAATCAAGTTCATCGTTGGGGAAAACAAGTATGCGGATAGAGCAAGAAGAATTGATTCGCTTATGGGAGAGGACTCTCTTGCAACCTAGGTGTTATTATCTGTGGCCTACAAAATAAGAGAAAGAAACAAAATGAAATAGAATGGAGAGAAATAGAATGCTTTGTAGAAAATTTCCCCTCAATTAACCAACCCACACATACACGTATACACACTTTTGTATGTATATATATATATATATATATCCACCTTGCTTAAATTACCATATTGTACCAAATATTAATAACAATAATACTTAATTACTTTAATAATAATAATAATCGCATAACTTTTATGAGTGTATTATTTATAATACTCAAAATCTCTTTGGACTCTAATCACACCCAATGTATTGTATTGAACTTTATTGTTAGTGGGTGAAATATATAGTACCTTGAGAGGCGCTATGAGTTTAATGGTTGTTCCGACCCCTTTAAAGCAAATCAATCAAGATTTGACAAAGGTTTTCTTAGGCACGGTTAATTTAATTCTCAGACTGTGAGTGTATCATGCACAAGAGATTCAGAATATGCGAGAAGACTGGGACTGCCCTTTTTTATATACATAATATATATATATATTTTAGAAAAGTAAAGTAAAAAAAAAAAGAAAAGAAAAGAAAAGAAATACCCCATCCCAGACAATATTATTCTTATTGGTACTGTTATACCATATTACTATTTTACAACAACAAAACCAACAACAACAAAAACACTACCACCTAAAAATAAAAATAAATTAAAAATATGCAACGAATAATTCGCTCAGCATCAAGTGTAAAGATTGGTCATCGTCAACTTGGACTCATCGGTTTGTCCTCCAAGCCAAGAGCCACAGCATATTTCAATCGTTGTTGCACCATAGCACCCTTGACATGTCACAACCAGAACCGCCAGACAGTCTTGACCGCGTTTTCTTTGCTCAATCGCTCGTCACTCCACACATGTTCTAGTCAGCGCGACGAAAATAGATCTGTGATGACCAATCTTGGTGCAGCAGAGGATGATGTAGATCCAAAGGACAAGATTATGATTGGGTTTACATGTAAAGTGTGTGATGAACGGTCACAGCATGTCATGTCAAAACTGTCTTACACAAAGGGTGTTGTTCTTATCCAATGTCCAAAGTGCGAGAATCGCCACCTGATTGCTGATAACCTTGGTTGGTTCAGAGATACGAAGGTTAATGTTGAGGATCTTATGAAAGAAAATGGTGAAGAAGTTAGTAGAGTGGTTGTTACAAAGAAGGAACAATGATAAAAAAATAAAAAATAAATATATAAATTTGGTAATATAATTCTCTATATCCATCTATTTATTTATTTATTTATTTATTTATTTATTAATGTTTTTGTACAAATCTGATATCTTAACTCTATCTACATGTCTACTGACATCTATCGTGAATTATTTTTTGTAGAACTCTTTCAAAGATGTTGAATATTCTTTAAATTCCCTTTTATATATACATAGATATTCTATTTTGTACACATTTTAAGAATCAACATTTATTTTATGTTATTTTATATATCAAGATAGATTTGATATTTTATCCAAATTGAGATAAAAAACAACAATCCTGATTCGTTTCCATGGATATTTGATTTTTGTGTATATTCACATGTAATCTGAGTGTAGACAACGACAAAAAAAAAAGAGTTATTTTCGGGCTTGTATTTATCATTGTTTATCTTGGTAGATAAGAGCTAATTTTTTTTTGATACATTTATTTATCACTATAGATACCAATTTATCACTATGGATACCAATTTATATCTATTTATCTATCTATCTATCTATGTAATTATAATAATAAATTCCTTGGTATACAAAAGCTTATATTCATATTCATATTCATATTTATATGAAGCAAGATATCCGAGTGGTTAACAATTTCTACTGTGTATCTGTCTGTTTTCATTTCTTGTGACCCCTCACATCTCTTCTCTTCTCTTCTTTTTTTAGCTTTGGATTAGTAAGATAATAATAAGCAAAGGAGTATTCTTTTTATTATTATTACAAATATCGGCAATTAGTTTCTATAACAATGATAATAGTGACGATAATGATTATAATAATGAAAATGATTACAATACTTATAATGTTTGATTTAATCTCGGAAATCTGAGGGAAAAAAAAACAATAAATGTTCTGTATAACGTCTTCTTTACCAGGGCTTACGAGATCAAGCGACAGATATTGGGGTGTTAATAGACCGCAGAAAGACAAATGTAGAATGTATCTTTAGTACAAGTATTTTTTTTTCTTCATTGCAAATAACGTTGAATACATTTCTGCACGTGTGTAAAGGTTGTGGAACAGTAATTATATATATGTGTGTGTGTACTCGTTACCAAAACAGATTGAGGTTTGTGTTCCTGTATTCAAGGGAATGATCATGGGGCTTTTTATTTATATATATATATATATTACTCCTTACCGATGTCGCGGCAAGTTTATTTCCTTTCCTAACTACACACAATGACAGTGACGTTGGCATTGGCAGTGGCAGTGGCAGTTAGGGAGATAGTAACTTTATTAATTGCCATTGCCATTGCCATTGTCATTACCACTATCTACTTTAAAAATCAAATCAAATCAAATAACAATAATTGTTTTTAGATGATGTCACAATATGCTCGAGGCAAATAAGTAAAAAGAGAGAGAGAGATTCATAAAGTCATTCAATGATGATAGGCAACAATCACCTTGTAATGCTTTTATTATTGGCTACCCGAGATATTAAAATTTCCATTTTGAGGAATTTAAAGGCAATAACAAAAAAAAGGGGGGGGGGGGGACTTTTGTATGGTACATATATATATATTTTCTTTTAGTAGATCAAGACCAATGTAATTATTTTAATCAAGAGATTATTATATATAGTTTATAATAAACATTAGATTTTGACTTTTGATCAAATTTCAAGCACTTTTTTCTTTCTTTTATATGATATGGTTTGCTCTATTGCTTGGATAGCATGATGGCTTGTAATGAAGTCAGAGCATTTGGTGACCTTACTATTTTGTTTCTGGTTGTCCCGATATTCCTGCTGCTGGTGGTGGTGCTGCTGCTGCTTGCGACTACTAATATCACCACCACCAATGGTACAAATGTCACTGTTTCCAATTAAAAGGGCCAGCCAATATATGTACATTTGAATTGTACTTGAAAGTGTTTTCTCCTTTCTTTTGGTTATTGATTAATATTACTCATTTCCATTCAAATATAAAAAAAAAACCAAAACTGACATGAGTCCTGGTACAAATGATACAGATAAAATGGAAAGAAAGAAACAAGACAGATACTAACTTGTAGATGTGAGTAACGTAAATTGATCTCTAGGATTATTCTTTGGTGTAATGTTTTTAATTTTTGTTTCCTGTTTGAAGATGTTCATTTGACCTGAATAAAATATTTATATATAAAAAATAAATAAATAATATTCTTTTTGGTGTCACCATATTTCGTCAGACTAATAACTATAATGGTTGTAATTATAGTATAAAATAAAAAATAAATTATTATTATTATTTCATTAGTGCTAATTACACGTTTCAAACTTCTCTAATTACCAATTATTATTTTTCAAAATTTTCTTTAAAATTTTCTTCTGTGTATGTTATTTCAAGATCGAAAGATTAGTGGCGCTTATTTTAAGGCTTTTGGGGGGGGGGGGGGGGTTTAATATTTCGGGTGGAAGGTTGAACAAGAAGAACCCATGCTGTATTAATAATTAATCTTTGGTTTTGTAATAAAAGAAAAAACAACATGGCACTTTTATATTTCTTTGAAATTACGTAGAAGAAATACTATATACATATAAAAAAGTACCCTGACTTGTAATTGCGTAGGTGATTTGTTCCAATTGTCCACCAACTCAGATACGTAAAAAGATTTTTAAATAATTTTATATTACCTACCCGATTACTATCCTCAGTTTTGCTTTTGTGTGTGTGTATATCTAATTATGAGTATAAAGAGGTATTTATTTATATAAGTATATATAAATTATTTTCTTTTGCTTTCACTACCCCAAAGCAATAATCTATATAAATATAAAATAAATACAAATATAAAAAATAAAATCTATTGGAAACTTCTTGTAGAACCGGACTTGCGATTGAAAACAGAATTCGGGATGTAACTTTCTATATATAAAAATATATAATCTGCTGCCTTGGTTGTGTCACCTTTTATTTAATGCACGGCAAAAAGAAACCCTCTCTTTCTTTTTATTTATTTTATTTTATTTTTATTGGCGGAGATATATCAAATACACACATAGATACATAGATACATAGATACATAGACACATAGCAACGACAAGAAGTAATGACTGGTAATTTTTATATCATTGGAATTGGAGCTATAAAATACTGGGGTAATTGAAATGTAACATTTTCATTGTATTTTTTATTATTATTATTATTATTATTTATATATTTTATTTATGTGTGTAATTGCATAGAATAAACATTTGTACGCATATATTCTCCAAAATAAGAGCAATATTTATATTTATATTATTGTATATTTGTAATAATTATAAATTGCAAAAAGAAAATAAAAAATAAAAGAAAGTGGCATATGGTAGATTAATATTGAATGAATTGGAGAATGTACAGATGAGAAATATAGTAAGTAAAGAGGCGTATTAAAAGGAAGAAATAAAGAAAAAAATATATAGTAGTAGTAATGATAATGATAATGATAAATAAAGTCTAAGTTATGAATAATCTTGGTAAGAGATGATAGTTGTTTTTAAAAGCATTTAAAGCCAAAGTCTATAAGAATAATAATGAAAATATAAATAAGAATGTAATGCTTGGCGCATTTAAGTAAATTTGATGAATATAAAATTATTTTCCATTGTCCATTGTTCATTATGCGTGTAATGTATATTGTGTGCGTGTGTGCGTGTGTGCGTGTTTGCGTGTGTGCGTGCAATGGTGCCGTAGTTGAAATATCGATAGGACGCAGAGGAGATAGTAAAAGAAAATAAAAATAAGGGCATGATGACAATGGGCTTTGGCTGAATTTGGTTGGTTGAATTTGGTTGACTTGGTTGGCTGATAGTAAAGCTTTGGATTATTTAATAGGCTGTGCCTGGTCTAGTTGGTGATGTCGGGGACACAGGATACATGTATGTTTCACCAGATGATTCAGAGGACATATCTCCCCCATCATCAGAAAAGTAACGCTGCATTTGGGCCATGGTGTCGCTGTCATAGGGCAGTTCTTCGTTTTTCCATTTGCAACTCGAACATTCGTATCTGACCCGCATGTTGTTGGCGATGCGCTTATTGAGGACGATCAATTGTGTCTCGGATCTAATGAGTTGGACTGATAATTGTTTGCAGCGAGGGCAAGAGTGGCTGGCATGTTCTAAAGAGATCTTCTTTCCGGGATTACCGACTATAACGTTTAATGTTAGTAAACTATCAATAGTCATTTGATTAATCACTTACCAAAGACAAAACTGGTGTTATTAGGCATAGTGATATTTAAAGAATAAGAAGAATAGATTGTGAAAGGGAAAGACAAGTAGGTATGTTTTTTTTAAGTTTTTTTTGTATAGTGACGGGTTGTATTGGAACAAGTTCCTAATGGTAAGAAAGAGACTGCGATGTGGGGCAAGAGGGATATAAAGAAGGAAAACCGAAAATCAGGGGCAGATTGGGAAATAATTCAGTCCTTTATATACTAATTTTTTTTTTATTGTTTGTGCGGAAATCAATTTAATAGGTTGACCGTGGATACCATTTTTGTACTGCGGAACAAGAAAGAAAACAAAAAATTCGTTGCCACGTTTTTCCATTTTTTTTTGCTTGTTTACTCCGCGCTGGATTTCATATATTCGGCAACTGTTTCCTTATCCCTTTTAACCCAAGCGTCCGTGCATATTACTATAGTATTATTAGTGGTTTAGTTTTACATTTTATTTGAAACAAATGACTATATCTTGAAATAATCAAGAATTATAGTTTATCCACAAATTGAAACAAAGACTATTATATATATATATATATATATATATAGATATTTCTCGATCATTCATTCTTTATATCCTACCGTATTATAAGGATAATGAAAGTATCAAAATAAAAAACAATCGGAAATGGTTCCAGGCGGACTTGATGTATTTTTAAAGATATAGGTACAAAAAGAAAAATATAGAATATACCAAGTTCATTAATACATATATCTAGTACGACTAATGGCGTAATATATAATAGTTAAATTTGCAATCAATTACAGAATTCATAGCAAAAAGAACAGCAAGAAAAAGAACAAGGACAAGAACGGGGAAGGAAGGAAGTAGAATAAGTCACACGTGGATAATATTATAATTCTATCAGCCATAGTATAAAAATTATAAAAATAAAATAAAAAAATCTCTCCGTATTTCTCACTCCCCCCATGATGAAATTAAATCCATTCCCTATTGCTGGTTTTTCGGATTGGATCTAAAGATATAAAGTAAACCCAGTAATTGCCATTTGATCATCGTCCAATTACCATCCTCGTAATAAATCACATAGCCATGATTAATTATTATTCACGTCATTTTATATACATGGTAGGTATTCAATAGACAGCCATATAACCCACATATGTACTTTTTCTTTTCTTTGCTTAACCAAAATATCTAAAGAGGTCCAACTATAATCATCATCATAAAAGGGCAAAGTATTATTTATTTATTTTTATATGTAATTGACTGACTTTAAAGAAATTATAGTTTCTTTAAACATAGGGCCTTAATTAGATTTTAATGTTACTCTTATACTCTAGCCTATAGCACATTTCATCATACGATATATTTAAATAATAAATAGCATTAACTGTAAGAAACATTATTGACCATCTTTGGTCTCCCTGTCTTGTTTTTCTTTTAAAATAACACATTGGGCGATCTATTCAAAAATAACTAAAAGAAAAAAACGAAGCGTTCCGAGCCAACCTACAGAGAGTCTATTTCTATTCTTTACAAAGAAATCGAGATACAACGAAATTATATGGCTTTGATGAATGATATTTATTTACTCAAATTAACAATTGCCTTGTAAATATCTCTGTGGACTATTAGCGGCTATAGACTATTATATTCACCTGTCTACACAATTTAAGTATTCAAAATATCCGCGAAAAGGGGGAGTAGGAGAAGAGGAAGTTTACTCTTTTATAATCATAATTATTATCATTAATAAAAATATAAATATATTTGCTCTTAATTGGTGCCGTAGTTTTTATTCAATTGAATTAATTCAGAATAATAATAACAATTAAAGATTGATATATACATATTTACATACACATTCAATCCATAAGAATACAAATAATAATAAAATCCTCCAATCTAAATAAAGTAAATAAATTTCTTTCTATGTATAGGAATTGTACTTCTTTATCTTATTTAAGGAATATTTAATTATGGTACACAGTAAAGTATAAATAAATACATATTTCAACAATCTAAAAATAAAAGATACAAAAAGGTCATATACAATGCTGACCAATTCTTTTGTAGATAAACAAAGAACAGAAAAAACGGTTGCCAATGGTTACAGTGGTTCTAGAACATGTGGACCATAAAGATCTGTGTTGCTTAACAACAACAACAACAAAAAAAAGAGATCAATTTGAGTATTTCATGGCATATAGCCCAAAAGAATATGCCTTTTCTTTTGATTTTATTAGAGAAATTTTGTTTCAAAATATTACAATTGAAACAGTTCTTTTACTCTTTGGTTCTTTTGTGTAAATAGAACAATCTATCGATATTCCTTGCGCTTCTATTGATGTTCCTCATACTTCCACTCATCTTCTTTCACTTTCAAAAGGCTTTTATTTACCAAAACTTGCTTTTTATCTCTCCTCTGGTTTATTTAACGACTAGATGTCATTAACCTTTTCTTATGTTTTGAAAACTTGCTCATAGAAAATAAAGCAATATTTTTCTCTAAAAAAAACAGTGAGATCTGATTGAATATCATATCAATATGTATAAATCTTACAAATGTAGACTGAATCAGATCCCCAAAATAAAAGATCGATTAGGATTGTTTGAGATAGGACAAAGCTCCTTCAAAGAACTAATTCTTTTCCAATTATCCTTAAGAACACCCACAAATTAGCTAAAAAGTAAATCAGTTCAGCGTACAAAGAAAAAATGTAGTAAGACACACAAACACACAGTGATACACAGTGAGCAAGTGAATAATTGAACGATTTAGTAAATGAATATTTGTTTGTTGTTTCTTTCTACTTTAAAAAAGAAACATCATGGTTCAAGGTATAAGCCATGTCTTTCTTCTGCTATACTACCCATTACTTACATTACTTTACCTCGAGAAAGAAAATAATAATAATAACTTTATTAATCAAAAGCAAAATATACTATGGGCATTCAAGTGCAAATAAAGGTACAAGTAAAGTACAAATCCGAGCATAAACGGATGATTCACTCTATTAAATATTTATTTGGATAGAGACAACCAACAATGATATCCTTGTGTACAAGCCTTAGATTATATACAAACTTATGTATTTCTGCAAGAGATCTCTTGACACAAATTTTCTTAAAAAATATAGAAAGTAATTTAAACAGACCATATGATACTTATCATTTAGAGAACAAGTTTACTTTAAAGAAAGGTATAGCTTATATTTTGTTTTTTAAAGTTTTGTCTTTCCTTTATTTGTTTTGATTTACTGATTAATGTGGGAGTTTTAGATCTAACATATCACTTGTCTTTATTGTCCTGTTATTTTGTGTTATTTGTGCTATAGTATACTGTGATGTATCATTTTGTGGCATACAGTATTTTGTGCACCACCACGCTATACACCATATGTATTTAGAGCTGCATGAAGCTTATGTCCTTTATACTACAGATTTGACTAAATAATATGCCTTTACACATTCAGCATCATATGTCAAGCTACTCACTCATATATAGTCGACCATGTGAGTGTTTGAATATCAATAAAGTCTTTTTCATTATTTTATTATTAAATTTTAGCATTCATGCAAAATATCACAATTTTACCTTGCTAAAATATTATTAAATGAACAGAAAGCTTGAGATGCACTATGTAGTATACTCACCACAATTGAGTGAAGTACAGATTCCACAACCAAACACTGACTCATTTTTGCTAATAAATTTGGCGAGTTAGCAATCCCCCGAACTATTACACAACAGGGATTTGCATTACTGGAATTTTAATAGTAAAAGATATAAACAATATTCTTTTGTCTCTAAAGAATAACACTCTCACAGTATCAACTTTTCCCATTATTGATACTATCCTAATAACAGTCCCAGATACCTCTAACGCAACACGTTGATCCACGAGTTCAGGCATCAACCAGCCTAACTTTTTTTTAATTAACCGCCATTCAAAGGCAGTTACAACAGGTACACCTGGAGAGCGTGCAAATCCTTGTCCTCTGTGCTGACAAACACCGGCAGGAGAATAGAGTGTTTTCCTCGGACTACCTCAAATGTACAGTTGCCGAACGACATTCTCAAAAAAATATTAACAATCTTCGCTATTCCTCTACAGATCACTTGCACATTGATATTGATGGCATGGCTGAGACGGCTGCTGCATGTTGTGAAGCTCCGTATACACATAAACAAATAGACTAGATACCCATAGACGATTCACTTAACAACCTACCCCAGGATATTTACCTCTCAGATACCAGACGTTCCTCACTGGCAGCCACATCTTTTGGTGACAACATACGAGAAGGAGTTTCTCGGTCTCCAAGAAGAAGCCCTGTATGACTATATAGACTCCCTTATAAAATTCTTCAATTAGTATTCAACTATCCTTCCTGCACCCAGATACTTACCCAAATGTACATCAAAGTTCTCATTAGTAGTCAATTCCTGTCATCCTGGCAAACAATTTGTGCGTTCCTGCTACCAAAGAAAGGTGATCTTTCTTAGTTGAAGATCTGGCGACCAATTACCTAGATCAATGCTGATGCTGAGGATTTCCCTGGCCTTCTTAAAACCCGCATAATCAGAGCCACTAGATCCATTGTATCCCCGTACCAAACTGGGTTCATCTGTGGTTGTTTTCTTACTGAAAATGGTAAACCCACAAAGCTGGTTATCCGCCATGTTAATCCCACTGGTCATTCCTGAATCGGCTTTCTCTTGGATCAGAGAAAAGCTTATTATCGAGTTAACTCTGACTATCTCAAGCAAATTATTGCCCAATTCATTCTTCTTTCTTCCATTATAACCTGCGCTTCTAATATTTTCTTCTCTTCCAGCCTTAAGATTGTCGCCAATGGCTTTCTTTTTTGCCATTTTTGCCAAGTGTGCGGATTAAGGGATGGCGGTATCATGTATCCTGTCCTGTTTAGCCTGTTCTTTGGCCCACTTTTGCACCAACACATGCACGATCCATACTTTCCTGGAATTGACATACAAGACACTTTCAACTAGCCCTCTTATCCCATAAAGCTATTATTCTATGTCGACGATCTTTTGGTTTACCTTTCGCAGGTCCAAGATATATTCTGATCACAGCACCATCTCGCCACCTCGCCACCTCGCCACCTCGCCACTTCCGCCTCTGCTTCAACTGCACGTATCAATTTTCACAAGACCCAAGTATTTTCTCTGTCGGGGTTTCCTCACAGTCGTTGGATAAACACCCTTTACAGCTTACAGACTGTTGACTATCAGGATAACCACTCTCCTGAATCTATTCGCTACCTTGGCTCCCTAGTCATTTCTTTTCTCACTCAATGCAACCCCTTCTGCTCACAAATACTAGCCATGATAGAGCATATCTTACACATCCTCCTCTTCAGTGCCTCGTCTATCCGCAGTCGCACTGCCGTCCTAAGCTCTTTTATCCTCTCAAAACTCTTGCAGGTTTTTCATGTTTTATTTGTTCCCGATACCTTTTTCGCAAATGCTGAACATCTCATGACCCGTTTTCATCAACACCGAAGCTTCATCCCATTAAAATGAGCGGATTGAGGACTTTGAGTCGAAAATTTCAGCAAGGTGCTCTTCAGCTTCATTGTCTTTGACCTCTGTTTCACTCTTCTTCTCTTTCTGGTCTGGCAATGTCTTGGTCGATACAACCTCTTCGTCATTATTTACCTGATACCCATCCTATTCTTCGTTTCATTTTTCCTGACCTCCGACCTATTCGATTTTAGTCATATAACAGTTCTTTCTTTAAACTTTTTGCCGCGTGTGATATCTAGCCTCATGATTCTGGCTACACTGTGGTAAATCCGGTAACTTGTATGGATATTCTTCTGAGTTCTGTCTCTTTTATTCCATACAGTTTCTCTTGCCTTTAATTCTTCTTTGCGTCACCCTCAGATTCGGGATATCTACAAGATTGACACAAGCTTGGATATTCTTTCTAGACACGTATATTTTTCCTTCCCTCGTTCACCGCGCATTCTTTGCAAAATATATCAGCTTATAGATGACAACTCACTCTCCTTTCAAACATCCCTTCCTCGTGCTTCTCTATATAAAAAAACCTGGACTGTTCAATTTGGTGACCTGATGATGCGCAATGGCTCCAAAGTGGATTCTTTTACACTTTTGTCCTTCCATATGCATCTTGCAATATCTGCTTACGGTTATTTCATCGCAAGCTTTCTTGTCAATCAGTCTTCTATACAGTGTTCCTACTGCATTTCCATCTCATACTTGGCCTTTCTTTGCAAATAGAGACACTTTTTTTTCCAAAACCATATCTCTTTATATAACCCTCTCGAACCTCTTCTTTGGCAGATGTTTTGGCACACGCATTTTGTATTTTTCTCTCAAACCTCCGATAGTCACAATGTATTGTACAAGTTTACCTTCCCATTTACCCTTGAACTCACTCTATAGCCCGCTTCCATACTTGGTCAAGTTCTTTTCGCTTTGTAGCAACACCATTGAGATCTTGTATATGATAAATCTCCTTTTCGTTGCTACTAATGTCACCACCAGAGATAGTTTTCTACTTCACTACTTACACAGTAAAGGAAACCTAGATCAACACTCATTTTCAGTCTAGATATCTAGCAATTTAATATCTTATACTTCACAAAAACATTAAATCCAAAAAAAAACAAGTTTTAATACCTTTTAAGCCTTTTAAACAAGAGTCCCACCAACAAACCAGAGCTCTGCTACATACAAACAAAAAAAAACTACTGTATTTTCTTTGACTAACAAGAAAAATTATATACCTCTGTGCTGGAGTAATTAAGGTCATCAACCCTGAGGAGTATTCGCCAGTCAACACTTTGGAAGTGAAGAGTAGGCTGCATTAAATATTGTTAATCTTGAATGTAATCGATTGTGACGTTTAATTATTGTTTCTATTCTTGTTTGTAGGTCATTCACTACACAGTGATTAGGCTTTTGTTTCTATACGCTAATTAGCTAGTACCTAGTGTTATTTATTTATTTATTTTTAAAAAAAAAACGAATTTCGTCCGCTGAATTCGTTTCAATTTTTGAAACGGCCATCTCCTTGTATGCTTCGGAAATGGTGTCAACTACATTAAAAGCGTGTTAAACTTGTAAAATCACAAGCAACAGCATTCAATGTTCAAAAATATTATCAGTTGGGGGACTAATGTATGCAGATTGAGTTTTTTGTTTTCAATCTTCACACAAAGTCTTTTATTGTGAATTAGATTAAACAACTATTACGCGTAATTGTATTTTGAATGGTGAGATTAAAAGAGAGCCATTCAGTTCTAAAATCAGTCTACTTTGTGTAATAGCACAAATATTCAAGGAAAAGCTGTTTTTAAGCGGTACTTATAATCAAGTTCTTTCTACATTTGACATCTTGTAATTACCGTGTCAAGGTTATTAATTACTCATTATCATTTTTCTTCAACTTAAATGCATAATAAAAGACAGATGTTTTTTGGAGACATGGTTTTAAATAGTTTTTATTTGAAAGAAGATTTTATTTATTAACATCTATACTTATTACTATTATTACTATCTACTTAATTTTTCTATATATATAAAAAGGATACAAAGGGTTGTCAAGCTCTTAGTCCCCACACAAGGTGGCTCAATCTCCCCCAGGACGAAAACCTGGCTTGACGGCGAGGGAGGCGGACAGCAGAGTATTATCTCAGACTGAACTCATCACGCTTTTACAAGCGGCACAACTGCAGAGGGGGCCAAGGACTACACGGCATGAAGCACATGTAACACATCTTTACCCGCGCTTCACAGCAATGGCGTCCCGTCCATGACCCATGTCTGATGGCGCCACTTTGGGGCAAAGTACCAGCTGTCGTCACTGTTCTGTGGTCATCGGTTTTCATAACTACATTCATAGCTAGAAATTCCTAATCGACAGCCGCATTAAAGAAAGAAAGAGAAAAAACGAAAACCAGAAAAAAGGAGTACTTTTATCTTTTTTTCTTTACCACTCAAAAGAAAAAAAATAGATGGAACTATCCCAAAAAAGGGAAATTCCGTATGATTCCTAAAAGATTTTCATGCATAATCAGTCCATCAATCGATAGCCTAACATAACAACAGAAATACATCTTTGTACTTTGCAAAGAGTATTTTATTTGTTAATGTGCTATATACGCTATACCGCCTGTAACATAAAATCCAAGAGGCTATGTCTATTACTAATGGTGATAGTAATTTTAGTAAGATGTCTGTGTAGTGACATGAAGTAAAGAGAAAGAAAGAAAATAGTGGGGTAAATATTTTCATAAAAAAAACACAATTCAAGCAGTTATTTAATTCTGTGGTATACTTTTTTTTTATAAAGTCGTTTTTATAAAGGTATATGAAATATAGTTTTCGATTGAGGGATAGTAAAACAGACCAATATAGTCTAACACAAAAATGTGAAAAAAGTTATAGTAGACAGGTGTCAAATATTTGATATGTGTGAAGAGTATGAACATATGGCTATAGATTTTTATAAGGTGTGATTAGTCAATAAAATTGAAAAAGATGCTTTTTTTTATCATGCTGCCATATATACATACAAGCCCACCTATAAGATAAGGTAGGTCAGTTAAGCTCATTTTGTTACTGGATGTTTATTGTTAAGTAGACTTGTGATATTATTAGTTATCAACATTAGCTGCAAAGAAATATATATAAAAGGAAGGGCAAGGTAGTAAAGAAATATAAAATATTAAGAGCCAAAAAATCAATGCTAAGATAAAGAAATAAAGAGAGGCAAAGTAGCAAGAAAGCTTACTTTACTAATTAATATTATGGGAGCTTTTGCTGGGATGTCACATAATAGCTCTATTTAGTTGTATTGTTGATAGGGTTAGTGTGTGCTTATGTACTCACAATTTAGTCAGAAAGAATGTAAGTAGTTCATCTTGATGGTTTTTATAAAGAGCTTGTGGTCATTACATTGCAGATTTTGTTAAATTCTTCCTATAGATCGCAGATAATTTCCCCATTCAAGAAACAAAGACAATTACTAAACAGATCTAGCAAGCCCTCAAAGTCCTTTTATTTGGGATAATAATGACAGGCATTTTCTCATGTGTTGAGTAGGAACCGAGTGATTTGGCACCACCAAGTCCACCAAAGTTACAAACAGTTTACTGAGACTGACATATTTTAGTATATTTTGAGGGCGCAAGCAATTACATTAATATTTGGTATTATTGGGTCAAGTTTGAATAAGAAACTAAAAGTATTACCTCGTGAACGTTAACTAGGTCCATATCGCTCTGTTTAATAAAACTTGTATTGAAAGCAACGGCTTTACTGTAAATTTGTCTTCAGTTATATACTTCGCTGTACCAGCTTTTTATGTCTTATAATTTCAAAATCCAAAGTGATTAAACTTTCACAATAGCAAAATCATGGCATTGTGTTTTTGCTTTTTATGCGCTAGAATTTTTATTTAAACACTGTAATAAGTTTGGTGACTTTTATAAATATTCCTCTGGTTTTGGCCTACCTTCTTCCACACACAATCCCTACTCCCCCCTCATTTTTTTAGGCGTTCTTGTACACACATTTTGACTTTTAATCTCATATGTTCAATGTCTACAATGCATTATACAATTTGATCTTCCCACCTCTTCTTGATCCCACCTAGCTGTCTGCTCCCATTCTTGGCTCTGTTTCTAGCCTTGTGGCAACACAATTGAGTTTTTGTATTCAACCAATTAACTTTTTTTATCACCAATACTATCACTACATCCAATTCCCTATCACCCCGTCTACGTGTTAAAGAGGATTTCGATTAACACCCATTCCCTATATTTCTCTCTCTCAATTGCACATTTTATCTTATATTTTACGAAAACAAAAAAAACCAAAGACAAGTTGTGGCTCCTCTTATGTCTTTTTGAACAAGAGTCTCACCAATAAGCCAGAGCTTTGTTCCATAAAAACAAAACAAAACAAAACAAAACAAAACAAAAGTGGTATGTAAAGGTAGTCTTTATTGTTTTTATGTTGCAATGTTTACATATATATGACAAGTTAGTAAGATCTTATTAAGCTATTAAGATATTGAGATAAACCATGCTTCTTTGGATAATTAATAATTAATAAATGAAAGAGAGAAAAGGAAATAGATAAATAATGTAAAAGTTAATTGATACAATCTTTATATCTTTTAATTGATTTCTGCGTCAGCTGTAATGGCTATGTTCTTTCTAAGACTATTACATGATCAATTTGTTTGAATAGTGAACACAAAAAAAAAAGATTTAGAAAGACATAATATGTTCGGGTCAGCCGGAAGTTTGAAGACACATGCAACGTGTCAATGAAAAGGAATGTTTTATTTATATAAGCTTTTGATGAGAACAATGAAAGCAAGTCTATATACTAAGAAGATAATGTTGCCTGCCACAAATTTAAACTTGCAAAAGAGTGAAAGAAATGTCAGAATTTGATAGTGATAATAAGGCCAACCAGCAGCCTATATTTCAGCTTCATAGAGAACTTATAAAAGTATCTTCCCAGAAGAGTAAAAAAAAAGAGTCCAATCTTCAAATACCTTTAAGTTGGCAGTGACTACCCATGTAGAATAAAGAAGCTTTCTAGTTAAAGTTTGTAATACTAATTAAATGCCGATCCCTAATTGCATACATTAGATAAAGAAGAATTATGAAGGGGCCACTATACTATTTAAGTTAAATAGATTTAGCTTTTTTCTTTTTTCAAAAGCTACATCTTTCAATTTATCTGTTTTCAGACGAGGGTTTAAGACATGCTAGGTTGGTTTGTGCGGTATAAGGGTTGGTAAAAAAAGGTACAAACAAAAAAGAGGTGGCCAAATCAACACTCATAGACTTTGCACCAAATAGACAGTGTCGTTAAATGTTCTGAACTATTGCTCCCAAAAAAAAATAAGGACAAATCATGTCTCACATAGTTTTCCTGGCATATTCTGTTCATATTTCCTCCATGATACATTGAATAAATAAGCTGTATCTCCATGAAAATATATTTACAGTAGCTATAAATTATGCACGATATAGATAAGACATACATACATGTATTCCCTATAAGCTTTGTCTTATTTAATATGAAAAAATAGCATCTTACAAATTGAAATTTGGACAAATTTTCCAAATTTTGAGAAAATCCTGGTTCTGAAAAAGGCAACTTTGGGCCTGTTTCAGATGTCGGTTGTCAAATATAGCAACTTTATAAATGTCTCCATTTTTCTGGTGAGTTCAGAATATTTAACGACACTTCTATTACCATTAGTTTCACGTTTTAAGCAAGCTGTGGGTTTGTACTTATGTTTGTAAATTGTATTATAAATATTAAGAAAATTAAATAACTAGGACATAGCATAATAGGGGGTTTCACCAGCTTTGAATGTTGACTGTTGGATATAGCGGTAGTTTAATTCGGAAAATGATTGGCTATAACGAATCTTCAAAAAATGAAAAACGAGCATCCAAGCATCTAAAAAAATAGTTCGATACTCTAGATGTCGTGACTTAGCCGAAATTTTGTAAATTTTGTACTTTATGTACGATTGATGGCGAAGTTCATATAGAAGCAAAGTCAAAAATAAAGCATAATTAATCTATATAAAAGTAGTTATCTTGATACCAAATTATAGAAGTCTAACTTACTTGTGAGGAATTTGGGCACAGGCACTATATTTATGGGTACTCTAATCAAGCGTATTGTACACATGAATTTTGACGTATATGAGAGAAAACATATCAACCAAGGGTCATTAGGGGGTTTCACCAGTCTTTTTTCGATACTTATTACAGGATTTCCACTCCAAAAGTTATATTTTTTTTTCAAACTATATATTTTGCAAAATCAAAACTTTCATTTTGTGCTCCGACTATATATAAAAAAAAATCAATTTATTTTTGGCTATTTGTACATTGGGGGAAGAAGCTAATGCTATGATCAACCCAGCCTTGGCAGTTTTCCATAGCGATATGGCGGGAGCACTCAGCAATATACTCCAAGAATTGACCACATACCAACCCGGGCTTTCTCTTGACCAGTGTTTTGAGTTTGGAGAAGCACTCTTCAATCGGGTTTAGGAAAGGAGAGTATGGGGGGAGAAAGTGTAGGTGGTGTCGTGAATTAGCAAACAATTCAGTGACAAGGTGGGATCTATGGATCGAGGCATTATCCATAATGAAGTTGTGAGGGGCAGCATTACTGTGGTCGAGCGAATCCATAATCGTCTTTACAAATTCAACGAAAATTGGTCCTGTCGTGCCACCAGGGGTCAACTTCGCCTGCACACTCTCAACACCTTGGTAAGAAATACCGGCAAGAATTGAGATGTTTAGTCCCCTTTTCGACTTCGTCTTCACAATGCTGGTCTCGCCTTTCTTGG